ACAAACAACAACAGCAAGGCCTTTTGCACTAAAGATTTCACGCATGCACGTGATAATTTGATTCAATGACAGCATACGCAAATTATAGTTTTTTGTGTAAGCTCCCCCCCCCCACCAATAATCGGAATTGGCTTATATGATAAAAACAATTCAATTTTCGTAGGTTTCATCGATATATGTTTGTTTTTAGCACTTTTTGTACTTAAAAAACATGGAAATCGTAAACCAAAGACACCACCCTAAAAAGACTTTAACCCACCGATCTTGGAAAAGCCCCGAAGCGGCCTGATCAACACTCAGATTCGAAATCTACATCAAAAGTCCAAGTTTGCAGAATTTTGCAGCATTCCTTTGGCAAATTATTTTTCCTGTTTAAGCTGGTAACGTTAGGGAGCGTCGATAGAGAGGAGACCTATAACAAACTCTAACAAACGAAAAAGGAAGAGGCTTAAGATATGGTACTAAAGAAAGAAGCAAAGATACGCGGGTTCTGAAGTTGTCTTAATACTTCATGACGTCTATTTAGTACTCGTCATCTCCTGGGCTAGAATATCGGGGCTATCTTCTTTCAAAATTCAGTTATCTCCTAGCATCTCAAAAACATTAGCTATCTTTATTTCTGTAGACAATTGTTTTTAAAATTACATTAAAAAGGGCGGGGTAATAAAAAACGAATAATCAAAATCAAATGATTGCAGGTAAATACTTTCCAAATTTGTATTTCAGTTTACTACCCTTTGATAAGTTATCATTTTAAGTCATTTTCGTGGGTTAGAAACACCCACACAGTGTCATTCTGAGTTTGTTTAACTGGTCTTCCACATTCAAAGCCATGCTCACATGTTCGATTTTGAGGTTAATTTTCCAAGTACGAAGGCAAATTTTTCCCCTATCTCTCTTTCCTGCAACTTTCATCTCTAGCCCCCTCTCCCTCTGTCCCTTTGCGCTGAAAAAACCTTAAACTCACACTCAAAAGCAGGCTAATCAAATTATACTGATATATCAAAAGTAAAATATTGTTATCAATGCAATTATAAGAAAACTTTCTAAAGACGATGTGTATCGTAAACCTGTTGGCTGAAGGATACACCAAAAAGAGCTATCGAGACCTTGTATCCCATTGGAATGTTTTGGATTTAGAAGCTATTAAGATTTGGATTGGATACTTAACAGAAAGAAATCAGATTTTGAAGTCAGAACAAAAACAAAAACAATAACGAGAAAGTAGCAAAATGAAGTAGAAAAGTAACACCGACTGATAAATCTGCTGCCTTTGGAGCCACAACAGGCTCTAATATAGCGCCCAAGCTTTTGACACGAAATCTGCATTTACAACATCAGCTGGCAGTGTACCCAGAAATAGCTTAGATTTTATATCTTTTGTCGAAGAAAGCTAGACGAACTGTTAAACGACGAGAAATTTCCTGCCGTGGATGATGAAGTTTCAGAGACTAACTTTGGTCAACTCAGTTGTGCAATTTGCAAAAAGCACTACAAGAAGATAAGTGGCCTAAAACGACAAACGACAAATGCTATGAAATGGGTAAAATCTTCGCAAACTTATTTGCAACATAATAGCTGATAATATTGGGTCTGCGCACAGGCTACGGCTTTCCAGAAGCCCAACCCAAAGCGATTTTTCATCACCAATTTCATTAAACGGACTCTTTTAAAAACGAATTAATGGAATGCTATGCAGTCTTTTCTGTCGTTTCTGTCTATGCAGTGATGGCGAGCAGTTTTTCTGCTTTTTTATCGGTACGGTTGTGCAGTTTACAAATGTTTTTATTCCAATGTTGCATCCAGCTCTTTTAGCTTCTTTTTGATTAAAAATTTCGGAGACAAAATGTTCAGCTTCTTCATGAGACGACAACAAATGGCGCTAGAAAGGCCATTGCCGAGGAGCGATAAGAATTTCTATTGTCTACAATACTTATCTGGCTAGATTGAGCACAAGTTTTTGAAAAAGCAAGAAACAGCAAAAAATATGAATAACCAGACTTTATACGAATGACATTAGCTAGGCTTAAATTAGGTTGCTGGAGAGCTTCATTGAAGAAAGGCCTGTGTCCCAAAGACTGATAAAACCAAGAGTAGGCGAGGTTTGATAACAGCTAAAAATGAAATAGAGAAAATCTTTTCTGAAGCAGCGACTTGAATGTCTTTTGCAGATACACATTTTGCCATTCTTCAAGCTTTTTCTGAAATTAGCATCAATTTCACGATATTTTAATAACACATCTGAGAGATCTCTTCGCCGTTTCTCTTCCTACTACCTGATGATCTCACGCACCAGTTTTGTCATGTTTCCTTGTACGGATAATTCATAATTGAACATTTCCTCGTTCCATTAAAATGCGTCATTCTTTCCCTGCCTTCGGTAACTTGTACGCAAGTCATAATGACTTTTTAAATACCCCCGAACGCCCCCAAAGTGAATAGGAGTATGTAAGATTCTTTGAGTTTTCAACTGCGTCACTAATTTGCTAATACCCTATTTTATGGAACTTCTCTTAGCTGCAAACTCCCAATGTATATAATATCTTTACCATAAACTTTCTAACGCTATTGGGTTGGCCAAGAAAAATGTTTTCTTATAATGTGGAATAATTATTAACTAACGTATCTCTAGAATTCTTGTTTAGGGGGAATCTATACAGGTTCTCTCGCACCAGAGTGATAGGTTAATAATAATAATAATAAAAATAGCACATTCTTATACAGGGATATTCAGTCAGCTTGGAAAACAGTAGCTCCCATCTAGAGATGCCCTTTCTAATAACAGAAACTAAAATCATACCTATATTACTTAATTAAGATGTATATTTGGAGCAAAACACCGATATCTTTCGTTTTGATGTTAATTTAATGTTGTTTTAGAAGCTTAGATTTTTAAACAAGGTAGAACATCATATCGATTGCCTTTTTATTACCTATAACAACCCCGTCGACGGGGTATGAAAACTGATATCTCATAGCAACCGACACATTCATCATGGTAGATTTCGTATCGTTCAATTGAACATCTATTGATTCCAAAGAGGTAGAAAGAGGATTGAGGGGAAGAATCAAGCTAAATACTGTGTGAATGAACTTTGTTCCACTTTTAAGGGGTCTGTCATTTATGACTCTAGGCACCAAGGCGAGGTAGAATTGTTGAGGGTATGACAACCATTCAAAGGAAATTAGGGGGCTATGAAACAATTTTGGGGATTTTGAATGTGTATTAAATTTTTCAATGGTTGATTCTGGATAAGTCAAATCATGAGATGCTAGACTTCAATATCTTAGCAGATGTTACATTTGCCTTTAGGTTATAAGGAAAATGCAGTTATTTTTGTCTGTTTCAAGTTTGCTATGGTGATTTACCTTTTGCTGTTCCCTTATTTAAATTCATTGCAGATGTAATTGCAAAGGAAGTTTCAAGTTTCCTAGCTGTCTGTCTGCTGTCTGTCATGATCTGCAAATACACCATTTTCAAAGAGAAAATCAATCCCACGAATACGAAACTTTCAAATTGCTTGTTGAGATTCTCAAGATTGGGCATATTCAATTAAAAAAAAATGTTGTTCCCTTCCTTGAACACTTTTCAACACAAAGGAAAGAGGAAGTACTCCTCATTTTTACATAAATATCATCTACAAGACTAGCAAGTTTATAAAACTCTCATGGTAGTAATCCATTTTCCTGAAATTTGTTTGTTCGCTTATTTTTCACCTTTTCTATTTTTTCTATTTTTCAGGGGTTTTTTTAATTTTTAGAGAAAAATGTAAGTGGTGTGAAAATCTTTTGCCAGTTTGGAAATTCTTTGAATGAATGTCCCTTGATATAACTATCAATTTATGATTCCAAAATGGTTAGGATGGAGAAGCGGAACATACTCTTAAGTACGTAGTTCAAAAATAGGACTGGGCTGAAAACTGGAAATTTCAAAGCGTTAGGCGTGTGGCCCTTCTCAAATCCTGAAAGGTTTCTGCCATTTTGCCACTTTATGCAAAAGGTAGCATATTTTACAAAATGTCTCACACGGTTTTGATATGACATTTTGTAGTAAATCATTTGTTTTGGTTGGTGCCTCTTCCGGGGTAAACTATGCCTAATTTTGGACGTGGACGTGTCATTTTGGTTAAAATGTTGGAACCATAATTCCGCAAATGTCTAAAAAACTGTGACCCATAATTCCGCAAGCAGAATTAAAACTATACCCATAATTCTGCAGAGCAAATAAGATTTTTAAAGCTCTTAAAAAATCATTAACCAAATTTTGTATGTCCTATGCCCCAAAATCTCAATATTACACATATTTCATACTTTTATTTCTATCTGGACATTCATTTTGTTGATGCTAAATTTCCCTTCTAATAATTTTGCAATATTTCCCCAAAATGGTACCAATAATTCTTCATGTTTCTTCAAATGGTACCCATAGTTCCGCACAAATTTCAAAAACTGATACCGATAATTTCACACTTTTCAGAAAAATGGAACCATTGGCTTCGAAATTAAATTTACGCTTCGCGCGTTTCTTGGACTAATGCGATTCACTTTTTGAGGGCTTATTTTATTTGCTTCCAGATAAATTTTATTCATTGATACCTAGGTCTCCCGTTAAAAACTATTTATTTTTCTGTCAACTCATATTCTGAATTGTCTATATCCTAGGCTGTTTTAACATTTGATTAGGACAGCAAAAATTCCTCTCTTGCAATTGCATAGAGTTGTTTGAACTCAGTTTGCTATCGAAGCGTGGGTAGATTACGCTACCGTGTAACCGTAGTTGCCCGTCATCTGCATGCATAATAACAAGGCTAAGTATCTATTTAGATCAAAACAGCTCGCTTCAAATTTCCCTTCAATGAAGGTATCAAAGGGTGAAATTATGTAGGTGAAGACATGCCCCTTTTGTTTTGGTGGGTTTCGATTGCCGCCCACGTTTGTTAATGGTTATTCACTATTGTTCCGCAAACAAAAGATCTTCCCATTTTGTACGTAATGATTCAGTGATCGTAAAAATATCTTAGAACTCCGCTTTTAGGCTTGAGTGCCTCTCTTATCCACAGTAGCCCTCAACAAAGAATTGAAGTTACATTTGAAAGGGCCCCATAGTGTTGATTCCTACAGTTGTGGGATTGCTCTCAAACCTAAGGACAATTTCAGCAGAGGTGGATGCCTAGACGCTGCAGAAATGAAGTTGTTTTTAGAACTTAGACGTCAAATCCTGGAAGACGTGCTTGGGACAAGGTAAGGTATCTTTTAATTGTAAATTTAGAGATATATAAAGTAACCCTCAATGCCGACTGCTTGCATTGCATGGCTTCTTTCTTTTGAGGTTTTCGGCATACTTTAATAATTTCTAGTATATAGTTCGATTGATAAGAGAACCCTTTCCGACCCCAACTTTTCGGTGCAAAAGCACCCTTTTACTGCAAATTTTCCTTGTTATGAACACCCAGAGCCGTCGACGGAACGGAACAGTGCTAAGCAGTAAAGGAGGGGGAGGGGGAGGGGGGTGACTGGAGGATGGTAAGCACAACTTTTCCACTCAGAGCATAAGTGTTTTGAGTCTATTTTCTGAGCAGTCGCTCCCGATAAAGGTTGACTTGTTTGCCCCCGATCTAAATCATGCATGTCACTTTATAGCAGAAAGCCACTTGTCTTTGCTATCTTTCAAAACCGTTTTATGAGAAAACAGTATGTATACCCGAGTCAAATTATCAAATGTATTTGCATGCTGATTTTCTAGCATAAAAACAACCTGAATTTATTGCAAGTATTCGGATTCTAACGGTCTTATGTTTGACCGCTGCCCTTTTAAAGAGACTTTTAGAGTTAGCAGGGCAATTCGAAAAGATAAGTTATACTTATATCAGAGAAACAAAATAAATATTTACAGGGAATTCTTAAAGGCTTAAGTTGACAGGGTTCAAATGAGAACTTCTATCGTTTAAGCCGCCAAAGAGCTTTTTTTTTGTAAAAGGGTAGCTAGATTGCACCTTTATAAGATGAAGCAGATCTTGCACAAATCAGCACGCAAACCACTTGGGAATACGTCTTTTTTCTATTGTTAACATTAACAAAAAGAGAATAAAATAAAGAACCGGCGCTGCACCACTGTTTGCACGTTCAAAACACACAATTATTCGTGTTTGCTATTTAAATAACCTGTCCGTACTATTTGTGTGCCAATGCTATGGAAACAAGTTTCACGAATTTTCTGTCGTGCGATGGCGAATTAAAAAATGCTATGATTGTTACACAAAGAAATCACAGGACATAGAGCGTAGATTAAGAGTGGGAATTTTGACCTTGCAAGGGATTTATGCATGTCGTTCAAGAATGTACAACTAAAGCATCCGTAGCCATCTCGCATGTCGAGGGTAGATGTGCCACCAAGGGATTGTACATGCTATAGAACACCCTCGCATCACACATGCTCTTTTTATAAGAACACTTGGTTCCAGTTTAAGCCTGGCTTTTCTTTTTTTCACAAAATTTCAGCCTTGCTTGCTTTTTTTGTTTCTTATTTTGGTAATGAAATTTCCAGTTCATAATAGTGTCCAGACATAACATGATAAAGTAATTAATGCTTTTTTGCTTGTAGCTTTCTGTCATTCTGTTACTATTTTTAAATTTTTCAATTTTTGCTGTATTTTATTTCTTTTATTGAATTTCAGTCTGCTATGTTTCTTATATTGCTCTTATGTTTCGGAAAAATCTCAGCCAGATGTTTCTTATAAGGCTTGTTCTTATAAAAAAATGCGTAGCCTTGTAAAAGGGCTCTTGCTCAGGGCTCCAGCTCCTGTTTTTGCATTAATATACTCATTGTCCGTTAATAAGTATGAGCAATCATCCATCGTTTTAATCAATATGACCGTCAAAAATGATTTTACCTTGGTTCGATGGTCTTATTTTTAGAATAATTTGAGGCTCGGGTGTGTATATAATCAACATTGATTTTTGTACATCCTCATACCCCATATTAAATCTAAGACCCTTAAATAACAGATTTCGTGACATGTTTGTTTTATTGTTTACTTGCTGATGAAGTATGTTTTGTATAGTTAATTTGAGAGAAAACCAGGCACAGCGCACCATTCTCAAAATGGGTAGACTGAAAAGACCGATAATTTTTTGAAGCCGAGCACTTTAGAATGCAGGAAACGCCCCTTTTTGAAAATACCCGCTTTTTTCCACTTATGTTTTATTAACAGTCGGATTCAGAGAGAAAGAGAGGACATGAACAAAATCATGAAAATGAACAAAATGGGGTTTCCAGTCAAGTCGATATGAGGCCTTTTGTTTTAAACAATCTTCTTAGTTTGCTTTGCTACTTTATATTTACATGTGGTGTGTAAGGATTATGACGTTTTTGCAGAAGCCTATAGTAGATTTAGTGATACTTATAAATGCTAGACCACGACGTTTCTCTGTTTTTAGTTAGTTGTGTTCGATCTATCATGACACACAAATAGTCAAAAAGCAGCCTCTGGAACCAATGTAACAAAAACCAGAGGATTGAAATTTCTAGTTTCACAAGAAACAAAAGAAGTCTCGACATCCTAAAACACAAAAGATCCCCTATTTTTATCAGTTCAAACGAAAATTAAAAACACATTTGAAAAGCTTAGTAAACCCGTAATAAGATACTAATCTCCGGAAAATCAGAAGTCTGCTGGTAGGATATTTTGTAGAAATGTGAATTTAATAAAAAAATTAAAGTTTGGACATAATCTACGGTCCCGTCAGTTTCTGTGACAAACTTTTAGAGCTGGCTTTACCCAGTGTTTGCTGCCTTCCCAAATCAACAATTAAGTTCTCAATAGTTCTGTCCTAATAAGCGTCTTTATGGGTTCGGAATGCCCACAAAGTTTATTCAAGTTATTTACGAGGTTAAAGCAACTATTAGCTTATATTTTGTTAACATGCAAAACATTTTGTCCAAATGTATTTTTGACTGAAATTCTTGAAAATGTGTCCTAAAGTTTTTTTGTTTGAAGTAGTTTGTCCGTAACCTTTCCATCCGAAAAAGTTTGATTTTAATACAAAAGAGCCCCAAAAAAACACGTAGTGCATTCCAGCGTTGTATTTACCGTTTCGTAAGGCATTGAATAATAACAAGGGATAATTTGTGTGGAGCGGAACTCTATTGCAAAACAGCTAAACGATTTGAAAAGATCATAACAATAATAATCATCATTACCGCCTCCTTGACAACAGCCACTCAGTTTACGTCAGAAATCGCGGAATTTCGAACAATCGCACGAAGAGTAGCATTGCGTTCGCTAGCAATAGGGTTCTTAAGTGTGACGTCACAGAAAACTATTTTTAGAATTTTTGGATTTTGACTGCATATTATAAAAGAAGTTCCTATGAAAAACTTCAAAGTATGTGAAATCAACTACTTGTGTCCAAAACTGGGCGAGATGTGGCCAATGAAAGATTTAAATGTTAGCCTAAACAAATAATCATCCTTGAAAACATTCTTTCCAAATTAGAAGTTGCATTTTTGAAGAAAAAATTTCGTTTGCTTTAGCCCTAATCCTTAGGGGCGATTTTCAAGCCACCATTATGGATGGGACTTCTTGTCACTACCTCCCCAGAGAAATTGCATTTCTTAAGAAAAGGAGCAATTGAAGATAATACAGTGGTAGAGCGATGTGCTAACAGGAAGTTGACAAATGCAAGCAACTCCCTTACTTATTGTAGCGTCATATATACTTTCATATAAAATGAATTGAATGTATAAATGGGTTTTTACACTTCAGTGCAGCTACAGCTGAGTAATAGCATCAAATAAACTATTTCATACGCACATTTTGTGTTAATAGATGTAACGCATGGAGCTCCATAATGTCATTAAAACAGTAAGCAAATGTTAATGATATCAAAAAAGCTATAAAAGTGGCTTTATATACAAAATTAGTAGTCTAAAATATTTGCAATGAACTATTTTTGGTAGATTTGAGATGTTAAGGCAAATAATTTTTAAGGAGAACAAATAAATAGCAACCAATACTTCTGTTATTGCTAAAAAGTCAATCGTTACTAGGGCCAGATGGAGCTTGTTGTCACAAGAATTCATTTACACGACAGCCGATTTCTAAAATATCATTTATATCACTTAAATATCACTTGCTTTTAAGAGTAAGACTATAATCCTTAAAGAACACCATATGTTGAAGAGACAAACATGATCCCTGAGGAACAACACATGTTAAAGAGACAGATATGACCCCCAAGGAACACCATAAAAACAAAGAGACTAAGAATTTTAGATAAAATGATAAACAAGTCAGAAATAAAATACAAGAACTGAAGAACCTCAAAATGGATGTGAGTGGGAGGTTAAATTCATATTAAATATAGGATTCAATGAAATAAGCTTTCAGGTTAGACAGAAAAAGTGCAACTATGACGGGAACGCGAATACAAATTTGAAGAGTATTCCACAATTTTGAGCCAAAATATTGGGCTGTTTGTAGTCCGCAGAGATTTCTTTTTTTCAAGGAATTGGATAGATCAACTCAAGTGGCCTGATGACCTCTAAACCTGTGGACTGCAGAGCTAGGAGTAAAGTTGTTATGAAAGTAGTTAGGAGAGAGCCTATTTTTGTGGCTTTAAACACAAATGTTAAGATACTCAGGTGTAGGATGTCCAGAGTTTTCTTATCTTTAATAAATTGAAATAAAGATGTAGATAGAGCAGTAAATCATTCAAATGTTAAACATCTGAGGATTTTCCTCTGTAATAATAATAATTGGAATTGAAAAAAGCATGGAAAAGCACTACTTTAGTACTTGCTCTTTGCCATAATGCATTGCATCGTATCTTTCCCTCTGTTCTTCTTTGGGTGCCAAATGAAATGCATCTAGATTGGATTATCTAACAGAACCTTTGGTTCCAGAGCGTTATATGGCTGCGGAGGGGGATTGATGCATGAAATACAGAGAGTGAAAAGTACAGGAACTCCTTTAAGCGCAACCTCTCGATTCACTGGAACCCAGCGTATTGTTTCAGTATCCAGGAAAATATTTCACCAAAGAAATCAGGCGACAACCAAATTAAATTGTCCAGCTTTCTTCCCAAATCTTGTTTTATGGAAAGGTGTTTACATCGAAATAGTTAATTTGTCATGATATAAGTATAACTGCATTTTGGACCAGTAGAAAGGGGGATTTATGAGAGCGATTATGAGAGGCATGGCATGTGACAACTTAAACGAATATAACAGAGATGTGACAACAATGTTGTAGTGACAGAAAGCATTGATCTTAGCATTGCCCGGGAAACACTGTCAGAAATCTGATTGCTCATAGTAGTTTGTGTTAGTACATAATACCCTGTACAATGATAAAATGTCTATATGTTGCATTGAATAACATATTTGCTTACTTTGCAGTTATGAAGCTTATGTTAACTTCAAGAGGGAGCCCACATTGCCGAAGAAAAGGCGTATGTATTTTATTTTATATCTTGGAGAACACGTCCCCCAGTTTTCGACAGGGTTAGTTTCGAGAAAAGTTCGACGGAAAAATATCGAGAAGGGGTAATATTTTGGCCACATATTTTTTGTGATTTAATCATATGATTTTGTAACTTCCCTTGCGTAACCAAAAGCTAGTACTTACAATATCACCTGAAAATTTAGTGTGAGATCAAAAACTTTTTCGAAAAACGCCCAAAGCTAAAAAAAGCAAGCCTAGACCTATTGTTCACGTGTTTCCATTCTTAGATGACGTGCTTGTCATAAACACGAACACAGAGTTAGAATAAAAGGTTTTTAGACCAGAATTTTTTCGATTATCTATGATGACCGCCATAGGTGGATTGTTTCGCAGAACAATAAGTTTTATTATTTGGTTGCAAATGTTCTACGTAAGGGTGTAATGTTAAGAATGCGTGCTTGATAAATAGGTGGAGGAGGTCACCCAGAAAAACCTGCTTCAACTGCCAAATGACAAAAGTTCGTTATATCTATGGCCCAGACCTGCGTCACAAGGTCTATTTGTAAACGGACAGAGTCTCGAAAACGTTCCCGAAAGTGAGAATACCAGAAGAAAACCAAACTGCTAATGAGAAATGTTCGAGAATATAAGAAACAAAAAATCAGCAGATTTGTACAGTTAAATTATCGCCAAGAGACCTTAAAAGTCATCTTTGACTTTGTCCATAATCCTGTATTTTATTTATCTATTTTCTCCATCAAATTTGTTTCCTTATTTAATGTTAAAAGTTAGATTATATTTGCTTTACTAAATAGCTCATTCTAAAAATTAGCAAGACCTTTCCTATTTCATGATGATCCATATGCTCTAATTTCTCTCAAAGTTTTCATTATATAATATTGCGTTTATACGGGAACTTGTGGATCCGTATACTTTTGGATCCACTATCCGAACACTTTTGGGATCGCTTTCAGAGGTGATCCCGTATGGATCCAATCTGGACCAACATTATTTGTCGAAAGTGAGACAGAATGTTTTTCATCTCAAGGTAGTTTCAATATGTAAGCTAAATTTGCAGACCTCAAATGAAGATAAGTCAACCAAAAAGTGATCAGTTTCCAGGGATAAAATCAGACGATTCTTCAGCATTAAGATGCTTCATCTTCTACTTTGCAAGCTTTTCTGTTTGTTAAACTATTGCTAAATTTAGTGCATGTTACCTTTCATAGTTTCCTTAACCTATCAAACACAGAAAGGACTATCCCCTGGGACCCTGCGTCCCTTTTCTGCTGGAACGCTAGCTTCCAAAGAGATATACCCTACAAATTTTGTCTTAATTAACCTTTGTACTAATTTTTTATAACTCTCTCGACAGAGCATCGAAAAAGAATACCTTTATGGCGATTCCTTCTACATTTGTTGAACCGCGACAAAGTCTCATACCTTGTGCAGTGGATTGATTTAGACAATTTCAAGTTCAAAATTAAAGAACCAAACGAAGTTGCAAAACTATGGGGTTCCATAAAGGATAAAAGTGATATGACTTATGAGAAACTCGGTCGCGCAATGAGATATTATTATGGCAAAAATATTATCGAAAAGGTGAGTGTGTCATTGCCTCTTGTGCAGGATGAATATATATACATAAACAACAAAAATTTCGTCTGATAGATTATCGGCGGATAAACTTCGTCAAAATAAATTTCGGACATTTTTTCAGAATTTCGTCATGACAAAATGTTTTCGTGGTTCAAACAATGCAGAGATATCACAGGAGAGAAGGCAGAGAAAATGCTAAAAAATATTTTAAGAGGCAAAACCACCAGCTCCGCGGGGACTTAAGGGGTTGAACACCCTCTTGGAATTTGGTTTAACCCGCCTTGCAGCTTTCTCATGCAGAACAGCATTTATGTTTATAGGCAGATAAAACAAAAGTTATGCTTCTAGCATTCAGAGTCTCTACCCACTATCAATGTGGTATTAAAGTTTATAAACAGACCATTATTAAAAGTATAAGCATAAATATAAGCATAAGAATAAGAAGGTTTAATACCGTCTCTATTGAAAATGTGGTCTGGAAAATTTGCGGTATTTTGAGTTCAAAATTTGTGTTGAAAAGTGAAATACTTTTAGCGATTGAAAGAAATTGTACAGTTGAACTATAAAAAGGCATAGTTGGAACTTTTGAAATAGAACTACTTTTATCGAACGACCGTAAATGAGGATAATGACGTAATTTGCATTGTCTTGATTAGATATAAATCTTAATTTTTGACCTCATGCAATAGTTTTTATGCGAGTCCTCAAAATTCATTAAAAGCGAAACTTTTCGTCATTACCAATTTCTGTTTTCTTTAAAATTCAGTCGAAGAAAATTTCGTCAAAATATTTGTTCGAAATTTTGTCACGACGAAATTTTTTTGTGGTTAATGTATTATACATGTCCGCAAGACACCCTTTTCTAGCCCTCTTTTCGTGACCCATTCGTTTTGTGACTGAGTGCTTGGAGAAACTGAGAACTTAAGATTGTCTTTTCAATAATTTTTTCTCTCAATCCCGAACAGAGGGGTTGGGGGTGGGTGGAAAATTCACCCAAATAAAAAAGTGGGGGCTGATGGAATTACCGTGGGGCATTTTGGTCTATTTATAGAACCAAATGATGGGTACATTGCAAAAAAACAATAAATAAGAGTGTATATAAAAAGCAAAATCAAATTCTTGCAACATCTAATGAGAAACACGGCCTTAAAACTAATTAATAATATCTATCATTTTCTAAAAGATATAGTTCTGTGTCAAGCTCAACCGTTGAAGTTACGTAAATGATTTACTCCCTAGGTTTTCCTAAAAGAAAATCAAGAATATAATAAGCAAGGTGATCTCAATAACAGGAGGGGGTCGGTATTGTTTTCGGAAAAAACTTAGCAGGGGGAGGGGGGTCTATTGAAGAGTAAGGTGTTACGCTCGTTTTGTTTTTTGTTTGTTATCTTACTTTAAATCGAATACATATAATTTTAAGCTACAATATCGTTACTTGTCGAATTCGATTATTTATAAAATATACATATTAAATCAACAATTTTTAATAACTGATAAAATCATTAAGTTTTGCATACGTTGCATGTACAAGTTGTCTCGTCTCATTTTTTAATTACTCTTTTGAATTGGATCAGATTTCTGCAGATTTTGTTTCCTGTGGTAAGCCATTCCAATTTTGTGGTCCGAAAGACCTGGGGCTGTTTGTACCGAAAGTTTTTGGTTGGGCCTGTAGTGCTGCAAGTCTTGTGGACGACGTGAGGATCGATCAGAGGTTCTTAGTTCGAAAATATTTTGCATGAATTCAGGATTTAATCTTTTTACAGTTTTTAAAATTTCAATGCAGAGGTTCATTTGCCGACAATGTCGAGGAGATGAACCACACTAAAGGGCAGTAGTTTAAAGTAGAGAAGGCAAAGCATTGGACCAATACCTTTTTCTCATCTAGGCCAATGAAATATTTAAGTCTTTTAAGCACATTTAGCTGGGTTATTGCCTTTTTACGCCAATATATAGTTACACCAAGCAACTTTACTGAAGCGTCAGAATTTATAGTTTTCCCTTGAATTGAAATGCTATGTCCAATGGTACTTTTTTATCCTTTCTGACCAGAAGAAAATGAAATTTTTCTGGGTTAGCAATCATTTTATTCTGATTGAGGCAGGCAAGGGCGATGCTTGCTTTTTTTTCCAAGACGTTAATTAATTGAGGCAGGTTTTTTGAAAAATGCGTTTAAGTGTTGTCATCTGCATGATTTACAAGAGAAGCCTTTTTAATGAAATAAAAACAGGTCATTGATGTAGAAATTGAAAAGAATAGGGCCAAGGATTGATCCTTGCGGTACCCCTGATAAAACAGATTGAAAATCACTATAAGTATCATTTATTCGAACTGCTTGTAAGCGCCTTTTTAAATAGGAGTAAATAAGGATTAGAGAACTCTCATCAAAGCCATATGCATGAAGCTTTGCAATAAGGTTATGCGGGAGACAGTCGAAAGCCTTTTGTAATCAATGTCCAATTTGACTTTCCAGTCTTCAAGCCTTTTAATCAAGATATGCTGTGTACTGTAAGCCTTCCTGTAGGCAGCAACGGAAGCAAACAAGGTTTTATCGAGATGAGGACTAATTTGATCTTTCATCATTTTTTCGTATATCTTGGAAAAAGTGTTGAGCACACTAACTGGAAGGAAATTTTTTTCTACTGTTCAAACAGGTTCGCCTTTGTCAAGAGGTGTGACTGCAGCCCGTTTTCCACGGTCTGGAAATCTGCTATTTTTGATACTGGTGTTTATACTCCTTTGCAGCTAAATGTACAAGTTTAGGGGGGTGTTTTGTCTTCACCGGTCGATTTTTTATCATTTATTGAAAGCAAGAGTTTGAAAACATCGTCTGGTTCAGCTTCATGAAGAGAAAATGTGCCAAACGAATTTTCTCGATTTTGAATTATGGTTAATATACTAGGGTGATTTTGGTATTCCTGCAGAATCAGTCGAACTATGTGACTACCGTCTTGAAAGGGTTCGTTTTTCGCAATGCTGGTGGGTTTTCTTCCAGAAGATTTTTCTATGATATTTATATAATGGTGATTAAAAGCTTCGGCAAGTTCTGTATCTTCAAATATGATTCTATCTTCTTTAACAAGGGTAATGTCGTTATCATGTAACCCTTTTATTTGAGAGAAATGATTTGACAAGATTCCAAAAGTCTTGATTTGAAAGTAGACCGGTTTTGGTTGCATTTTTAAAGTGATTTCTGATCTTCTTCTCTCTTTGTGAAACGCACAGATTTCGCTGTTTTATACTTGATTTCATTAGCCTTTGAAGGGTGCCTCTTTAAATTCTTACGAAGCCGAGATCGGGTATAAATTGCTTTCCGTAGATCCCGATTCATAAATGGGGCAGTGTTTCCCCTGAGTTTCTTAGTATTCAATGGGGCATGTTTGTCAACTAGCGTACGAAACGTTCTGGTAAGATGCTCATATGCATCAACAGCGCTTTGATAGTCATTGTCAAAGCTTGTACTTCTAACATCAGATAAAAAGTCATTTTCATTAAAGTTTTATAACGTCGATATGTAATATTTTTTGCTTTAAGGCGGGGTACCTGAGCTTTCAGTAGAGTAACTACAAGCCCGTCGCTCAGTCCTGTCTCAAATACACACGTGTTTTGAAAAAATCCTGGCCGGTTTGTTAAAATAACATCTAAAGAAGAGGCGTGGTTTTTTGTGAAACATATCTTTTCCTTAACCAGGTGTTGTAAGCCCATTACATCAGAAAATGACTTTAGCTTGTTATAGCCCGGGTGTTGCTCGTTTTGGGTGTCAATGTTCAGATCTCCCAAAACAATAACGTTGTCGTATTTTCCTAGAGCCGAATTCACATAGCTAGATAATCCATTTAAGAAGTCATTCGGTTCCCGAATCTGGGGGTCGATAGACTGCAAAAATTATCCACCTTTTCTTGCAGATACTGAGTTCTGAACGTATCGATTCGGCACTCGGGGCTTCGTAGGTGGTAATGCGATTATTAACTACCCTCTTTCTCACATATTGCATAACCCCCCCCCCCCCTCCCGAACTCATTCCCATCGCAGCGCATTGGGCATTGGTAGTTGTTCGTTTTAAATAGCTCATAAGCATGCTTTCTGACATTTTAACATGAAGTGCTGTTTTTACGCGTCAATTTCGAACTTCCATTACATTATGGATCAGAATGAGAAATACAGAGAATTATGACGTAATATTTTTGATGCTTCATTATGCGCAATGTATAGACCATGCTCGCAAAGGATGTCTTGCCCTCCCCCCAAAAAATTGTATTTCCAATAATTTTTCGATCAAATCTACGTTCTCCATCGATTTTGTTTTCAGTAACTTCTTTTGTTTCTCTTTTTTATGCGAAGCCTTTTGAGCGTAATACTTACATTAAATGGAAATAAATTATTTGTAACATTTTCATCTTGATTTCATATCTCTCAATTTGCTAGGAGAGCCAGACTATGACTATTGAGATAGACCGTTGCTTAGCCTTGTATTTTCATGTTGCAGGTTTCTGGAATGAGGTATTCATACCGTTTTATCTTATCAAAAAAGACCGCTAGATACTTAGAAAGATTTGACGCAAGGAGGAATTCCATTGACTCGACTGCAAGCACCGAAATTAGTACGGAATCTGAATCTTTAGACTATGATGATGTGGACGTTAATTTTGATTTTTTGAATTCACCTGCCGGGAGCCCTTCGTCTTTTATGAATGAGGACTTTGCTCGCTGTCTGGAGCCAACCTCTACGAAAGCAAGGGAGGTTTCGCTAGTTGAAAGTATAAAGGACGAGTTCATTTTAAAAGAATCTGGTGATGACATTGTAAGCACCCAATCGCTAGAAGATGGCTTTTGGCAGTTTTCACATGAAGCGTTTATGGACTTAGAAGATGCAACTCTCATAAAAAAAGGACCAATAATGAACTGTGGAGCAAACAATGGAGATGAAGTTATGCTTGCAATGCCAACGTCCATTGATGTCTTCTGTTACGGTAACTGAATTTATTTACCACACATTAACAGATAGATAAAGGTGAGACTAATGATAATTACTTGCCTGCAAACAAATTTGAAAAAGCCTGCGGGTCACCAATTGGGTGCTTTTGACGTACCTGCTATAAATGAATTTTCTTGATTTTTTCACTCAAATAAACATAGTTACTCGATTGTTTTTCCCTTAAGGTTTTTACTCCATTGTTTAAGCACAAAATGTACAACCATTCAATGGTCATAGCAAATATGGTACTTTCCACCCATTTTATAATAGGTTCATTCATTCTTTAAAAATAAACGATAGCCAATAACTAGGCTTGCTAGTCCATTTTGATTCCTGATTTATTAAGCAGCTCTTCCAAAGCACGTGCCTTGAGTGTATCTGTGCCCATTTTGAGACTTTGTTGCAAAAATTAAGCAATCTAATTGGTGATCTTATTCGGGTTTACATACTTTTACGGAAGGGGGCGGGGCCTTTACGTAACAGTTGAGTTGTTGTGCTATATTAATGTGAGAACTTTGTTGGATGGAACTCACCACCGATCTGTCTCAAGTTGTATGATGATGTATGAAATGCCGTAGCATTAATTGTAAATAGTTTTCATGCGACTGAAATGTACCACTCTAATTAACGCGTTTTTGCAGATTTAATGCATGAAAAGAGAGAAAATTAAAAACTGCAGCAATAACGTCGTAAAAATATGTTTTTAGACTTATTACAACCTATCTTGTTACAACGTTATCGAAATGATTATCGTGAAACCTAAAACACAGATTCTTTTCTTGTCGAATCACTTTTCTTTGGTCGTGTTCTAAACTCAACGGAGCAACCCATTGGCCACCTATCAGCCAATTTTGAACACTCTTATTAATTTCTCGACCCACGATTACGCTTTATTTTTCTTATATAAAAAAAAATTTCATTCAAAAGATACATTTTACCAATCGGGATTCAATTCTTTTTTCGGAATCGCTATATCGCGTCTAATTTTATTGCTATTGCCGTTCAAAGTTTGGCCTAAGCTATGAATAAAGCAAAGAATCTGTGACGTAATTGGGGGCCAAGAGTCACGTGGCACAAACGGCCGTAGAGGTGTAGTTGACAACAAATTCAACGAATTGAATTCTCGTTTGGTTACAATATCAAGTAAATAACGAGGCTAGATTAAATATAAATAGAGAAAGTTAATTCATAAAGTCCAGTTCACTTTCCGCCCTCTGTGCGCTCTATGGATGATCATAATCGTTTCTGTGTGGCTAGGCCAAATCAAGTTACCGGAGCAGACAGTTTGTTATGGCGGCAGCTTTCTAACTATGATTCAAAACATGTTGAAACAAATGCTATTATTTCCTGGTTGTATTAGGTCTAAACCCCTCCTCGTCATGAACTTTGCTTTCGCCTGAAAAGACACTCACTTTTGCTCGATTCCATCGCAAGCCATGGGCATTTACCGTGCTACTTCATTGGGCCTACATCAGCAACGTCAGCAACACCTGACGTCAATGGAGGTATGCTTTGTTTTGCTTCTTTTCTGTGTTTTGGCACTTTCCGGGCCTTTTAATAGCATATTCACATTCTATCTTTGGAAATAGTTTAATTCATGGAAAAATGTCGCATTGGTTTGAAAAAATTAGATGTGGTGATTTTTATACCTTAGAAGCACTTTAATTCATGTATACCGTCAACAATCACATGAAAAACCGTATAAATATATTATGAAAACGCTTTGAAGATTGACAGGCTAAATAGATACAGACAAATATGGTGTAAATTTATGACGGTGCTTGTGTTTTCTTTGTAACAGCTAGACAATTTTCCCATGATATCCATCTCTTTTATTTGCAAGGGTGTTTATTCAATTGAAGCCTTTATTTGTATTTCTTGTTCAAGACGTTCGAGGTTTTATAAAATTGCTCTTATGAGAAAAGAGTGTATTGGATTTGGTGCTTACATGAGAATTTACGGTGGATGACGTAACTTGTTTTGCATATTTTTGCAGCTACCTATTATCAAAAACACCGCAAAATATCAGAAGCTTGGAGTGACTAGATCGGTGTGCATCAAGAGCCTTATAGGCAACGTGGTTTTGAGGCATGAAAATAAACAAGTAGGAAAGAAAAGTCAAAGAGGTTATGGCTACTAATTGGGCTTTGTTATGAGGCTAAAATGCATATAGAAAATCCTCACCCTTAGAGGCTCTAGAAATGAATGGCTAATCTACAATATTCTGAGATCCTTCCTTACTAACATCATTATTGCCATCTGCCTTTCCAAACGTATTCCACCGAACTGGGAAAGGGCGTACAATGCGCTGGCTTACAAGAAAAGTTCACTGACGACCCTTCAAATTTTAGACCAATAACACTGCCATCAGTGCCCCTGAAATCTTCATGTCTTGTCTCAGACACTCTTTGCTCTCTTTCTCAAACATAATGGTTTTATTGGAACCTGAAATTCAAAACATTTCTACAAACTCATGTTACAAATGGCACACATGTTATATGAAGAACGTACCAAGCAAAGGTCAATTCTCATCACCCTGCTCTACCTTTTAGCGCTCTTGATGAAGTCGATCATAGTTTGATATTCAAAATCCTAGAAAATAATGACACCCCAAAAGCAACAAACTCTTGATCTCTACAACGGCTTCTTCTATCATATGCAACCTCTTTCATTACTGTTAAATGTGGTGTTCTCCAAGGTGACTGTATAAGTCCTCTCTTATTCAATCTTTTTTTAACAACTTTATTCAATGCATCAAATCAGAAGAGTTCAGGCGACTAGGTTTCTCTCCCATAAATGGACACAGAATACGTTTCAATCAAGTTCATTGGTGGCAAATTCGCAGGTTATGCCGCAGTAACTACTAAAAACGAAATAGAAAGTCACATGCTTCTGAACTTCTTTGCAAGTTGGTGCCAGTGGGTTCGGATGACCATACGTGTCGCCAAGCGCAGTTAGTTCGGTATAAAGAAATTTCACATCAAATCTGTACAGTTCAAAACAAACCTTTTTATCTAATCGAATCACGTCCTGTATACTGATCTTGGTAAGCCCTTGCAAGTACGTAGGTCGATACTTTGATTTTAAAATGCCAAGACAAGAACATAAATCAGAGATAGAATCTTATCTTTTATCACAATTTATGGGCATTAGCTCTTTTGATATCTACTCAGAAAGTAAGCTTCTTCTTTATTAAAGATTTGCCCTTTTCAAGCTCGCTCGGCACTTCACAGTTGCCAATCTATCCAAAACATTGGAAATTCAAAACTTTGATAACTCTAGCTCTAGCTACTCTGCACTTAAGACAATGGCTTTAATTATCACATCAAATCGATCTTCCTAAGAGCTCTACTATCAACAGTGTTGCTATTCCAAACAATAAATTTGGTCTCAACGTGCACATGTGATTTACAAAATAGAGCCAATGTAAAGTTGTTCTTAGAGATTCTTTTTAATCTTCCCCAGACGAAAAAAAAATTGCAATGAAAAAGTACCCGAAGTGGTGTGAGCCTGCAATATGAATTTTACCAGAATACTGAGCAGATTCTCAAAGTCATAAGATACGAACATGTCCAGCGTTTCTACTTGGTAGTTTCTTCAAAGCAACTTGTCAGCTTCATAATCAAACTTTTCTGTCTCGTTGCCAATGAAAGCAGTTATTGATTACAGCTGCAGTTTGAAGTTCTCTTTTAATTCATCGTTGTTGACTTCTTTATGACTTGCTAGTGCTGGTAACTCACAGGCTGGTACTTCTGCTGGCCCGGTCATTGGCAAAGGAGGTAGAACAACATAATTTTGAAGACCTTTTGGGTTTATCTTATCGTCAGCAGATCCATCAACAATTATCAAACATCCGGTTTTCTCGAAGCATCTGTACCTAACTTTGTCATAATCTTCAGCAGACAACTTTTCTGTAGCATTTCCAACCCAATGCGTCAACATTATCCGTCTCCTTTTTACATCGAGAGAATCTTCAGAGTTGTCTAATCACAAATCTATATCATCTTCTTTCTCTAACCAGTCGTTTTGCTCTGTCTGTATAAGGGATTTTTGTAACCTACCATACCCACAATAAACTGGCTGCCATATATCTGTTGCACCTGCGTGGCCATACCACACTATTCCACCAAGACCTTTGACTGCTGACTGAAACTGAACAGTAACCTTGGCCTCTAAGTTTCACAGAGAAGAATTCCTCGAGTTGGCTTACTGCTGGGACAAATGTACGTTTGGCCCAATTGAGACTGAAAGTCGTATCAGTCCATGCACTGCTTTGCCAGTAGACGTCAACCCCTTGGGAGTTGATAATATTTTGCTTGTGTAAGTCTCCCGTCCATGTATGGTTTATATAATCTTTATAATACATTGTACTTATTTTCATTTTTCCCCGGCTAAGCGGCAGGCATACATCCATCGTCGATACTTGTGAAAGGTGCATTATATTCGACAAATATTCAGATTAATTATAACATACTAAAGAAAAAAATGAATCCACAATAATGCTATCATACATACAAATATAATAAAAACCTACAAGTAAAAGTAAAACTGTAATATATAGAAATGAATGGAATCGAACTTTCAGGCTCGTTTTGTTTCAAAGCAAATTTCAATCTTTACAAAGCGAAGTTTCCGTCTTATCGCCTGACGACATCTTTTTTGTGTCAAGAAACACACAACGCAATCCCTCCAATTTCACTCAACGCAGTCTGTCATCTTAATGTCTAATGATAGATTCTACAAATCATTACATCTATATGACAAGCTCTTCAAATCTTTTCCTTTCATGCTTCTTGTTTGTTTACGTTCAAGTATATTAAGTTTAACAACGATATCAAAGTGGCCCCTTCGGTGTACTCTTTAAATCTAAGTTGAAACAGTTGGGGTACGAAACTCTTTAATTTTGTACAAATATCTTATTGTATCCAGATGTATTTATTTTATCTAATTGATTTGTAATTACTTTATTAGCAGCTTTAAAATTTAGCAGGGCTAAATTGTAAAACAGTAAACTTTATTGAATTTGTACCCTGTATAAATATGAAATATGTATAAAATATGATGTATGAAATAAATATGTAAATTTACGTTTGTTTTCCTTTAGTAACAATAAAATATCCTTGAACCATTCAATTAGAGTAAGGATATCTTGCTAAACACGGAAAAGTTGATAAAAACGCTTTTGTTTGAAAATATAAAAAAGGGATTATTAATCTGGCTAAAACTATTTTTGAATCACAGCATTGCGTAATATAAAATTACATCGTTTGGAAGCTTAAGCCGTTCTTGCATTTTTTGTTTCATATAAGATTATCGCTTTTGCTCGCGGGGACCCTTCGCTTTTGATAAGCAAAGGCACTATTCTTATATTGTATGTGTAAAGCATTCAAGTATGACATTTGTAGAGTGCCTACTATAGGGGGCGCAAAAGCCGCAAAACCGCGCAAAAAAGCAGCCAAAAGCCGCAGTCCGCAATGGAATAAAGCGCAAAGAAGCGATGACAAACGTGCCGTGGCACAGAAAGCAGATTACTCGCATATGAGTAAATGAGAAATATTCCCTGAAGTAACTGTATGGCAAGTTCTTATTGTTTTCACTCTGATTCTCAAAATAAGGTTTTGCGTTGGTCCAAACCTCTATTTTGTAATTTCTTGGAAACGCATCCAGATCCTAAACGGAGAAGACACAAGATGTATCTTACGCTGAAGCCCTCAGAAAACCTGTTTTCAAATCCGTAGACCGCAAGTAGAAATATTGTCCAAGCCGTGAAGCTGCCAACTTATAATACACCTATGTATAGCTATGGCTTCATAGAATTGATGTAGCTAGATGTGCTGTGCTGGCTTCTTGCAGTGGCGGCGCCAGGGGGTGGTATGGGGGGGGGTAATTACCCCCACTTTTTTCGAAACATGGTCTACATATTTCTTCTAAAAACGAGTTAGAAAGCACTAGGTAGAGGTGAATCATATTTCCTAAGGAAATTTGACCTGGTACAAAGCACTGAAACGAGGCGATTAGGGCGTGGTCTCGCTGGCCACGCCCATTGCCCTCCCACTCGGCAGTAGTTGGCGCCGCCACTGGCTTCTTGCTAGTATGGTCAATTGAAAAGAACTATGTTAGGAGCAGGGCTGTAGCGCTAGGGGGTCTCAGAATGTTGAATTGTTGAATCTGTCTTGTAAATGCCTAAATGTAACCAATTTCTACTTATGCTATTGTTTGTCCAACATTCTGCTTCGATCCGCTTTAATCTGGTCCAGTCTGGTCCTGGTTCGTTTTTAATTATGCACAACAGAAAACAAAAATTTTAGATATCCATTCCATATCTTTTAAGTTTTTATTTCTTTCAACAAAAATATGCACGAAGGAAAGCAAAATGATATAATCAACACAAAATTGTGCACATATGTTTAGGCAAAGCAACTGTGTGCATATGCATATGCAAATCAATGTATATTAAATTGTGTAAACCTTAATCAAAGAAAATATGATTTTAGGCTATGCTTTTGTAGAGCAATTGAATTCCAGCCACATAAAATCTATGTTATCTGGTAATCCGTATCCAGATTTGTTTTCCACATGGTGGCCGCTGTTGCAAAGAATAGTCAAAGAAGGACTCATGCTTCTAGTTGGATTATCTGTAGCAATAAAGCCAACAAGTCTCCATGATTTTACTACATTTTTGTATCCCAACCATGTTCCTTGCCTGATTCATCCAGTTGCTGTATAAACAGAATAAAACTTGACATTAAGCAGCAATACTTTACGAAGTAAAATTGCAATAGATAGGTTTAAAGCTAATCAACTTAAAAAATAACCTCATAAACCTGCTAAGGGATTTAAAATTCTTACTGCTATTTACTATTGATTGAGCATTGTGATGTTTGGTTTACATCTAGACAAATAATGATAAAGGAGATTTTCTCAGTTTATAAGGCTGGTTTTCCTATAGAAATAAACTTGAGAAAAGTGAGAGAAGCGTTGAGAAAAGTGGGGGAGGGGGGGTTAAAAGAATTGAGGGGGCAAAACTCTAAAAAGAGGCTTTACTTGTAGTTTATTACTTAATGTTTGGTATTTTTTTCAAAAAGTGGGAGGCTAAAGCGCCCCCAGCCCTCCTGCTCCGAAGTGCTGTATTACTTGCCTGCGACTAACACAAATAATAGTCTGCCACTATGAAAAGCAACTGTTTGTGTTTGCAGTGATTGCATGATTACAGTACAATGATTGCATGAGATATCCTCTAAATTTAGTAGGCAAAACCTAAGTGTCTTGAATAAATTGTTTTGAATGCCTTGAATGAAATAATATGGATGTTACTCCCTATCGAGCTTTATGTTTTGCCCACAAAAATAGAAAACGACTTTGGATAAGCCCTATCCTTGATAACACTTTAAGTATCATTTTGACCTTCCAGTATCGAAATGAAATAAAAAAGAATACCTTTGCTTGTAAGGAGAAAAAATCCTGATTCAAAGAGTCATTGTCAGCAAGAGACAGGCTTGTGTTGAAAATACCAAAGGCATTTGCAAGGTTGTCGTCTTTCTGTTTTTGATTTCTGATAGCTGTCGACAACTGCGTAACAAACATGTTTTTTTGAAAAAGGAGCAACAAACTCGAAATGAAAGAGAAGCAAATAAATTGATTGTTTGAATCAAATTTGTCTCTAACATAATAATGCCATATTCGAGTCGAACAGAAGAGTAAAATAAAGAGAAGAATTAACGTACCTTTTTATTGAATATGCCATGGATTGAGAGAAAGACGATTCCCTAAAAGTTGTAAAATTATAGAATTGTGACTTATGTTGACACCTTATGGTTGTGGGCTTATATTGGGATTAAAGCTAGGTATGTAACTTCCACAAAATCATCCATGCATTTTGTTTGGATTTGGGCAGCCCTCCCCTCCAGTATGAATTTCGTTTTAACAATAACACATAGTAGAATCTTGATTTCTGAAATTCTTATCATTTGAAATGAAAAAAATTGACAGGTCTCATAAAGAAATGGTCTTCAGTTTTATGAAATGTAGATATTAAAATGAGACGGTTTGTGGGTCTTATCCTGAGAATTTTTTTCAAATTGCCAGAGATTTTATCACTGACTTGAGATAAAACTAACTGGTTATCATGCGGCGCCAAAGGGGAAGCTGGGGGACTTGAGCCCCCACTTTTTTGAAAGAATAGTGTTTTTACTAAAATATAAAGAATAAAAGAAAAGAAATAGAAGTAAAGAAAATTGCGAAAAAATTCTTTTATCGTTTAATTTCAAAGTATCAAGCTGTGGTCTATGGGGCCCGATAGAATATGGACTCCATTTTAAAACCAGAACTAATCAAAAGTAACAAAGCATGCCTTAGAAATAGCAAAATGTTTTAAGCAATTGCAAGAAAATGACTGCATGAAACATTCTGAAATGTATTTTAAACTGATTTAAAGGGCGTTGGCACAAAAACTTTTCTTTGCTTCGAGAGCCTCTTCTTTATGATAACCTCTCATCCAACAAAGTCCCAGGCATAAAATATCTTGAAGCATTTTAGTGAGTTTTTCAAAAGTTGGCGCCGCCTTTGCTTATGTGGGAAGATGAGACTTACCTGTACCAAATTCGATGTAAGGTAGCAATATTTAATCACGTCCAATGGTTTTAGAACTGCTGAGATTCCAAACGCTGAAGTAAGGCAAACGAGTAGAAAGTAGACAGCACTGCACTTGATTTGGTTGCTGGAAAAGTAAGAAATATATTCTAAAGTAAAATCAAAAGCATAAAATGCATAAATTTGATGCAGTGCAAAAAATTACTCTGTCAAAAGGCTCTTAACTCAAAGTTATTCATCAAGGATACATATTTATTTAAAAAAATGTCAAGCCAACCTATATCAAATTGTTCCTTTTGAGACAAAGGTGAGCCTCTGGGCAAACTCGACTTTCTAGTGCACACTGCACAGACACTTAAAGGGGAGAGTGTTTTGGTTAGACTTCCTTTGTTGACATGAACTGTTCTGTAAAAACAAGCCGCAAGGGGCCAATAGTAAAGATATTTTCCTCCAGCCTCACAATTTTTTACATTGCGCATGTGCACCCTGAAGAAAAATTTTGCTTTGCAAAACTCTTCAGACTGGTTCAATTTTTGCACAAACTGATTTGCAGACAAACATTTATCTCAAAAAATTGTCACTCCGAAAATTTTGATATCTGATTTACTAACCTGAGAGCTAAAACTGCTGGGCCGACAGTTGCCAATTTCAATGGGCTGCCAGTGGTGGGATTTGCTTGCTTTCTGCCTGTATAATAGGCTCCTGCCACCATTCCGAACAAAATGATGTTTGCCTGAGTTGCAAATATTAACGGTTAAAATAGGGATGCTACAAACTGAAACTAAATGAATATGGATGGGCAAGGTTAATAAGTGGTTTGTCTTTTCCGTTGTTTTTGCCTAATTTGATTATAATCTATATAAAAGTTGAAGAATCTTGAAATTGTGCGAGTTACGGTTTCAATGGAGAAACAGACTCTATAAAGTATTACAAAATATCGGTCCTTTTCAACGTAGCGTAGGTACTTGTCTTATTTAAGATATTTAAAAGCGAAGTTTTGTATGCTCAAAGTATCATCTAAATGTTTTTTTCATTGAAATGGCTTTTATTGGTGGTGCCCAGGGGCGTATCTAAGCAACAATGATTGGGAGGGTGTTTGACACTAATTTTAGTGCCACACCCTTCAAGTCACTGGTAAATTATGGAAACGCCCATTTTTAAAATTCCTCTTTTAACTTTAAGGTAAAGACGATAAGAAGCAGTGGCGTAGCCAGGTTTGGAAGATTGGAGGGGCAAAGAGGAGAAAATTTTTGCTGACCACACCCTTAAGAAATTAGGAAATCACCCCATTTTGCAAAAGCGTTTGGAAAAGCTATGGTTTTGTACGTGGAAATTTCGCTTTATACATCGCCATATCTGACTTTTTGTGGCTGACCCCATTCTACAACACCTATTTCCAATAGAAAATTTTTGCGACGACGCCCTTCAGATTAGCTTGAATATTTCTTACAGTCGTTTGCAGTCTTTAAAAACGTTTTAATATTGTCTCAAATATAAAGTCCCCCTTTAAGATACTAATTATATTGCAGATTTGTACTTTTCTCAGACACCGACTTTCTGAGCGGCCGCTCCCCTTGCCTCTCCCCGCTACGCTACTGATAAGAAGATAAATACTGATATCAAGGAGATAAAAAGGTAAAATATTAGCGTTAATTTGTTACTGCTGACTACCAAAAAAATTGTTTTTACCGAGTGGGACCAAATTTACCGAAGGAGACAGAAATATTGAGGGGGTGTTGCACCCCCTACACCCCCCTCCGCTAAGTCCGTCCCTGGTGGTACCGCTACAAACAGAAAGTGTCCCAACGCAACGAGCAAAACAAGGATTGCAAGGTGAGTCATCAACAAACGAGCTAAGCAATTGGATTTCCTTATCTGCCATCAATCTTTTGAGTCATAACAAGAATTTGAGTGGAGAACAAATCAAATATGGTAGCTCTGTCTGTCTCAGTGTTAATATTATTGCAAAGCCAGTGACATATTACTCAAAAGGACAGGTCTTTAAAGGTGTGTCCAAAAGGATTTTTATCAAACGCTAACACTAACTCTAACCCTAACACTAACCTTTACCAGAAGGGGCGGATTTGGCAAATTTCAAGGAGCCGATTTGAAAAGCGGTCGTTGAAGGGACGCAATAGCTATAAGCCTCTATTTAAATATTAAGTCTCGTTTAAGAAAAGAATCGCAAGAAATATCTTTGACCTGAAAAAATAAATATATTACTGCTAAAGTTTATATTGGTATTATAAATGAAAGGCGCTAAGCTCAACTAAATCGATTTCTGGACAAAAAGTTCCATACCTAGCAATATGACCTAATTTTTCGAAAACGGGAATTTTTTCAAAACCCGAAGGTATGTGACCCTATCTTCGTCTGGAGTTCCCTACTATCACAACTTTCTGTAGATCAGGGGGAAACCTTGGAGTGCATTTTTAAACATGTCTGGTATTTGTGTTTATAAAGTTCTGCTGTTCATATTAAATCAACGAATGACGTGGCGGGCAACAGTGGAAAGGACCTTGAAAGAACTGGCACCAACTGGACAGAGGCGAAACGACTATCTCAGAATCGAGCGGAAGGAGAAGATTGTGTCCAAAAGCTGAAAACGGAAGAAGAAGAGGAAGAAGTTCATATTTAGCTAATAGAAATGGAATATGTCACATGCTCCCCATTAAGTTCTTCGTGATCAAGACAGCATACGTTTAAAAACGATAAGTGGTACTTACTACGACAAGCAAAACCAGGGGAAAAACAATGAGCGTGAGCAGCACTCTTTGAGTCATCCAGCATCTAAAACATAGAGGGTGTCAGAAGAAAGTTTGGCATCGTTTTGTTTTACAATTTGGCAGCTATGTTCTTGGGAATGATCAGGCTATAAGGGAACACTTTTAACTTCACGTTTTGCCAATTTAGGCCACCAAGTATAAAACGTTACAAAATACACGGGCATACACTTAAAGTATAAATGGACGATTTGGAGCTGAAGCTCCTACGTGTTATTATTATTAGAAATATAAGTGACTTTGCTAAGGGTGAGATATGAACATTTTCGAAGTGAGGCCATGTCACGCATTTTTGTCAGTTTTTGTTGATGTCAAGCGTCCATTTCCACTGCTCCTTTTTAGCGTGCAAATGAAGAGAATAAAAATATCGTGTACAACACAAAGCAGTGCAAACTGGGTCAAGATCAGCAGCAATGTAAGACAATCTTGATGTTTAAATTCATCAAAATCAAAATTCCTAACAAATACGTGTACAGAATTTACGTTAAGGGTAGCCTTTTGGTCATTCGTTCATTTGGGCTGAAACGAGATGTCCACTTGTTTGTTTGTTGGAGCAACATGTTTACAATGTATCTCTACAATGATATTATAACTTAACAATAATATTGAAAATGTTGTCTTAATCCTTTGGTTATAGTTTTTTCAGATTTGGTAATAGAATAAAAGAATGGTTGAAAAGGTCAAAATTGAGCAATAGGATTAGATATGACTCACATTTGATAGTAGCTATATTGGTCGTAAAAAACAGCTACAGAAAGGGCCGTGACCGCAATAGGAAAGCCTGCAATTAAAACATTTATGAATACACCATTGCCAAAGGCCACAGATCCCAATGTACTTATCGAACTATATCTAAATCGAAAATGGATTCAAGATTATGGCCACCATAACAGTCAATGAATAGGAAATGCAAAAGGCAAGCAATTAACCAGCGAGTAAAAAAGAGCGACATGTTGGTTATGCGGTATGTTTTAGATTGTATTGGAAAAAACCGCTGTCGAGTGCAATTTGTGCATATGCTTCGTGCTAAATCTTTTTTAAAAATCTCATTTTCATTGGATATATTTTAATTTACATTTGCATGATTCGCTTTGACAGGCTTAATATTAATGGCTTATATGAATTACTAACAATGTTTAGAAGTCAATCATTTCAGGATTTAGCCATAGTTTCTTTCAACGACAGAAGATGAGGTTGGTGCAGCAGATAGAAATGATAATGAGTTTCAAGAGAGAGAGAGACAGGTAGACGAGGTAGACGAGGTAGACGAGGTAGACGAGGTAGACGAGGTAGACGAGGTAGACGAGGTAGACGAGGTAGACGAGGTAGACGAGGTAGACGAGGTAGACGAGGTAGACGAGGTAGAAGAGGTAGACGAGGTAGACGAGGTAGACGAGGTAGACGAGGTAGACGAGGTAGACGAGGTAGACGAGGTAGACGAGGTAGACGAGGTAGACGAGGTAGACGAGGTAGAAGAGGTAGACGAGGTAGAGAGGTAGACGAGGTAGACGAGGTAGACGAGGTAGACGAGGTAGACGAGGTAGACGAGGTAGACGAGGTAGACGAGGTAGACGAGGTAGAGGTAGACGAGGTAGACGAGGTAGACGAGGTAGACGAGGTAGACGAGGTAGACGAGGTAGACGAGGTAGACGAGGTAGACGAGGTAGACGAGGTAGAAGAGGTAGACGAGGTAGACGAGGTAGAAGAGGTAGAGACGAGGTAGACCGAGGTAGACGAGGTAGGCGATGTTACTTTCGAACCCAACAGTAAGCTCTAGCATGCAAAGGACTCGATCTTCAGTTACAAAGACAAGGTCTGGTCCATAGGAGTCGCCTGTGATTAAAGAATGTGATAGATATGAAGGCCGTTCCGCGTAAAATGAGCTGTTTTTCAGTGTTTAAAGGGTTTTATCCAAATAGAGAAGTACAAAATTATGTCTCCAGGTATAGCTACCGTGTTCAAGATAATTTTGACAGTTGGAAACTATGTACTGTGATGATTCTGATTGGAGACAGAAAGAGCAGACAGATGACTGAGTAATTGACCATTTGCATAGGTTATTCCTAGTGGCAAGAGTGTTGTTTAGGTATTTGATGGTAAAGTTGTTAATGTTTTTTGGTAACCTTTGCTGGACACTAGACCAAAGTTGATTAGTTCCCTTAGAAGCAAATTTTAAGATGCACGAGATAATAAATCCTTGAGATGTAAGAACGTTTTCAATGTGGTTTTCATGTTCACTTTGGATGGGTTTGAGAACTTGTATTGTGTTGTGATAAACGTCGTATTGTATGTTTGTACCAGCGCTAAAACCTTTCCACGAAGAGCGATTATCTTGGTATGGGGACAGTCTTAAAGCGCTTCCTCTCGAAAAAACGCCCACCCTCGAATAAGCGCCCACCCCTCAAATAAGTGCTCATCCTTCAATCTTCAGGAACGGCGCTTATTCGAATTTTCAACGAAAACATAATTGGAAGGCAATTTAACAAGAAAGATTAATGAAAAACACGATTAACACCCAAATCTACTTTCTAAATAAGCACCCCCTGGTTTAAGCGCCTCCCTCGATTGAGCGCCCACCCTGGAGCCTCAAAAGTTAAATAAGCGCCCGGGAGATTTTTGAGGCACTACGGTACCTGCAAAGTCGTCCCACTTTTTTTCTGCCTGACACATTTACAGTACCTGCAAAGTCGTCCCACTATTTTTCTGCCTGACATAATTAGGAACAAAGACATTGATTTATTAAGCTCTATAGAGCTCATTTTAGGCTTAACCGGTGGTCGTGCTCACGAAAGCGAGACTATACGTTAGTCCTATGAATGTTTACTTTTCTCAACAATTAAATAAGTGCCATTAAAAGGAATATTTAAAAGTTCAACTGATTGTATTAAAACTTAAATCTGAAATGTAGGAGCTTTTTGACATACCGTATCCCAAAGCAAACAAAGGTGTCCTCGAAAGGCTTCTTGCTGAGATGTATGGTACGGTCAGGGTGCGGTAATAATGCCAACATTCTGCGACGTTCCAAGCAAACGTTGAAATGATTGAGAAATGAAGAGAAATGGATATTACTTTACAAGCAGCCTGCAAAGAAATAAACGAAGTTTTCAGCTAAGCTGCAATATAGCACCATAGTCATAACATTACCGCACGACTGCCTAAATTTAACAAGGAGATGACAAATCAACGTTATAACAGTTTCATCATCATCATCAAGTACCATCTTCTATCAGAAGGTTGGCTACCATGACCCTCCAACTATCCCAAAATCTGAGTTTTGGTTTGTTGTCATGGTCATAGATATAACAGTTTATGGTTTCCAATGGTGACATAAACGCAACACTAACTGTTGATAATATTTTCACATATTCACACACACAGGGTTGGCTCATATAAACCTGTATTTGTCATTAATATGTTGTTAATCATTCTGTCAAATCAGATTTCAGATTTAGTTTTTCATGACAATTTGATGCACAAGGCTCAATGAATAATTAAGTTCTTAATTGATGACATCACAAATATCTTTTAATGTATCTTGATCCCATAACCTTAAAGAGCATAGTCAAGTGCGTGTTACGAATTTGTTGAGATATGGGCACATATGCATTGGCTCTTTCCCAATTAAAAAAGAGCCTAAATCTAGCTGCAAGGCATGCAAAATTCTTGAGTTCTGTTAAGTCAATATGTCATGAAGAATTTGGTCCCTCAACAAGTCAAAGATTTGTAATCTATTCAGAATGATTTTAAAAGAAAATGAATTAATAAACATTCCGATTTGTTTACACTGGTTTTATGTTTAAAGTACCTGATAGGTATTCTGGTGGATTCCGTAGATTATCCCAATCTGCGTCGCAGCGGCCATCAAGGCTTGATTTAAACTTGTCGCAGAGATAGCCATGCTTTCACTTGGAGTAAAATATTCTGATAAATATTGGCACAGAAACAGAAAAATGAAATCAGTTTAAAGTTAAACTTTTGAATCTATTTTTGTTTTCTATTCAGAGTGTGATTGCTTTAAAATCTTTGTTGATTCTCTTAAGAGAACGGTCTCTCTGACATACTTTTGCAGGCCCATAGAAAAGAAATCGAGTAGGCAATTGCAAATGAATCAACGCCAAAAGGAGCCTGTATCAGTTCAAAACAAAATACTAAATCGAAGCTGGATACTCCTTTGTGAGAGGCGCACAGGAGTCTATTGTTGCTCTATGCGGGACTGTTAGTGGTTTCGCACACATGCTCTTACTATATTTCGGGTTTAAATATTCGTAAGAAAACATGTAAAGTACCTTGATCCGTAGCAAGCATAATCGATGAAAATTCATTGGTAGATTCTGACTTTGGGAGACGCAGCTTGATACTCAGACTAATAACAAGTACGGCGACAAAAAAGGCATTGCAATAGCCGTACATGTCATAAGTTAGTATCAGATAGCATTGAATCTAACATAAAATAAACGATGTTTATCTTACCCATAGTAAAAGGATAGAGATACTGCTAGAAAGAAACAAGCACACGAAATGCCACAACTGATAAAGGAAAACACCAATTTGTCCATAGACTGCAATCGCAACTGGGACGACTGAAAAAAGCGCAAAGAATGGTGTAAAAGATTTTAAATTACATCTACAATAATTTGATCTTCATTTAATTAACACATGTCTTTGAAAGCACCGGTACTACTTGGAGCTGGGCCTTTAGGCAGAATAGTGTTATTAAAAGCTGGCATTTCAACTTTGAAGTGTCATTTAAGTTTCTTGTAGGACTTTACAGAGAGCCTATGAGCCAGTAAAGCAGAGAATAATGCATAAAACTAGTGAAATTTGCTATTTACCGGTTTGACACAAAGTGTTGAATGCCATATAGGTAGAGCTGTACATGCTATTTGGTGTATTAAACGGGACGGTTCGAAGTTGCTTCACCGAGTTTCAAAGATACTCAGAGTAGCAGCTTGGAACCGTGCTGTTCTACACTCCAAATAGTAAGCATATAACTATGCATCAACTGTAAGAGAAATGTGAACATTTTGCAATGCAGATCGTTAAAAGCAAATATACTTACTTCTAGCTGAGTGTAGTTGAAAAGCAAAATATATAGACCGGGACGTGAGTAGGCACATTCTGTTGCTGCTTGATCAGTTGTTTGAAGGACCTTGCCATCAGCATTCCAATGAAATACCACATCTCTAAATTATTGAAATAAATACTAATGCAAAAGTCAGCTTAAAGTCAACTTACAAAACTAAAATGCAATTCCACATTCTATACCTCTTTTCAATTAAGTATATTTCTGTATAAATATATTGACTCTTCTTAGAAGAGACAATTTTCAGAAAACGACAAACGTATTAAGTGAAATTCTGCATTTATTGCATTTCTTTTGAGCAGAAAATGTCTTGACTTGAATTTACTCAGATAACAGCGCAAATAGGACGTGTATTTAAAAATTCTGTTTTAAAAGCTGAAAGAATGACATCTACCTTTTTACTTCAATAAAATGACAGCTTTGACCTGTTCCATTTGTAGTCTGAAACGAAATGGTTGCATTAATTTAGTGTTGTTATTCTATGGGCTAGAGACTGGGGATTAAAATCGTTTTCGAATCTTGCTATTATCCTGATGAGATATTTTCCTGAAGTTTTTACTTATGGTTTTTAATGTGTCACTGACAGTACATGATTATACCGCAAAGAAGATTCATTAAGGGATAATAAAAAAAATAAAATAAATCATAAAGCCTAAGGTGGATACTGGAACTAAGGCTAAAGGTGGATTGATAAATCCATTTGCAAAAGAAAATTTCATTCATAGCAGTTTAAAAACGAGGGGCAAATCACTCCAAGAAAATCTCGTACACTTTTTGCGAAAATCCTATTGCTTTATCTGAAAAACCTGGAAATCCTTTTGTTTTAGGGAAAATCTCGTACGCTGTTTGCAAGGGTGAATTGCCTCGGTTGAAGGCCAAGGTTGGTGAAATTGGCTTGATAGGTTTGAAATGTATCCAAGGTTGGTTTAATAGATTGGTAAAATTTGCCAATAGATATTTCAAAAGCAGACAAAAGAGATAAGTCTGGCGAAAAAGTCATTCCACTTATTAACATAAGACAAACGCAAAACAATTAGATAACAATATTATTAAAGAGTGTGAAAGCAAATTAAAAAAACCATCGTATTTTTCACAATTTTCACATTTCAATTTTTTTCATAAGATAACAAAGTGCAATACAAAGTAGTTTTCTGAAAATAAGACCAACATGGTTGCATGAAACTAATAAGAACTTGCTTACCAACTTTGGAAATTTGACTGTTATTGGATCGGGTATGTTTAAGAAGTACCCATTGGTGTCCGGAAAAATGCCACTTGCTATCAAAGATGATCCAAGGCGAGGGACAGTGACTGAATCGATGCTAGCAAAAATTAAAGCGCTTTAAGTTTTATTTCCTTTACCTTGTGTTCGAAAATATCAATAAATGTTGAGGAAATTTTTTATTTTAAAAAATGTTAAGATATGGTAACCACTCATACAGATGATTTGCACAAAAGTGACAAACAGCCAGGAATAAAGAAGAAAAGGGGAAAAAGCTAATAATTGGTTGGTTCAATTAGAATACAATCAAAGAATTGATATTGGTATAATCTGCTGCAATTTTAAGACGAAGAAGATTGAAATCAAGACCTTTCATGTATATGAATAGCAGATCTCAAGTTAATGAACGGAAAATGAATACACGATTAATGAAATATTTTTGGAAAACAGGAACTCAAGGAAAAGTGAATGTAATGGCCTATTACCTTGTAAGCTCCGGAATGAGTACTTTGCCAAAGTCATTTAGAACTAATGTAACGATTCCAGAGAAGAAGTCTGTTATGAGATAAGCTAAGGTTTAATGATTGCGATATTTCTACGGTCCAAAATCGTCATGCTTTCATAATCGATATTATGAAAAAATAGCTTGCTTCCTCAATTTTTATCTTAAAAATTTTAGATCAAGATAAGATAGTGGCACATTCACAAGAATAAAGGCCAGAGTGGTTTATACGATAACCACCTCAGTCTCTTATGTTTGGGTTGAATATATATATATATATGTACAAGCTCTGATGCTTTTAGTTAAGACGTTATATATGCTTCAAATTGCTCAAAACTGTAGAAATTTTAAATATCCGTCCTTTGCTCTGATCTAATGTTTACATTACGCTGACCGCTACTATAGTTGTAAAAACTTATTAGTATGATTAAGAGTATGAAAAACTCAAAACTAACTGTGTATAAAGTTAGCTTTAGGATCTTAACATCTAAGAGAATTATCATGAAAACGTGTTGCAAAAAAATTTGAAAATTTTCTTTGCATTGAAATTTAAGATAAAAATACCCACCATTTATTTGGTATATATCAAAAGAGAGCATCCCTCCTTTTCCGCTGACACAGTTAAATGCCTTTCCGTATTTTTTGAACTTTGTATGGGCATTACCTGATGTGGCACACCAACCGCCATCTTGAATTCCAAAAACCTTATATCCTCTCTCTTTAGCAACCAGTGCACATTTTAATATTGCATTTTCTCGAGTTAGGAAATTGTCAGTAAGCAACGGATGTGTTTTTTCTATGGTTGGGAGAACGTGGTCTTTTGCATCGTCTGAATAGCATCCGAGATAACTATACATACCTAAGAAAGGTATAAGGATATTTTGGTAAATGAATGTTACTGTCAATCGAGAGTTATAAGCGTTTTTTTGTACAACAGGAGTGTCCCACTAAATGCAATCATCGGCAACTTTATACAGATGAATCAGGCTGTAGTAGCTGGATGGAATTGTGTCATAATTATTTCAACCCCTGATTTCTTTTATAATACAACATTCGTATCATTTTACACCTAAAGACATAAAATTAAAATGTAATGCCATGAAGTACACCAATAAGCTCCCAATCAAATCGTTTAGTATTGCGCCCGTAAAAAGGCTAAGCCAAGTATCTAATATGACATCTAAAGTAAAATACTGCTCATCTGCCATGACCCAAATTAGTATTGAGCTCATTTTCGTACTAGCTAGAACACTACATAATATTCCTCCCATTAGACGTATGTTACATTTTATCTGTAAATATGTTTGCCAGTTTAGCTGATATTGGGTGTATTACTAAATTAGGTAGTGTTTAGAATTTTTTAGAAAAAGCTTAATCAGTAGCCTAGCAAAAATTGTACTGATAGCATATTTGAATTGGGAACAAAAAGAAAGTTAGCTTGCTCTTTTGTTGCAGCAAACCAAAGAAAGCATTTAAAACCCGAGCTACCTTGAAGTATGTTTCTCCCTGCAGCTTTTTTAAACAATGTATTTGGATACAAAACAGAGAATGTAAAATTTCGTCCCAATTGTCCAGTAATGTTTGGCCATTTATAGCCTGCAAATACGTTCTGTTCGACAATTGCAATGTCAATACCTAAAGAATTGAAGAAAATTAATAACGTCTATTCAACTGTTGCTATAAACATCGAAATAGGCCAGAGATTTAAACAAGTTTAGAAATTTCTAATGTTTGTTGTAAGGTTATTTGTGAAAAAGAACAGATACTGAATACATTCAAGCAGTTACTGAATTCATTCAAACATATCTATTAATTTATCTATATGTAAAGAATTCGAGAACGTCAACTAAAAAAGAATTTTGAAACTTTAAAAAAATTAAAAAATGTTTTGTTTGCTACGCAAGTTTGAATTATTTACATTATCATTTGTTTAATATTTCTGTATATAACTCTTTTGTGTTGATGCTAATTAAAACTTAATGAAATAATACTCCAACAGTAAATTGTTGTTCTGATTACGCTTGGGGCATACTTATGCTTGCTGAACTGATGTTCAGCGTAAGATCTTTGTACAAGTTTGGCAGTGCTAAACTGTTGTTCCTGATGACTGCTATTTGACGTGTTACAAAGATTCCTGCTGCCTTCCAAATCAAATCAAGAATCTTCAATGCCTCTGTTGAACCCTTAAAGCACAAAAATGTTAGCAATGTTAGAAGACATCCTGTTCACTCCAGCCACAGTCCTTCCTTCCTTAAGTCAAAAATTTTATTTGTCTAATGCCAACCAACTTCTACTAGTAAGCCGTATTAGAATCTAAGTTGTATTTTGGATAAATGTATAAACAAAATCCTAAAACTTTTATTCAAGTCAAAAATTATAGGCCCAATTTCTTTGCGTGTGTCAGACTGAAGCAGTGCAGTTCTTATGTTGCTTGAAAAGATATATACTTTAGCGGTTTTTGATGGCTACAAAAAGCTTGTACAAAACTAGTGAGGTGGTTGCACGATTTACTTAAAGTAAATGTCAAAAAATTGGCCTTTGTTAATGTCTAGTGCATAAGGTTAATGGACCCTAGAGCAAGGCTGATTTGATTTGCGCGATGACATAAATATTTTAAAGAAAGTACAACAAAAAACAATCTAGCTTTATAGAAAAAATCACATTATTACCTTATGCATTCCACCCCATGAGGACACAGTTCTCTGGTTTACTAATGGTTCAATTGCAGTTATAAATGCCTAAAACATGCAAACTTAGCAATTAGTCATAAACCAAATACAGCTGCTTTTAACAGATGCATCTATAAATCATACTTCTATATAGAAGTATCGTTTTTCTTTTTTTCTTCAACCATGACGTCATAGAAAAGATATTTAGAATTTATAATTTTGATAACATAGCCTGAAAAAAAAAATTGAGACCTACCTCAAAAGGTACAAAATTAGTTGAATGTGTTACAATGTTGCTAAAATATATAGCCAAATGCGTGAGCACAGAATCTCCTCCAATCAAATCACGCTTATTTATTTTCTAAATAACAGCAATCCGTTAACAAACGTTAACAAACAATCTTTCATTGACCATATCTCAACAAACATATTTAGCTGATTTTGCGCATTCAGAATTATTCCATGATGTTCTTTTAGGTTACGTATTCAAATTTTAAAAATACTCAATATAGATTTGTATGTTACGTCACACTTCTTATAAGAGACCGTTTGACATGCTTTGCAGCATGAAAATATCAGTTCACTGTATGCTTTGCTGGGACTAGGGTGATGACAAATTAAGGCGAGAAAATTCACTTAAATTTGCAATTGAAGCATACATTGAAGAATACTCTTGATTCGTAGTGACTTTGCATCGTGTCAGAGCGGTTGGCAGCATCCAATATAATGTTTACGACTTCTCTTGCCACTAGTATGTCACCAGAGTAAAGGGTGTGAGTTTTAATATCAATTGCTCCAGATAGCTCTCGCAGGTAGTTAAGAGTGTCAATCCATTGCATACTACTTCTTTCTTTCACCTGCAAAAACATTAAACTGGTGAATCCTGTTTATTTGATGTCTGTTGTAACCAAAAAGTTATAAGGCTAATGCTTGAGCTCTTTTGGAGTAAATATATTCTAGCAGTTACACAAACCTTGGCTTGTAAATTGAGCAGATCAGGCAGTACGCATTTTGTCATAACAGGGACGTCCCATTTGCCTGCTTTTAAACATAACCTTGAAGCAGTGCCTGAAAACATCGAGATGGTGACCAATAAAAATAGCCAAATTCATAGAAAAGAAAGCAACTTCTAAGGTTGAAAAATAAATCACTGCGTGACTATACATGAATCTTTTTTAATTATAGTTGCATTTATTACTGTGTATGTTTAATTCTTACATACTTGGAAATAACAATCCTCATTCACGATGATCTACTAAGAACATAAGTTTATAATTTACCAGAGTGCCTAGAAGGACAATCTTGCGTGATTAAATCATTCGGAACAGCTGTACGCCATTTGAGATTTTGCTGCCACTCAGTTTGGCAGAATGATCCACCAGCATTGGCTGTAATAAAGTTGACATTTTCTTCAAAATATGAAAAGCAAATATTACAGTTGAGAGAAGTCTGCAAGACTTTACATAGGTTAGCTCTCTAAGATCGGAATAACAATGTCAAAGCTTTTTTGTGAAAATGCTAGCAATTGCACTTTAATAAAGTTGCAGACATAAGGCAAAAGGAAGAAATAAGTCGACAAAATTATCTCTTAGAGCAGACTTGGCTGCTGATTTAGTTGCCTATGATCATAATTTTTGAAGCGTGAAGTTGACAGTATATAACCTTAAGTCATCACGTTTCGTGAAAGTAATGTCGAAAAGAAACTTACAAATGCAAGATTTATCATCGCCATGAAGAGAAAACCCTCTGTTGCAGGAACAAGCATAGGTGCCATTTTCATTGCTACAAATATGGCTGCAACCGCCATTCACAACGCTGCATTCGTTTACATCTGAAAAGTCAGAAAGTTTAGCTAAAAAACGACAGGTTATTGGTGTAGCAAGACAAATAACACAAAAAACGTTATCATCTATGATATCTTGGATTTTTTCATGTGCCTTAAAACCAGGAACAGGGGGGAATTGTAGGATAAATAATCTGAATAATCTTTAAGCTTTTTTGCTCTATAATTTAAAGCATATAATACGTTTTGAACAATTTTTTGGCGATACAGAGCTTGAAATAATTCGATCCACAATTGGGTATATATTTTCCATCGTGTTTTCTCGGACATTTTATACTCTTAATAGTGTCAGACGAAAAAGCTTTTAGTAGTATTTTGAGAAATGTTTGCATTCTTCAAAGCCATAATAAGTTTTAAAAGATAAAGACAATTTTCAGAATATTATAGCTTTTCTTGTAGCTCCTGATATTTTTATGATATGATGAGAAAAAAATATGCATAAACCTGTGCAAATTTTCCCATTACCAGCATAACCATCAGTACATTTGCAGAAAGTACGATCATTTGATTTAAGGCATACAGCATCTTCGGAGCAAGGTGGCGAGCAAAAGCCTGAAAGTGTAAAATTCAACAGGGTCAATGCTTTTGCATTGTTTGCTCCTATTTAATCCAGAGAAATATCTAGTTAAATATCAATAAATTAAACAGTTGGGCTAAAAATAATCATTTATTGCATATTTCATCCAATTCTACCAATACTTTGGTTTATTTTGATGATGGAAGCTGGAAAAATTTGATCACTCCTTTTCAAAGAAAAGCACACGAAAATGGATTGCCCTAAATATCCTCTGCATCAAGATATGCTTTTGCTATTTTCTTTGTTTTTCTAATCAGATTAGATCTTTTCGTGTGCTGGCCTATGCTCATACTTTGTATTTTCAGCATTCTATATAACCACTGCGAGCTTTTCTTTGAATGTAAAAACCGAATTCATGTTTATGGCAATACCGCAGTTTTACAAGGCTTATAAAAGAAGATCTTATGGACAAGGGTCAATGATTCACGTGAGGTTATTAAATTAAAACGTTATATAGAACTCTACTATTCTTTTTAAAAGTTTATTTGATATCACTAATAAACTTTTGCGTGCTTTTAGATAAGCATGCAATTCTTTTCTCTGAGTTGACCAGTTGGTCTCGTGATGTTTTATCAAAAGTTCATTCTTAAAAGAAGCCTCACCAAGTTCTTTGATGACTAAATAATCCGGGTTCACTTTTAATGTCCCGATGATTCCTCTACTGATTGTGGCTTTTAACTTAGCATTTGGGTGGGTTGCATTTGGATAAAAGTTGATATCAAACGTTGCAAGGACAGAACCAAATCTGTGAGAAAATACAGTTGTATGCTAGCTGTTAATTAATTCTATGATAAAATGTATATCAAAAATACATATCAAAAGTCAAATATTCTGATTAATGATTAATGTTTCCAACAACCAAGGATCAAATTCACACAAAACCAGACAAAAACGCTAGAGGTTTTAGTTTCCATGCGTTAAAATGTGATACATAGGGCAAATATTTCTATGCGAGATTTCGCAAGGGAACATAGTGACAGCAAAATCTTGAGGAGATTATCTTAAACTATTTTTGGTGATAGTTTCTCACAGTAACAAGATCTATATATTGTTAGGTTCTCTACTGTTTCACCCTCAGAAATGTACGTGTATCGCTCGTTCACCCGGGTAAATAATACTTTTATCTATATTGGATAAAGATAACAGAGTTTGCTCACCTGAAACTGACGACTTCGATGGATGAAAATAGGGTATCCAGATAGTACACACTTTTTACCTAAAAGATATTAAAAACATTAAAACTTTGTTTATCTTCTCTTAACGTTTTTTGGTTAGAATGGAAAGCAATATCAGATTCTGCATAAATATTTTTACTAAAAGAATATGCGATCAAAAATCAGTATTTTTTTACCGAACTTCTATTAAAATTGTATAGTACCCTCCTTAAACGTGGTACCCTTCACTATAAGCGTAATAAAAATCTCTAGAATCTGCTTTTTTAGAGAGAATGTATGCCAAATGACGCAATTCTCTTTTTATTTATGGAGACGGATGAAAAGGGTCCCCGAAAACATGAGCCTTGTTGTAGAAACTGAAAAGAAAGAATAACGTTCATAGTGATGAATGCGTCAGTCAACCTGTTCTTCTATATGCCGCTGCAAGTTCTTGAATGCAGTTGATGCCTTATTGCGAAATGCTTTATTCCATCGAATGCCAAGGAGAGAAGTTACCACACGGTACGATTTGATCAATTCTGAAAAAATTGCAAGATATAATTAGATGAGAGGAGAGCTGTGCAAAAATGACTTGACTAGACGAGGAACTGTAATTGGTCAAGCTCTTGAAAAGCAACTTTAGAAAAAGCTTTGTTTCCAGCAAAGCTTCTCACACACCGTATAACATCGCCTCTTTAATTCAATCCTTCTATGTGGTTGATTAAAATGCAAGTTTTGTCAAAGTTAGTTTTTAAGGTAATTAAAAAAACTTAAAAGATTGATACTTTTGCAATTTTTCCCATCTCCGCTCATGCCGGCTCTGCAAGTGCATGTATGGGAACCAGCCGAATTGGTGCAGATACCAAACTGCCGATGGCACAAATGAGTGCCGGTAAGACATTCGTCAATATCTATGGATATAATCAGAGCTTATTCACAATATTTAGAGGTGCAGCCATTCACGATTGTAATGAGATTAGACCATTAAGGCAGTTTTCTGGTTGTAATTTAACTCTTAACGTTATTTCTTTCCACGATAGGAACAAATCATGGGACCATGATACGAGGGAGGAGTGGAGTTGTAGTCTTTCGTCAAACAAGAGGAGAAATGACTCATCGTCTGATCGAAAGGGTGTGACCCTAATTCACAAACTTCAGCTTAGAATTAAGATACTTAGGGTGACGTTTGAACAAAAATTCTCTAGATAACAACAACGGCTTTTGAAAAATTCTTTTCAGGTTGGTAGATACAAGTGGGCTACTATGACAACCAAATTCCAAGACAAGTCAAACCTTAAAAATACTCTATGTTTGCCTGCTTGAGTCAATTGTTTTTCCATTAAATCTATCAACATTTTCACATTTAATCCTAACCTTGATTTTAAATTGATCAAGGAATGAATCAGTATTCTCCTCTATGCAGCAAAGGTCTAGAGAATATAAGAAGATGAATAGGCCTAAATTTTTTATAGGTAGTTTCAGTAACTTTGGATGGTCAGTATATTTCAATGATTGAATTATATTACAAGTGGAAAATCAAGCAAAACTGTTTGTTCCTATACACTGTTAATACTACTCATGCCATTTAAATAAGAGATAAAGATTAAATATTCTGTTCTCTGCTTGTTTCTTATGCCAAGCCGGTAGTATATCTTCGAGCGAAGAGCTACAAGAAGGTGCAATGTTTTCCTTACAAAATGCCACATACCATTGCATACAAAGCCGTCACCTTCAAAGCCATCCAAACATGTGCAGTTAAATGATCCCTTTGTGTTATTGCACACAGCATTTGGGCCACATGGATTCTTTAAATAGCACTCATTGGTATCTATAACAAAATGTAGCAATGTTATTCACGTAAAAGTTTAAGATAGTGTGGATAACTCTCTCCTCTCTTGAACAAAACATTTGAAGTATGCTATTGCTTTATAGATGGGAAATATTGATAAAGGTCAGTACCATTAAGTATGTCATTATATATTTACCTGACTAAAAATATATATATATATATATATATATATATATATATATTAAAATAAATATAAGATAAATATATCTATCATGATAATGTCTATGGTCTTCCAGTCCTGACTAAAAATGCAGCCCGTAAAATCAAATAATACACTAGTCGATGATATAAGAAGATACAACAAATTCGTAACAAAATTTGTAGAAAAAGAAAGCCTTGGCTCGAATCAAGGACCCTTTAGACTGAAATGTCCATATATGGATAGAAAGCAGCCTCTCTTTGAAGCAGCAACTAAGGAAACGTGAGGTCTATCATCGATTTGCAATTTCAATAATAGATCTGGTGGGTTAACTAACATTTTCTTTGTTCTCTTCTCGTACCTAATTATGAATAACCAAAATTTGATAGAAATGCAACCTTTCTCTTGTAAGGGGCAAATGCGCAAAAAATTGAGTTTAGATTATAGCCAAATCATAATCAAGTTCCCTTTATGTAAAATCAGTCACTGAAGATGGAAATGGCCATTAGTCCAAAACTTCAACAGTTCAAAGCCAACAGGTTGGCCAATGACTGCTGAATTCATTTAACTACTAGGACCAACTTTGAGGGGGTCTTTTCTGGAAAATTCAATATTCTTTGATTATTGAGAATTGCGTTTCTCTCAGGTTAGAGAATAAGAAGAGTTCCCATTATATTTTTCTAAAAATCTAATAACCGCATGTATAGATGGTGGGATCAATTAGGTAGGTGCGTTAGTTTTCTTCTAGTTCAAATATTGGCCTTAAGGAAAAAAACTGCAATTTATATGCGAAATATAAAAGCAAAGATTATATTCATGTCAAATCATGTCCCTATTTCGAGACCACTAGAGATTCTTACGCCGCAGCATTGTTATGTCATGGTAAACCTGCTTTTAGATTTCCGTCAGTAGATCTTGTTACTTCGATAAGCTGTTTCGAAAGTAAAGACTAATAGAAAATCTATCTGCCAAAGTCAAACAAAAGAACAAATTTACTAATAGAAAAGATTCATAAGAAGGTCCACAATCCCGGATCTGTGGTAAAGGACCAGTGCCCATTTTGGCAGAAAACATATTCAAATAAATATATGAAAATATTTCAAGTTCTGAATCATGGCAGTCATTGATTACTCTATTATTTTAACGGATAAATGACTCATGACCAGTAATTTTATCTTTTAAGCAAAACCCAACATGAAAATTTTTCACAACAAGTTCAATCTCTCCTAACATATAGATTTCTTAGATGATTGCTGAAGACTTATGCAAATTTAAGTTCAGATTATAAATCTGCAACAATGTTAGGCAAAGAAATTTGATCATATGTAGATGAATGCTACGAGTCCTACACACACGTAGATGAATTCGAGAAATTCAAAATATTTACAGTGATATCTAATACAGACAGTATTGGGTTTTGTCTGCTAACCTTTGAATCTAATTCAATAACACATAAGTAAGTAGATGGCACCGACGTTTGAACAAAAATTTTCCTTCAAATTTATTATGGCTTCTAAAACTCCCAACCCTCAATGTTAGCAATTAATGGATTGAAAAATGAATGATAAATTCAATTGAATTGAAGCTGACTTTCGTCTGGTTTGCAAAAACAATGTTTTGAAAATAGAGGTAAATAAAAACAAGCTTTTCAGCCAGCACTAATTTGACATTCACGAGCTTGATTCGATTGGCCTATTTCGATCAACAATCCGATTGGCCTATTTAGATCAACACGAGACAGATATATTATCTAGCTTAAAATTTGTCTGATGTTTTACAACGTGAAGAGTGAAAATTTTTTGACTGTACAAAACTTGAAAACGACACTGAAGATAGCAAATATGAAGAATTTCAGATGCCCAACGAGAAGAAAGTCAGTTAAAAAACTTATGTTTATTTAAAATATATGCATTGCTTTTGACTTACATACCTTTCATAAGAACTAAGCAACAAGAACTGGGCAAATGGGCAACAAGCGCTTGCATATTGTGTTTGGTGTTTTGGCAAAGGTGCTTCTAAGAGATCTCACAATTGACGCGAAAATAAAAACAGGAAGGTAAAAAGCAAAGGCCTCTGGTAAAAAACCTTATCGAATTGAAAGAAACAATTTATCGTGAAAGGTGTGAGACAACACATTTATATGACAAAAGCTGATGTTAGTATCATTTACTTTCATGAAAGATCTTTAGATTTTGATGTTTTTTCATTAACGTATTAAACATATCATAATCTTTTTGCATCAATCGCCAATAGAAATCAAGCAATATATGTTCAGGAAACCAATTCTCTTACCATTAAACAAAGCTCCATCTGCAGGACAATTACGACATAGATAGATGATCAATAGATAAAAAAATGGTGAAATTAATCTTCCATCTCCCATTCTACTGATGAAAGACATTTCCTCTTAATTAAGATTCTTTGGCTCTCTGCACTACTTCTTCGTGTTTCAAATGCAAAAAATTTAATAGAACTGTTTTCTTGAGTACTAAAATTACAGAATCTTTGTATGTTATCAATAATTTAAAAGAATCGAGCACACAAAACAAGCTGAACATGTCCAAATAACTTAAATATGGCCAGTGAGCTGCCAGTTTTCTCCTCCAAAGACATCATCTTGGTTGACCACTGTATTATAAGCACTAAGCAAAGCAGATGGATTTGCCAAGCCGCTAGAAGAACTTATGATATGAAGCAAGTAGAAGCTTATTGATAACGATAGAAAGAAAAAGGCAAGAAACAAAGATGAATTAGGAAGCGATTATCAATTGTAACGTTAGTTAACAGTGATAGTACTGTTCAGGAAGCGAAAAACAATTTAAAGAGCAAGGCATAGAAAAGCAATAATTAAAGGGTAACGACTCTAGAAATGCTGCCAAATACTTTGTTTTCGTACCGTAGGTTGCTCTCAAAGTGAGCGTGATATATACCGCTTAACTTTGATGGAGGAAGAACGTTTTTAGGTGATGATAAAAGCGGATGACAAAGCACCTGCTAACTTTTCTGTCGGTGCTTCACATTGGTTCTTACATTTAAACCCTTGTTTCTATCCACGCGTTTTTATCAAGAATCATTGAGTTCTAGCGAAGGGAGGTCATCAATTTCATTTAATCTACCTTGATGACCAATATACATAAATTCAGTTTTTTGGGGTTTGCAATTAGTTTATTTTCCCGCCACCAGTTGCTGGTATTTAACAGCTCTATCTTGGTCATGCGTATGAGCCCTTTTATGTCATTAGATGCGATTGTTGTATGTGTATCAAATGCGTATATGTTGGCTCCGGAGAAGTTCAAGAAACCCCCAAAGTCATTAAGGTACGTGATGAAAAGGAGGAGACCTAACAATGATCCCTGAGGTATGCCACACAAACCTTCCGCAATCTTTGACCATTGACCGTTTACAGAACAAATCTGCTTTGGTCCACTTAAGAGTGAAATGAACCATTCTCTTTTTTCTGCTGATACCATATTTTAGCAGTTTATCTATCAATTTTGTGTGATCAACCCTATGCAAGACCTTTTCAAGTCAAGAAATACTGTCGAATTCAGCTTCCAATTATTAGCAATTTTAAACCAATGTTCTATACTATTTATCTGAGGCATAGCCAGTGGCGGCGCCAAGGGGGGTATGAGGGCAACTACCCCCCACACACTTTTGTCAAAACATGGTCTACATATTTCTTCTAAAAGCAGATTAGAAAGCGCTAGGTATTGGTAGTTCATATTTCCTAAAGAAAATTAACCTGGTACAAATTACTGAGACGAGGCAAAAGGGGCGTTGTCTCATTTACAACGCCCATTGCCCTACCACATTGCAATAGCTGGCGCTGCCACTGGACATAACCTTAGAATATTGATAGGTATAACATTGATAGTGTTTTCTAAGGGCATATTTGTTATAACTTAGACTACCTCATATACTATCACTGCTTCCCGAAATGCCTTTACCAGACATTATTCATCTGATAGAAAAATAAAAGACATCGAAAGAAAAGGCAATTGTTCAGACCTGTACAAAAACTTCCATTCCCATGGAAACCAGTGCGACAAGAGCAGATGAATGAGCCAATGGAGTTGTGACAAACTGCGTCGGCATGGCAACTGTGCATCCTACCTTTGCATTCGTCAATATCTGTATGAACAAGAAATTTTAGTCATAAACTTTTTGAAGAAAGACGAAAAATATTCCTTTCTTAGTAATTATGCAGACCCAATCTTGGATTTTAGAGGTTAGGCAAAATGTAAAATGCGTCTCGCAGTAAAAGCAAAATGCGTCGAGAAGAGTGGTACTCCTTGGAGCAACATATATAGCTAGAAGGAGCCCGTGAACCAAATGGTTCCATGTCAAGAAACCATGTCAAGAAAGGTCATTGTGAATTTCTTTTCAATTCCATAAATAGTGTTTGGCAAAGAAACGGTTTCGATCGGTTCAGATTTATTAAAATAGAATAAGCAACTACGGAAATTGAGACAAGGAAAAAATGAGAGAGGAATAAAGGGTGAATAATACATTTCTAGAACCCTCAGACGTTACCTACTATATGTAGTTTTTGGTTCCGCAAACTTGAAGATTACACGAAATACGGAAACATAGGATACTAAAGCACTTAGCATCCTACATTCTTCATCAATTAGTGGAAATGCAAATAGAGGTTTGTCAAAGATCATAACCCACCTGCGCAGTATCTTCCATCACCAGAGAATCCAGCAGCGCAGTGGCAAGTGTATGACCCTTTTGTGTTGCTACATGATGCATTAAGGTGGCAGCCATGAGAAGTATCTTGACATTCATTGGTATCTGATAAAAATTTTAATATTTTGTTATCAATATTGGGTCTGATTGATGAGTGGAGGAGGTATAAAAAGGGATGGACAAATGTGTTCGTTTCTGAACCTTGAAGCCTAATCGGACAATGGTTATACCTTTACCGTCATGCTTTGCTTTGCAACAGAGATAGCAATGTATAGGCCTACACAAAGTATGGAAGCACTATCTAATAGGTCGGTCTGAAGAAGAATAGAAGCAAAAAGTTTAAGGAATCGAAATGATTTGACGTGTTTCACTAAGATTAGTGACTGATTTAGCAGGGTCAAGTCACACGCATGGTCGAAATGTCATTGCAGCGAAATTGCTCAGCTTTACCGACGCAGCTTCTCCCATCTCCTGCGTAGCCAGCTCTGCATGTACATCGAAAGGAGCCTATCTTATTCAAACATATGGCATTTGAATCACAAGTATGTGTTCCTTGTAAACATTCATCTAGATCTGAAGAAAAAAAGTAAATGTAGAAGAAAGAAGCAATCACAAAATATCCAAAGTAGCGCTAAAGACAGAAAATTAGAAATTTGATAGGTCGAAGAATATGAAATTTCCAAAGCATGTAACTAATTTGATATTAAAAAGAAGAACTACTTCAATGCGGGTGTAAAAGACAACATTAATCTGTAGCAAATTTTTGTTTCATTTAAAGCTACAACATTCAATTTTCAATGCTAGCAGTCACGGGAAAATTATATAGAAATTTAATGTTGATTGCGTTGTTCTTTATATTCATTGGGATAAAATATATATATGAAGATTGTTGGTTGACAGAATACTGATACAATACATGCACTTCTAAAAAATACGAACTGACTTTTGAATTGAAGAAAATATGTTGGTAAAAATGACCGAATCTAGTTTAAGATTAATTTAACATTACATACTAGGCGCACAGGAGAGAAATTCCCAGTCTTAAGAAAAAAACATCCGTCACTGTACTCAGCAAACAAAGTATCTCGAATGATAAAAAAATTATCAAGCACGATAAGACTTCCCTTTCAATCGCGAATGACAAATTGTTTACGACACTACGCAAATATGCTTCACGTAAGCAAAATTTCTATAACGCGTTGAAAAATAGCAGAGATATTTTGAATTAAGAAAGGAACAGACAATCAAAGTGAGCTGTTTTGTAAACAACTAGATTGAAAAAAACTAACAGTTAGGTATTGACCTAAACATGAAATTCCAGATCCTTTATAACCATTTCGACAATGACACGAGAAAGATCCGTTTAGATTGCTGCAATGTGCAAACTCGTTGCAAGAGTGCAAGCCAATTGTGCATTCATCGATATCTGTAAAAAAATTCTAGATTTCAGCAATCTAAATTTGTTTGCATGGAAAGATATGACTGCAATATATCAAATATTACAAGAAATGGCTTTGAGAAATTTTGCATTATCCTTCCACGTGTCAACCGCTGCAAAATCGCTTTTAAAAGCAAAGCAATGTTTGAAAAAAACAAACAATCAAATCAACGATGATTTTTTTATTACTTTAATGTCGTAAAAACGAAGTTCTATTGAAGATATTTTTTACATCAAAATCTCATGTAAAGAGGCAATAGAGGTTTACAAACAGAGGAAGATCTTTATCAACTGAAGATTATAATTCATAAAGGAGTTACATGCTATAAACAAAAATGACATATAATTATAGAATAATCAATAACTTAACATTTAACAACAACTGCAGTTTCTATTTAATAAAATTAACTATTAAATAATAGAAACTACCAAATAGCTATTAGAAATGCAGATTAAATAATCTCAGTTTCATCGAGTAATGAAAGATTTTGATGGGCATGCCAAGGACAAAAATATGTGCGGAAAAGTGCTGCTATTAATTCAGACTAACTTATTTAGCTCATGCATCATTTGTTCCTCATAAGATGTGAAAAATCTTCTTGCAAAGTTTAATTCAAGTATGTAGCAACCAACGTAAAGCAATAATTTTTCACTGTTTGTCCATTATTTTCACTTTTTAAGAAGATCAACGGATATAGAACTAGATTATTTAAAGCAAATAGGCAACAGATTATGATGTACCTTATCTTTGTTATCATAAATTCAATAAAATTTTACTCTTTAAGCGGATTTAAGCAAATTAAATTGGTCTTGAAATTTTTTCTAGAATACGTAGATTTTTATCCTTTAATACTCTTAAAAGATTTGTTTCATTTTCTCAAGTAGTTATTTTAAATCACGCAAACTTTGGAGGCTTATATAAAGTTTAATTCAAAGGCCCATGCACTTTTCTACTTTCATGTTAATTTCTAGAAAAGCTCATTAATTATCTATGAATTTTCTAATTGCTTATGACAACAGTCACGAAATGAACATCCCTGCGAGGTGCATCAGACCTGATACCTTGATAACGTAACTGAATCAATAATATAGCTCACCATTGCATTCTTTTCCATCGCCAGAATACCCTTGCATACATGTGCATGAGAAAGAGCCTTTTGCATTGTGACAAACAGACTTTTCGTTGCAGTGATGCAAACCGTTTGTGCATTCATTTATATCTGTTGAGGAAGGTAGAGGGAAATAGTTACACGAAATGATTCCAATCAGCATTTTAAAAATATATGTCGAAGTGTAGGCAATTCTAACTAAAATTTGATACTCATAACTTGTAGATGTGAAGACAATGACTTTAGCTTTTTTATTGATCTTAGATAGATTATAGAAATATTGCTATCCACACTTCTGTTTTTGCATACGGCACTGTATAAAGCTTTTGGTGTTCAATTGATTTATAAAACTCTAGGAAGCCACTGAATAGAGTCAAGTGCTTACTCTTTGTTGTAAATAGTTTCTAAGAATTGAAGATTTAAACAAAAGAATCTTAAAACAGGCTTGCATCGCAGACATTGAATAACCTAAGTTTAATCTGTAGGCCAAGGGTGGACAATTAATTTTTAAAGGGGCCGCTTGATAAATCTGAACCTTGGTGGAAAGCCTAAACAACGATGAATTTTTCTGCACCGTGTTTATTTTCTCCCAATGAAAGGAAACAATAAATTTTACCATATTTCAGCTATTACTGGCTACTATAAATATATAGACAATACGTCAACATTTAAATAAATATTTTAAATTTTGATGTAGTTAAAGTGGAAAGGTATTTTCAAAATAGAACAAATTTTATTATATTTTTTCATTATTGTTTTGTTTGACTACACACTATTGAGGGACAAATAGAAAGGGCAAAGGGCCGGATGTGGCCCGGGTGTCGTAAGTTTGCCCTAATATAGTCTGTTGTAGGCCCTAATATGTGTTTAACTCATAACTGTTGCTTAACTCGAATATGGTAAACAATCATATTGATACAAAAATCAGAACAAGTCAAGCATATATTTGTTGCTATGACTAATCGGAATCGCTGCCATTGTTATCCATCAGACCAGGCCTGCAATATAAGCACCTGCCTTGGTAGTATGACCCATTTCCGGTATACCCAGTGTCACACATGCATAGAAACGATCCCTTGGTATTTGTGCAAGTGCTGTCGATATGACAAAAGTGAGATCTGTTTTTGCATTCGTCAATATCTGTAAAAACGAAAGATATCTAGACGCAAAAAATTTAACCGAAATCAAGTGCAGCAAAAAATTTAATAGTGATTTTAAATAGTGGTTTTTGAATACATTTACTAGAGAAAGATTGAATTTTTAATAAGTGAATGAAAAAAATATTTCTTTTTTTCGAAAATGTTTAATTATTTTAAGGTAGAGCAGAAAAGGGGGAAATGCAAAAATAACCAGAACAAAATATATGCAGATGCAGATCGAAATCAATGTGGGAGGAAAGATGGTGCAATAGATTGGTTCTTTGCTTCTGACCAATCAGACCCTTACATGGGAATTAGTTTACCTTATTAAAAAAATAACATCTGTTTATTTTGGAATTGTATCTTTTTCTTTTCATCATGATAAATATATGCCATGATTTAGCTTTCAGAATTGTTGGGTGTAAGTGACAGGAAAAAAATACCAACATATAGGTTTTTTTTCTAATTTTGAAGATGATATCTTTTTGCGTTTTCATCAACCCTGTTTATTTTTATCAAATATTTAATGTTTTAAAATGTTTGTACCTACAAAAATTATCATCATATGTATGGCATTTCATGCTTCTCTTTTCCATGTACTCCACAATTCGATGCTTTTAAGACAAAAGTCAAAGGTTTATTACCGTAGCTAACCATGCAAAGCCTCATAATAAAATGCTTAAGCATAAATGTCATAGCAAAGTTACTACAAAAGATCATTTCACCTTTGCAAGATGATCCATTGCCTGAATATCCACCTTTGCAGAAGCAGGAAAAAGATCCATATTGATTATCACATACTGCGTCAGCATGACATGAATTTATATTCTCTGCACATTCATCAATATCTGATGACAAAAATAGTTACTTGCTCAACAAAAAAACCTAATCAAAATTTGATAAGCCAAATCTGGAAAGTGTTTTCGTTTAACGTTTTGCATCGTTAACAAATCTATAGTTCTCAAAAAGGGTTTTAACTCCCAAATAGCACGGTTTGGCATATCTGGAGATAATCATTAACCCTGACATTGTGAATCTTCAGGATGCAAATACTTAGTGCATTGGAGGCTGAACTTTGATTAAAAGATGCATTTAAATTGCTATGTGATGAAGTATGTAATTAAAAATGAATGAAAAAATACAGTATTACTTAAATCTATCAGATATCGGTGAGACCAATAGTACTGTCGGTGCAGGAGGGAGTCTGTTGTGGGAAATTTTCCGTTGTCGGGAGGTTTCCGTTGTAAGGAGGCTTCCTTTATAGGGAGGCTTTCATTTTAGGGAAGTTTCCGTTGTAGGGATATTTCTGTTGTAGGGAGGGAGGGGTTGTCCATTGTAGAAAGGTTTTCTCGTTGTTTAGAGGTTTGTTGCTGTGCAGTATTTTACTCAGTGACGTCTGTTAATAGATATCCAACTGTATACCTAAAGTTTATGTGCTTGATATCCTGAAGAGAGCGTCAATTAAAACAGTATTAAACAGTATTCAAGAGGATCAACTACGAGAATCTAAGTAACTCAGTTACCTTGACAAAAAGTTCCGTTGCCAGTGAAACCAGGCTTGCAAGAACATAAAAATGACCCTTGTGAATTTTCACATAAACCATCTGCATGGCAAATGTTCTTTCCACCAAAGCACTCGTCAATATCTGCAAAGAGGGAGAAGGAATACAAGAGTAAAAATTCATATAACAGTTTTTTCATACAACTTATTTTTGTGTTTTTCCTCTGCAACTATATGCCAGCACATATTCTATCTTTTACAATAGGTCAACCAGGTAGTGTAGAAAGTCTTGCATTAACAAGTCCTGCAATGCCTAAGGACAAGGAACATTTAGCAGTATAGTCTTCAATATATTGTTGTAACAACCCATAGCACAAAGATATGATAAATTTCTTTAAAAATTGATATGATCCAAAATTCAGCTTTTATATTTGGTAAATCTTACATCAAACTGAGAAAAAAATTCTGATGCTTAAAATCTCACCTTTTTCTTTAACCTTCTTCTGAAAATTTTCGCAAAGTCATTTAGCTTCATTTCAAATTTAAAAAAATACATATTTCCAATAGAATATTCTATAACATAGTAATGAATAGTGAATAAAAAAGCAAAGCATGACGGGAAATGCAAACATCATTGTAATGTATGGATATAGCCCCAAAATACCCAGCTCTACTTGTTAGTCTAGGTAATGGAGGCATGGTCATTAACAACAAACAAACATGCCTACGAAGATGAACAGCTAATAAAGCAGTACACATGTGTTCAGCTATGAGTGTGATAGCAAACTAAGTAAAGATGTATTTTTAAATATTCATATTTTTACGACCCTCTGCGTACCAGAACAATTCACGCCATCTCCACTGTATCCCATTATGCAACTGCATGAAAAATTTCCATCCAAGTTCTGACAAGCAGCATTGTTGTGACAGTTATGCAGCCCAACTGCACATTCATCTATATCTATGTTGATAGAAATAACTGAACACTGTAGTTATATCTTCACTGAATTCAGTAAAAAAATCATTATCTAATGTATTACAGTTGACTGTGTATGGATTCATAAATATTTAGATGTAAATGTAAAGACCATAATGCACATTCCTAGAAAGTGGATACGATATTTGAATAGGAAAAGATTAACAAAGGCTTAAGTATTTTGTTGAAGAGATAAACAAAATATTTTTTGAAATAGTATTTTGTAAAGAGCTCTGTCGTTCAACTAAAATTTTATGTAAATATAACCGCTTGATATTTGTGTTTTTCATTTACCCTGACTCAAATTTGTGTATTTTTTGATGAGATTTTAACTAATCAAAATTGATTGCAATATCGAAGCAATATTGAAAATCTCTTTTTATGTTTCATGGGGTGGAAAACGGTTTGAGATCTAACCTGAGCATACGTTTCCATTCCCAGTAAACCCAGACTTGCATTTGCAGGTGTAGGAGCCAACCGAATTAATACAGCTTGCAAGCAAGTCACAATTATGAATAGAATCAAGACATTCATCACGATCTATACACTCAAATCCCGTCCCTGTAAATCCACGATTACAAGTGCAAGAGTAACCTCCGGGACTGTTTAAGCACTGCCCATATCTAGAGCAATTATGCGTTTGTAGTTTGCACTCTTCCACATCATAACACTGCGATCCATTTCCAAAGTAGCCTTCTAAGCAAACACACGAGAAGCTACCATCTGTATTCAAACAGTGAGCCTTGACATGACAGGCATGAAGGCGAAGGGAACATTCGTCAATGTCACTACAAGAGAAACCATTTCCAGTATATCCCAGCTTGCATGTGCATGCATAGGAGCCCATCGTGTTTTTGCATGTAGACTGACTACTACAATTATTAAGATGGATTTTGCATTCGTTTACATCCTCACAAGATGCTCCAGTTCCCTGAAAACCGTTCTTGCAAGAACATGCAAACGATCCAACAGTATTTAAACAAGACGCATTGATATGACATGAATGGAGCTGTTCACGACACTCGTCTACATCGATACACGTTAATCCATCACCTGTAAAGCCGTTAAGGCAAGCACATGTGTACCATCCTTCGTTGTTTTTACAAGATGCTCTACTGCTGCAATTATGCAAGCCAAACTCACACTCATTTGTATCATTGCAGATCATTCCATCTCCAAGGTAACCATCGTTGCAACTACAAGAGTAACTTCCTTTAGTATTAGAGCACTGTCCTTGGTCACTGCAATTGTTTTCGCTTTGGCACTCGTTAATATCACCACATACATACCCGTTACCCTCAAATCCTTTCATACAGGTGCATTTGTATGAGCCTGGCGTATTGATGCAAACTGCATCAGCATGGCATCTATGCACACCATCACGGCATTCGTTAACATCACGACAAAAAGTGCCATTACCGCTAAAGCCATTGATGCATCTGCAAAGGTATGAGCCCACAGTGTTTGCACAAGTAGCTTGCGAGTGACATGCATGGGTAGCTTTATTGCATTCATTATTATCATAGCAATGTGTACCGTTACCAGAAAAGCCAGTAACACAACTGCAATTGTATGAGCCAATAGCATTCTGACAAGTTGCATTCTGGTGACATAAGTGATGCTTTGTGTCACATTCATCAATATCAACGCAATCAGTCCCTTTGCCTGTAAACCCAGACAAACACGTGCAACTAAAATTACCAGGAAAATTGGTGCACAATGCATTTCTATGACAGTTGTGCAGCATTTCAGCACATTCATTTAAATCACGGCAACTGAGCCCACTACCCACGTAGCCATTTTCGCAAGTGCAGTTATAAGTACCTATAGCATTAAGACAGTTGGCATTCTCATCACAACTATGTATGCCTGCCAGGCATTCATCGACATCCTTGCATTCAAATCCATTGCCTTGAAACCCACTTAAACAGCTACAGTTATAAGAACCAGCCATATTGCTGCATTTCCCTTGAGGATGGCATTTGTGGTTTCCAAGAAGACATTCATCCATATCTTAAAGTTAGAAGCAAAATAGGATTGACACCCTTTCACGATAAGTGGACAAATCTGAACTATTTATCATTTCCAAATTCATTTATGAAAAGTGGCATGTTCTGTAGCAAAATGGGAACAGAAAACAACCAGAATCTGTGATCAAGCTTTTTTCGAAATGACAGAGATGGAGGAAACTAAGAAACATCTTGTGATAATTCTTTAATAATTCACAATTGCTTGACGTTTAATTAAATTCGATGTGAAGGTATTAGAGCATATTTAATAGAGTCTCTAAAGGTGTTGCTGAAAACCGTAGTTGGGATCGTAGATTGATTATATGTTGAAAATTATATTTTTCCAGTGTGTTTACAGACACAAGCTTTCTCTGTTAACCTACTTCAATACAATATACAAGAGTTGGATTTGGAAATATGATCATTTCAGCCGAGAATGACGGCTCTTTTCAATCAAGTTTCGTTCGATCAACTTTTGTAGAAAGAGAACATTCTGCAAAATTTCGCATAAACAATGCAAGCTATTCATAAATACATTTTGTCTCTATTACAAATGGATTCTCAACTGGCAATCATGCTCACAGCTTAGTCGTACAGCTCTTGCGCTCTTTTTAACTATCTGCTTTTTACTAAGAAATTTTGTAACACTTAAATGAATATGATCACGTGGAGTCAGTTTGACGTCGTACCCTGCAAATGCAAGCTGGTTTGGGTATGGCTATAATAAAATTTAAAACATGATTCTTTTTCAAAGAGCCATTGAGTAGTGCAGGCGGGGAATTATTTGCTGTTATTCGGATAATGTACAGGATATCAAAAGGTTACCTTCACAGATTGTGCCTGTTCCATTATATCCATGTTTACATTCGCATACATAAGATCCTGGATTCTTCTCTAAGAGACAAAAATTCCTGTTAGCAACCCGGTCTCCAATTATTAACATTTGCAGGAAGCGGGGGAGGAAAACACATATTTGTTGACTTTCCTAAATTCTATCTCACGGTAAATCAGATTTTTTTAACCAAAAGAGCGGCATTATTGCAACAAATGTAATTAGATTCTTCAGTTTAGCTTTTACAATTAGGAATATACAAAATTATCTTATTCTTGGAATAATTTGGTGCTGTGTGAATGCACGAACTTACTTCAATAAAACTTATGAATTCAACAATAAGAATATTTTGATTGGCTTCAAAATATTCGGAATAAATGCTGTGTATCTTCAACATTTAGAGTTTCTATCAAATAAAGAAAACATTTTTGTGCTGTTTGTGCAATCTATAGATGTGTTTTAATCTTTTACGTAGTATTGTCTTCTTTGCAGTAATCAAGAAACGTAATATCAACTTGTTTCATTGACATCATCAGCAAACATTTTTAAAACCAATAAGAAATTGCATAGTGTAAAAAACATTTTAGCATTAGAAAAACATTGAAATCAGTTTTTTAGCATTAGCAATTTTTTTAACGTTTACTCAACATTTTGATCTTTTTCGTATTCTATCTTCTAAATCAACTTGTAAGCATTTCTTCTTACTCGTATTCCATTTTTTTACTTAACTGGTCAGCATTTTTTTCTAACAAGCATCCAATCTTCTTACTCAAATGGTCAGCTTTTTTTTTACTTGTATTCTATTTACTTACTCAACTGGTCAGCATTTTTTTCTTACAAGCATCCAATCTTCTGACTCAACTGGTCAGCATTTCTTTCTTACTTGTATTCTATTTCCTTACTCAACTGGTCAGCATTTTTTTCTTACAAGCATCCAATCTTCTGACTCAACTGGTCAGCATTTTGCTCTTACTCGTATTCTATTTTCTTACTTAACTGGTAAGTTTTTTTACAAGCATCCATCTTCTTACTCAACTGGTCAGCATTTTGTTTGTAACACGTAATCTATTTTCTTAATCAAGTGGTCAGAACCTTTTTATCACACACATTCTATCTTTTTACTTAACTTGTCAGAATTTGCTATTACAAGCAGTCAATTCTTTTATTCATCTGATCAACATTTTGCTCTTAATCGTGTACAATATTCTTACTGAAACTGGCCACATTTTCCTCAATCATGGTCTATGCTTGTTCTCGAACAAGACAACATTTTACTAAAAATCCAGAAAAGCCATTGAGTGATAATCCTTTAACTCAAGTACGTGGGGTAACGTGGGGGTAGCATAGGGTAGCGTGGGGTAGCGTGGGGTAGCGTAGGGTAGCGTGGGGTAGCGTAGGGTAGCGTGGGGTAGCGTGGGGTAGCGTTGGGTAGCGTGGGGTAGCGTAGGGTAGCGTGGGGGTAGCGTGGGGTAGCATGGCGTAGCGTAGCGTGGAGTAGTGTAGCGTGGCGTAACTTAACAGCAAACATGGTAGCTACACTGCTGCTCAGGTGTCTCCTTAGGTCCTTTTACCTTGGACGGTTTAAAAGGTTTGAAATTTTTGGTTAGCTCTCAATCCCTACCCAGATTACTAAAGTTACAGAGACAGCAGCCTTGTGCAATCTTCTCCTATATGGCAGTCCGATAAGAAATATAATAACAAACCAAATTATCATGGCTGCTACCATGTTATGCATTAAGGCAGCTAAATGGTTTATGAAAATATCAAATAAAAGCAAGGCTCCCACTGGATTTATTGTTTTGGTGTGTTTTTGTACTGTAAAGGTTAGTTTACTTTGTTTTTTATAGTGTGAACAAGATGACCTCGAGTCTATTCTCACTTTAGGGGCGTAAAGATCGATTGGATGTACCTTAGGTGTCATAACAAGTCTTTTGTTTCAATTTCAATTTCTGTATGAATCAAAAAACTTTTATTTTTTAAAGAGGCAAACGTAAATAAGAAACAAAATGCAGTATCAAATACTTTCTGACCTAACTATGAGAAAAGGAGATATAAATTTTCTTCCCTATATTCTCCATCTTCTCCAAGTGAAATTCCACTTTTTCAACTACATTTCTCGACATTCAATGCAAACTAATAATGCGAACTTGATGGTATTGGTATCTCATACCTTTGCACTCTGTACCGTTGCCACTATAGCCTTGGTTGCATTGGCAGCTATATGTGCCATTTGCATTCTTGCATGAAGCATTAATGCTACAAGGATATGGCTCTCGTTTACATTCATCAATATCTTTACAATGGATGCCATCACCGTGAAACCCTGCTAAGCAAGTACATTGAAAAGACCCATGATTGTTTGTACAAAATGCTCGGCTATGGCAATAATGAGCTCCCAAAAGGCATTCATTGATGTCAGTGCACCATTTTCCGTCACCAGACAACCCTTCCATGCATTTGCAAACGTATGAACCATTTTTATTTATGCAACTTGCATTATAATGACACATATGTGCACTGTTCTCACACTCATTAACATCATTGCAATTTGTTCCATTGCCTTCAAATCCCTTGTTACATAAACACTCAAACGATCCTTTGCTGTTAAGGCAATATGCATTAATGTGACAGTTGTGGCTATAAGAATGACACTCGTTAACATCAAAACAGTCGTATCCATCCCCAATAAAACCATTTCTACAATTGCAATAATAGGAGGCTTCAGTATTCATACAGACAGCCTCAGAGTGGCACAAGTGCGCATTGGTAGTGCATTCGTCGAAGTCAAAGCAGTGAGTACCATTGCCAGTATAGCCGAGAAAACATTTGCATGTGAAACCTCCTTGTACATTAGAGCAATTGGCATGAAAATCGCAATTGTGCGAGTTATCAAGGCATTCGTCCTTATCAGTACAAGCATAGCCATTACCTTTAAAGCCCGCCTTACAATTGCATATATATGCTGCTGGTGTGTTGATGCAAACTGCATGCTCACTGCAGCTATGCAATTCATTTGCACACTCATCTATATCTGAGCAGTTAACACCGTTTCCGGTATACCCTGAAGTGCAAATACAATCATAGGAGCCAATGGTATTGGAACAGTTTGCACTACTGTGACATACGTGTGTCCCTTTCTTGCATTCATCATAATCAGCACAAATGAGACCATTCCCTAAAAAGCCATCGTTGCAATGACACTGGTACGAGCCTTGTGTATTTTTGCATGATGCATTAACATCACAGCTATGTTTGTCTAAATAGCATTCGTCAATATCGTTACACCGAATACCATCCCCAGTGAAGCCTGGCTTACACTGACAGTAGAACGAGCCTTGCGTATTAAAACAGTTACTGTTATTTTGACAGTTATGTGACACCTCTTTGCATTCATTGATATCGGTGCAATTCAAACCGTTCCCATTGTAACCAACAGAACAAAAGCATGAATAGCTCCCATATGTATTTTGACAAATGGCATGTGGGTTACAGTTGTGAACTGACATATAACATTCATTGGTATCAAAACATTCTGTTCCATTTCCCGCAAAACCTGAAGAGCAATTGCAAAAATACGACCCAGCTGTGTTTGTACAATTTGCATAAAGATGACATAGATGACTGCCAACTTTGCACTCGTCTTGGTCGGAACAGCTCAGGCCATCACCAACATACCCTTCATCGCAATGGCATGTAAATGACCCTGCAGTGTTAAGGCACACTGCATGGCTGTGACAATTATTCGTGCCTATTACACATTCATCAATATCATTGCAAATTAAACCATTTCCTGTATAACCGTATTTACATGAACAGGTAAAATTTCCTTGTTCATTGTAGCAATCTGCATTAGCAGAACAAGTAGCAATGTGTAGCTCACATTCATTCACATCGCTACAAACTTCGCCTTCTCCAGTATAGCCCTGTTTACATTGACAGGAGAATGAGCCTTGGTTGTTGTGGCAAACTGCATTTGGATGACAAGTATGACTACTTTGAGAGCATTCATCTATATCAATGCAAACATTTCCATCTCCCGAATACCCACTGTTGCAGAAGCAATTAAAAGAGCCAAGCGAGTTTTTACAAACTGCGTGTTCACTACACTTATTGCTAGAATCAGAGCATTCATCAATATCAACACAACTTGTTCCATTACCACGGAATCCATTTCTGCACGAACAAGCATAGAAACCTTGTGTGTTTTCACAGGTAGCATTAGAGTGACAGCTGCTTGCACCAGTCGTGCACTCATCTACATCTTTGCAAGAAAGACCATCGCCAAAAAAGCCTTCAAAACACGAACAACTGTAACGCCCGATTGTATTTCTGCAGTGGGCATTCAGATTGCAGTTGTGAGCATTAATAATACATTCATCAATATCATTGCAAATTTTCCCGTCACCAGTATAGCCATCAAGACAAAAGCATTGATATGATCCAGCCGTATTACTACAACTGGCATTGTTATGGCAGCTGTTTCGATAAGTGCATTCATCTATGTCGAGGCAAGTGTTACCATTGCCAGTGAAACCTCCTTTGCACTCACATTGAAAAGAGGCGATTCTATTGACACAAGTAGCATTTTCACTACAAGTAAAATTGTCCTTACATTCGTCAATATCTGTACAATATTTCCCATCACCTGTATATCCTTCAAGACATTGACATTGAAATGAGCCAATGGTATTCACGCACGTTGTGTTGCGTTGGCAATTATGTGTGTCTGTTACACATTCGTCAGAATCTAGAGCAAAGGTTAACATAATTGCAATTACTGTCTTTTGTTTGAAAAAGCACTTCCTTGACAAGTTGAAGCAAATTCGTCACTCTTTACGGGCTTCAATTTCCATAAAGTTTCTTTCGACTAATATCAGCGAATGTTGACTATCATATCAACGGACAGTTTCTAAATTGTCTACATAGTGCATAAGCTATGTTTTCATGTTTTGTCTAGTCTAACAAATATCTTAGACGCAGATTGGACGTGTCTATGGCTAATTTCTTTTTCTATCCGAAATCCTCATTCCTGATTTGGAACCAAGTATATGTTTTTCAAAGAAGAAGAAAATTTCATGACGTAACAGAGGGGCCCTACATAAATAGTAAAATAAAATATTAACAATTATTATTACTTATACGTAGAACTGATGGTCTTGTTATATTTAATTGTATATTTTTGCTAGCAAAGTATTATTAACTTCAAGTGAATCTTTCATTGCTATTAGTACAGAGACATTTGAAGTTTCTTTATATCGGATCACCTGCCAATACCGATCACCAATTCAGACAAGAACCTGGCCTACTGTTTGATATACTCGGGTCGGTTATTTTCCCGCACTATCTTTTAGTTGTTTGATATACAGTCTACAGAAATATCTACTTTGACCAATATTCCAACACTGTATCAAGTGAATAAGAAGGATCAAAACAGCGCTTTAAGAACATGGCTTGCTCTTACTTGATCCGTAGCTAAAACATTTATAGCTTCTAGTATATCTGAAATATCAATGCTGATAATGATATTTGCAAATAGTTTGAGAAAGAATAGCTATTGTTGATGGATTGCGATTCGAAAAGGATGGACCATGGTTTGTAGAGGCAAAAATTTAAGGTCTTAAGTCAAAATGAAATCAAGTAAAAATTGGATTGAGTCATCAAATGAAAGAAAAACAGTCAACAATCAATTATAGTTTGGGTTCAGACACTAGCATTAAAACTGCCAATCGATAGGTCAGCACTGGGCACAAAATCTCAGTGTCTTATTCAAATAGTGGCAAGAAATACCTCGATTCCTCTTAGCAACAGTTCTTAGATAAATTGTTCGAGTTGTGAAATTAAAATTGGTACTTATTTTGACAATATCTTTGCTGCTACTCCGAGCTTTAAGCCTAAGCAATCATCTAGCAGCTATCATAACATTTACATAGCTACATAGCATAAAATTTACCGAGCAAACATAGCTACAAAAAATACGTCCTTGTGCTCTACACCATGCAATGTATTGCCCAATAGTCTTAAAAATTTGTAACCAACCAAAGCCTTGTACTGAACGATGAATTGAAGTTCACTGGGGCCTTTTTAAGGTACTAACAAGGGAGGCAGCTGCCCCTCCAGCCCCTTTGGCTTTTCTATTGTTTTAAACAATATGCTATTATCCTCCTTCTTATATAAACAAAAACGTGTCAGTGCAGCTAATTTTTCTTTAAATAAGCAATGAATTTAGGTTCTGTTTTTTTGGAAATTGACATTTCCACCCTATAAACTCTGTAATGAAGTATCAGGGAGGCAATAATTGCTCATCTTTATTGCCACTATCAACTTCTATTAATTTTATTATTAACTTGATTTTATTCCAACTGCCCCTTTGAGAGTCTACGCAAATTAGATGCATTTGCTAGAGAAGCCTCCGTTCTGTAAAATGTCATCGAATCAAATATCGACAGGCATAGTGCATATTTGAAATTAGCAAAATAATGTTGTATATTTTGTCGTCCTAACAAAATCCCCTTTTTAAGAAATACAAAAAATAGACAAAAATTTTATACTGATTAGAAAATAGTTGGCGGATTTTGATGGCTTTTTAAGAAATATGCCTTTTCGAAACATCATTTGTAAACAACGAATAGCTTTAGAAAATTATTTTTGATAAAGTAGAAAACTTGTCTATAAAGCACTAATGCTGTTGCTGAAACTTACCTGTAGATGAAATGATTCAATATTAAGTATAGTAGTTTTCACTAGAATGCTTACCTGTGCAAAGATTTCCATCACCAATATAGCCAATTTTACATTTACATCCATACGATCCATCTGTGTTTATGCAGTCTGCATTAGCATGACAGCCATGTGCTCCTGTATCGCATTCGTTCAGATCTAAATTCAATGAAAATAAAACCGCAATTATTACAAAATTAAATTGAAAATGCTACATTCTTATATAGGTTTAATGTATCTAACAATTTATAACTATTATTTATAACATACATTTGTCTTCATCATATTCTGATATTTGAAAAAAATAACTTTGAATTATATAGCGTAGCATTCCGATGACGTCAGGTGCTGAAATAAGACAAACCTCTATCCCAGACTTCCAAGCTTCATGGAAACTATTACACAAAAGCAGGTAAAAAATTCTTAAGAATATGCCTAAGTATATACTTAATACGCAAATACACAAGCTGAACAGGTTCAGCTAATCAATAAATGCAAAATATACCTTGACATGAAATTCCATCGCCAGTGTACACACTAATACATTCACAAGTATATGATCCAATGGAATTTGTACAGGTTGCATTTGGATGGCAAAGACTGAGTGCACATTCGTCCGTATCTGCAAACAGAAGCAACGTTCATCCTTATTTCTATGTAAATTTGAAAAGCGATGGATGAGAGAAATATAAAAACTTACACGTCTACATGTTGAAAGTGGAATGCTTTATTTCAAAAAATAATAATACTACTGGGAAGTAAGATACAGCAAAATTCCCGCATATAAAAACCTCATTTTATTTACCAGTTGCAAAAAGAGGTATTTTAGCCAGTTGATTAAAAACATTGTTTGACCTAATTTTCAGATTGGCTTTTGCATGATACAAATGTCCAGAAAGGCTTTGACAGAGAATTCTTGAGAAAAGAAAACATGAAATTATTGAAGATGAGAAATTCATGCACCAAAAGAAATTTTTAGCTTTGAAATCATCTTAAGACAGTTTTGAAATTTAATTATTGCAAAATTTTAAAGTTTTTCACTACCAATAATTCAATAATTTGTGCCGAGTTCAAAAGCCCTGTACTGTCAGTCATTTTATAGATTTTATATATGGTCAGCTTGTCATATTCGGCTTCAACACTGCTGTTGCTACCGAATTTTTTTTCTATTGTTGTAGAATTATGTGAAGAAGTGGAGCAAAAATAAATGTTCAGATTGAAGAATGTTCATGATATCGTTGGCTACAATCATAAGTAAAAGGAATTCTACCGTAATTTTTGCCCTGCTAGATTGATGCAGGGCCTAAGGATGCTTGGCCTTAGAACAAAAGATCTGACGTAAAAATACTACCATAGCATTTTGTCCCATTTCCTGTGAACCCAGTCTTGCATCTGCATATAAACTCTTCCCTTGTATCGATGCAAACTGCATTTTCATGACAGTTGTGGTTTCCTGTGCTGCACTCATCGAATTCTGAAAAAAAATTTTTTCAAAAGTTACTCGTGAATTTATAATGTAAAAAGCAAGTATCATGTTTATTTTATTGTGTAATTTAAATCAAATTATAAAAATACAAGTCATAGCTATGCAGTGCCAATAATAGATCTTTGAGATTTTTTTACTTTGATACTGTAGAGAACACACCATTAAAGCTAACGGTTACACGTACACACTTTTGCAAAAATTTAAAGCATTCAATCTGTTCTATGTGTGCCTAAAGTTAAATAAGCTCTTAAAGTTATGGCTAGACCTAAAGAATTACATGGCCTATAAAATGAAAGAAAGACCCACCCCACATTTTCCAACTGACGGTTACACGTACCTACTTTTTGCAAACATTTAAAGCACTCAATATGTTCTATGTGTGCCTAAAGTTAAATAAACTCTTAAAGTTATGGCTAGACCTAAAGAATTACATGGCCTATAAAATGGAAGAAAGACCCAGCCCACATTTTTCAACTGATCGAAGAGCATTGTCATAATAAAAGGTGAAAAGTTTGAAAACTTAGAAAATGATGATATATGAAATATACCAAAAATATACATAAAACAGTTATACAAAGATAATGACTTGGTAAAACAGAATAGATTATAATTGATTAATAATAATGATTTAGTTTCTTTAATATTGAAATAATTATAGTACAATATGTAATTAAATGGTTGGCATCGATAACTCTTTTCCCTTTATAGCTATCAACCCAAAAGAAAATTTTTATTATCATTTTATGTTTATTTTATTCCTAGAATTCAACTAAGTTCATATAATCAAAAATGTAATTTTGAAATATTTTTTTCAAAATTTCTAAAGTTTGTAAATAAACTAACATACTTAGCAGTAAGGTTATATCCGGCAATGGTAGGTCAAAGTTATACTTCCTTAAACTGAATTATTGCTGTTTTCAGTCAGACGTTTCTTTATCATTTTTAGCTTTTTGGAGAAAATCTTTTGTATATGCTCTTAGAATATACATTACTTTGCTCATTTTTGTTTGCCACTAACCTCGATACCAAATACACGATTTGCCATCCCCGGTGTAGCTGTGTTTGCATTTGCAAGTGTAGGATCCAAATGTATTTGTGCAAATTGCATCTTTATGACATGAATCAGCTTTCTCGCACTCATTGTAATCTAAGGTAAACAAAAATAGCAATCATTTATCGCAAAAGAGCTATGACTATCAATTTCCTGTCACTACAAAATGGAAGGGTTGTAATCTTGATAGAAAAAGGGGGTTAAAAAATGCATGAAAAACTGAAAATGCATTAGGAAATTTAGGTTAATCAAAGGAAATTTGGTAATTTTTGAAGAGATTTGAGGTGCACATATCCTTTTAGCAACCAAAATGAATGAATGAGGCGATGTATTTGCAATTGCCAAAAAATGACGAAAAGGTATTTTTGGAAAAATGCTTTTCAACAACAAAATTTGACAATAGCTCGAAACAAATTTTTTTATGTTTCCATTGTTCTAAAAAGTCTTTGATTATAAAACCTCAGTTAATCACAAAATTAAGAGAATATTTTAATTAGGTATCAAATTCAGGTGCGGATCGAAAGAGATGCGAGAGGAAGAATTTGGCGGGTGATTGGTTACTTTTTTAACCAATCAGCCAGTGCTAACCCCTCAGGCAGCAAAAGAATCAAGGATAAAGAACAAACTTTTGCTTACCATACTAATTGGAACTGAAAATGAAGAGAAGAACTTGCTTGATTATAAAGCAGTCGGAACGACTACCTAGGCCTTTACATTTTCAATGCGTTCAAGCGTATCAAAGAGAGGACTCGCAATAATATATTTCATTTCATTTCAGAGGCTAAGCTCATTTATTCCATAAAACCCATTCTTCTACCCATTTGTGACTGGGCACCGCAACTTTTATTACCTTACAAATAACTAAATTATTTTAATTTTACACGAATTTAAGAGTACTAATCCATTAAAAAGAACCCATTCTTGTGTTTTGCCACCCAAGGCCAAAGATCGCAAAATTATCTTAGCCTTCTAATAATCTCAAATTTTGTTTTGATACGGATCACCCTGACCCTTCTTAAATTAATAGAAAACCAAGCCTTATTCCTCTTTGTATTTTCAGGTCAAAATGTTTACTGTTGAAGGAATCTAATCAACTTGCATTTAAATGGGTAGGGCTTGGAATGAAAAAATAAACGATTTTCGGTGTATTATAAACAAGGTTCTCCGGTGAAAGGTTAAAGTCGGTGTTTTTATGCAATTACTTCCATCGGGCAAATTCAAATGCCCAATCTTAATGTAAGTCTAAGTTGCTGTTGCTTGGTTGTAGCTTTTCTGTTATCACAGTATTAAACGATTATATAATGTTGTCCCCATTGGAATCAGCCAAAAGAAAATCATTTTTGTTTGGTCTTAAAGCTTTACGATATTGTCATGAAAGTATTTGATTCGAAAGATTTCAGAGAGTGTTTGGGTACAAAATCTGGCCATTAGAACAAGTCCTGACATTCCCCTGCTTTTTTTCATTTTTTTCTCGTAAAACTTAGTAGCCATACTGATGACCTCACCCATACTTAGTATCAGCAGTAGAAGACGTACCCCATGTCCTGTATGTCGCTGAAAATCCCTTATCTGCTGTGTCCTTATCAGATTTGAAATGCACTGTCAATGGACCAAGATGCGTAGTTGTTGGCGGTTTTGATGCACCACAATAGGTTGTTGTCCCATTAAGTCTCGGAGAGGTCAAATTTGGTCCATCATGAAGACTTACATAGTCAAATGAGCATGTGCTCTGTTCTTCAAGGAGGAATACAGTGAACTGTATTTCTACATATATGCCAGGCCCAAAATCAATAAACCATCCACAGTTGCTCGAACTGGGGTAATCGTTTGGGTAATTAGGAGACTCGACACGCCCTTGCGTATTTTTCATTCTTAACGTGCAAACTCCTGAAATAAAATAGAAACTTTTGATTGAAAAAGGTAGATATGTCATAATGTTAACAAATTTTGATTATACGAAGGCATTTTCTACAGTTTTAAGTGTATGAATCGCATCTCAAACTTTATGGCAAAAATAAAAACGGTGTTGTAATAGCAGAAATCTGTACCTAACTGGATGAAAATGGTATCTGAAGAGAAAATCTATTGTATTCTATCAAATCCTACGTTCTAAAACAAGGGGAAGGTCAAGTATGGTCAATTGATTTTGCTAAAAAATGTAAATTAATTCGACAACATTACATATATACCATGTCAACAAGTTAAGAATGGAAAGTGAGGACTTGACGATATGGATGTATAGATAAAACAAAACAATCAGGGCCGTCGCGAGGCAAGCCTTTTTTGGGGGAGGGGGGGGGTAACTCTGTATATAATTAGCAACTAAGCAATTATTAATTTTTATACGATAACAGCCGGCTTTTCTAATAGTTTTGTCAAATCTCTTTATCGGAATGGGTAAAGGATACAGCTATTACCTGAGGCGAGCAGGTGATTTTCGAACTTTAGGGGAAATGGACACAAAGCACAATTTTACCTAAAGAGGGTCTGGATTTTTAGATTCAATGCCAACAAGAAATCTTCGAATCTTCAAAAAATTAGTTTGTTTACTTTCATTCATATCAAGGAATATTATGGGTGTGACACCCCCCTACACCCCCCCGGTCGCGACGCCCCTAAAAACAATTTGATTTACCTTTGTATTCCAGAATGAAGCCACGGTGGTTTCCCGTTGCATCAGTGTGCATATGTATAAACAAAGTGTTTGCAGTCGTTAATATTGGTGACGTAGGAACATTCCAGCCGCAAAGTCGCTTTAGAAGTGTAGAATTTTGCGAATTGCCGTCCCTCAAATCAAGCCAATCCGTAGCTGTGGCGCAGCTCTCTTTGAGGCTCTTAAAATGTAGTAAATACTGTTCGATAACTTTTCAAACACAATTTTCTTGCAGTAATTGCAGGGATGGGGCTATGGGGTGTCATGGGGGGCAGCTGTCCAATTCCCAATGAAAAAGAAAAGAAAAAGAACTGTCGGCACTTTGAAACTGTGAAATGAGGAATTTACCTTTTTTGAAAGAAACATTGAATTTAAGTTCAGGCTGGCTTTTGACTTTCAGTAAAACCTTCAAAACCATTGGGTTGGGTTGTTCTTAATTTGTTCTTAAATTATGAGGGTATTAGCAGTGTAATTGCTAAATATTGTGCGTAAGGGGAATGTTCAGGCACCATTTGCAAACAAAGTTTGAAAATTCAGCGTCAAAGCACCTCTAGGTGAGAAAAACTTTATTCAGAATTACATTTTAAATTACGTCAGCCAAAGCTGGTTCTTAATCGCTTGATCAATTTGAATCGATTAAAAATATAAAATTTGGAGTCTTGTGTTTTTTAAAATTGTTCTAACGATTAAAGGTTCTATCAGAAATGTCACCCATCTCAATGATTCTATAGGAATCTGAGAAGCATCAAATGAACAGGACCGCAGAAAGCGGAGCAAAGGGGCAAATGTCCCCAAAGCTTAAAGGCTCTATGGGGGTCTTATAAAGCAATTAATTCAATTATTATGAATGGAGTTTCTCAAACATAGCAAAAGTATGCCGAGAATAGTGAAACATCTTAAACAACTGGTAGAAAATGTCTCCTAGAAATATTAATGAATGTGTTTTAAGCTAAACTTAAGGGGGTGGTCGCAAAATTTGCTTATCAAAAGATGTACTGAACAAGGGCCTACTAGCTAGGCACATCAAAAAATTTGCATATCAAATTTTGGTAATTTGAAACGCTTTAGCAAAATTGTTAGTTTAAAAAATGTATACATGATTTGATTGACGGATAAAAACATCTTTTCAATCATAATTGCACAAGGTGCAACTTTAAACATTATCACTAGAAGAAATGAACACTTGAAACAACAAAAGCCACTTGAATAAAACTCAACTAGAAAACTACTTCAAACTAATGTTGCATACTCACATCTTTCTCTAAGTATCCACTCATCTGAAAAGGAATTATAGTAAATTCTACGTAAATTTCATATAAATTTTACATAAATTTTATCTAATTTTTTATATTAAGAGTTACATAAAACATGAAAACAAGGGTATACAGTATCAATGTTTTGTCATGCACTCTTCTTTAAGCATAATGTTTTAATAGACCTGGCCTACAAAAGTTAGTGTTTGTTCGCGTAATTTCAGAATATGATCCCAAAAAAACAGCAACATTGACCTATGTCAAGCTTAATTATTTGTATCTAAGTTGGATCAAAAAATCATAATTCGAAAATTGCATCTTCATCAATCTGATATGTACTCACAGCAAAATCCATCAACGTCACTTCGAGCGTATTGCCATTAGATACGGTAACAGTCCAACACAGGTCCTGGTTTGGTTGGTACATCGGGTAGTTTGGTGACTTGTATTGAAGAACCCATTTAGTATAGGATATTGTTGATGTACATCCCTGGGAGTCTTGGATCAAGAAACGAGCATTGTAAAAATCTTGTTTTTTTTCGCAGACTAACTTTATTGTTTGCATATTAAGAAACAGATACGATATTGTCCATAGCTAGTTACTCCAGCTTCAAACTTAACAGCCTTAAAATGCTCACATACGTTATCTTACTTAGCTGTGCTGTCTCTTTGGCAATTTTATAAACAAATAGAACTAGCTTGGTAGAAGCATTCAGTCATTGGGTCTGTAGTTTCAAAGCATAAACAGATAGTTTCAACTACTAAAGGAAAACTGCATTGAAGAAAACTGCAATGGTTTTGTGATATTGATAAAAGGGTAATTAATCAAACCTCAATAATACAGTTGAATAATATACGATCTGAGATGTATCGAATTTCTTCCGAAAACCGAAATATGATGAAGTGCATCGCAAACTTCGATATTTTTCCCTCGAATTTGCTTTTGAATAAAACTTAGGATCATGTTGTCTTGATTCTTTTCAATTTTTACGCTAGCACTTTTTTCATCTAGTGCAGATTTTTTAATTCAAAAATTAACTTGGTGCTTTGCTTAATGATATCTATAAATAATTTGTTAACTGACGTCATTTCTTAAATATTGAGGTTCCTAGAATTGGATTTTTTTAAAATAATTACGTACATATAACAATTATGTCAGATTGTTTTTTAAATTTTTTGCTCTTTATTGTCCAGCCTTATCAAATCATGAAAACTTTGCATCCAGATTAAATAAAAAAGTTCTTGATTTTGGTTATCTGACTTATTCTATAACAACTCTTATGCATATTTAATGGAAAACTTGAATTTTGCTTACACGTCAGACCACATGAAAGAAGAAGGACACCAAAATTCCACAAACACCAAATCATTCTTGCAACCCTGATACGCAAACCATCTGCCAGTGGTTTCAGCTTTCTACACACAGTTAAAACCAATAGATTTATATCTTGAAAGAAAATGCAAAGTTGATTGAAGCTATTTCACTATTCAACAGCTGTATAGAAGTTGCCCATGAAAGGAGGCAATCTATAAAAGGAATATTTAAAAAGCAAGTGGTTCCTTTGCATACTGGCAAACTTAAAGGGTGCAAATACCCGAGGATGGAATAAGAAATTTCCCATTTCATTTTGAAAAGGTATCAAATTTTTTTGTGCAGGACAAAAAAGGCCTAGATGGAGGGTCCTTCTTTTTGAGAACATTGCTACATTAAAGAGAAGAGGGTCCATTGCCTCTGAACATCCCAAAAGACCCTCAAGGCTGTTTCTGAGATTATTATTTTATTCAAGCTCATAACTCATGCATGCTTGAAGCCAAAAAGAATTTTTTTCCCTCGATAATGAATATTTTATTTAACGAAAAAATATAGTTGACATTGTCCATGAATAGCGATAGAATCAAGAGTCCTTTTTTCTCTAGTGACGACTTCCCTAGAGAAGACTTGGTAACAGTACTTCATGACTAAACTTTAGTAAAGTATCCTTTTTGTACATTGAGCACAAGTAATTGCCAAGCATAACATGCAATTTTTTCCTAGTTAAAATTAGCTGCTGTCCACTTGGTCGTCTTATAGAAGCTTCGTTATTGACAAGCACTGATCAAGCTTCCGTTGATTAAAGCACGAAAAAAACACTTTATTACTGATTTGCCGGCTGATACAAATGTCTAGAAGTATCTCTTTCACTGTCCGTATTAGCGATCATTCTGCGTGTAATTTGAATAACATTATAAATGCCTATGTCAGTTAGTCTCTATGTAATTCTTTGTTAAGGTAAGATGTTTTACTAAAGTCCTATTGCTTTCGACTAGTATTGTGAAACATATGTTGTGATTTTTACGCGCGAAAAGTTTAGGATTGTTTTTTTAATTGAGAATTAAAATGACATAGATATTGTGTTTCAGAATATGATAAATCAATACATTTCTATAAGTAATGCTTAAGCATAAAGAATTATCAAAAATTTAATTTCTAAGAAAAACATACTGATTGAGAAACAATTTTGATAGTGTCTTCGATAACATATAATAGTTTCACTACCTAGGTTGAAAAGGAAAACAAACACAAAAATAACATAGTTCTCTCTTTCTGTTCCTGAAATGCATTTTGTTAAAAAACCTCTGCAACTTGAAGGGTCATCAAAGTGAGACTTAGCATAAGGCAAAGGATTTAATTTGATTCTGTAATTTGGTTTCGTAAAAATTGGATATATTTTCAGGAAAACTTGATATTTTCCTTTTGATTGCCTCAAGACAGTAAGACTTGACAGACAATGGTTAAAGGACATGCTAGATGACAGAATGATTCACAAAGTACTTACTGTGTTCAATTGCAATAGCCGTGAGCGGCCATACCCTCGTTATTTCTTGACGGTGAATGAATAGTTTTAAGAACTTGCAAGACGTCAATGAATAATTAATTTGTCTAGGCTGCACAGTTTCCATTCTAGTGAAACAACAGTACAAAGTCTCACCATCTATCTGTTCACAGTTTGTATTTGAATATAAAAATACTGTTAAAATTTTAAAGAAAGCTTTCTAGGTCAAGTTAAATCAAATGATTTCATGATAAAGACGAGACCAGACGTGTCGTTGCAAGTTATAAGTTCTCCAGAAGCTGCGGAGTCATTGGATGGAAATTCGTATTGGAGGGGCTGCCCATTGCATTGCCTCCCATTATATACACTTTTATATGAAAAAAATAGCACCCCGAACTCTACTCAAGAAATTGTCCTTGGTCATATTTACTAACTTCGCGGCAAGGCGAATACACTCCTATACACTTTTCAGCATTTTAACAAGAATTTCCAAAGATAAGATTTTTTGTAAACAATGATTATTCTTCTTTTTTGAAAATATAATTTGTGTTCGTGGGCGTTACCTATTCAATAAGGTCGTGGCCCATTCCATACAGCAGGACCAACTTGTTTGGCTAGTTTTAAGGTCTTTTGTATCGTCGGCTATTTGGATGTCTACTTTGCAATTCTTCATTTCAACATGAAGATGATTGCTTGTTTATATGTCTGTATGGTTGCCAAGATAAAGCACATGAAATTTGTCTGTGTCAAGTGGAATTTGCCACTGTTTCGCCCATTTTCCAATATTTGACATTTTAGACAGGATTTTAACTTTGCAATTATCTAAGCATTCGGGAAAGTCATTTATGTACTGTCCGAAAAGTAACGGGCCTAAAACGATGCACTGTTTTCGATTACATAGAAAGGGCAATAGTCCGTCCTCTATTCTATTTCCTTCTCGCAGAAACTAGTGCATAAAAGTTTTTGGTATGTGAATGATTAAAATTAAAATGTCTTTTATCAACATGGTAAGCGAAAGTCTCCCCCTCCCCTATCTTTTAAAGAAAGTAGTGAACTTGCATAGAAGAAAATTTGTGTTAAATGATGTAGTTGGGCTAGATGTTCTAAGTCCTCCAAGTTTATCTTCGAAGTCTTTAATTAAGATTAAATCTCAAAAGAAGATTGCTAAATCTGCAGAAAAATTATCAAGCAATGTTGTTTGAGGAGTCAAGAGGCCTGCAGTTCAGTTTCCTTCTGTTGTAACATATTGATATTTAGGTAAGGTGCATGCCAGATAACTATTTTAGAATGTAGACAACAATAAAAAAATATTTACAAATGACTTGTTGAAAAATATCATTTAGGCCCCAGCAGGTTAAAACAATATTTCCTGCTAGGGTTTAGTAATAAAATTTGCTGGGAGCTGCTAGGGTTTAACTTAAGCATTTCCAAGTATTACCTAACATTAGAATATTGTACTGTTCTCTTAAATAATATCTGATATATCTATATTTGTTAAACTGTATTGACAAATATCTGCCGTGCTGCGTATATTTGACGCACCAAGTATTTTATTAGAAAACTAAAAGTATTCATAAAAATACAATGGAAAATTTAAAGCCGTCGAGGAAACAGAGTTTATTCACAAGACCAAAATACAAAACAGCTTTAACCCATTCTAAGAAATACAAAATTTGAAGTTGACAAATGTCTACACTTAAAAAAGGTGCTGCTGAAAGCCATGTGGTGTCTCTATAGCTATTGGATTGGAACGAATAGTGAAGAGCCAAAAAATGTAGAGGGGCCATAGAGCTTTCTCTATATTGTATACAAAAGGAAAGTTTTAGATTTTTTCGTTTCCAGTTTTTTTATTCACTTTATTTAATGTTGGTTTATAAAATATAGCTAAAAAACAGCTAATTAACACCAACTTGTAACAATAAGAAACAAAACTAAAAAAATCGTGATGTTTACAAGTATCCAATATTAGAATTATGTCATGTGCATAGTCTACACAAGCAAGTAAGATCAGCAAGTAAGATACTTTATAATTTTCTGTCGATCGAATGTCTAACGGTATAGCATTCCACAATTCATTACATCTATAGGATATTGTATCTAGCCCATAAGTAACAGTGTCCGGCTTTCTTAGTATAAACGATTGATTCCGTAAATTATATGCAAGTTCATTCAATTGAAATATTGCTTTCATAGATGCTGGATTTAAAGCCGAACACTGTAAAAAGATAAAAAGTTTTCCAACAATGATGATCTTTTATATTCATTCATATAAGGGGCGATTCTGACAAGGGTATTTATCTTTTTACCTGCTTCTTTAAATTAGTTTTTTATATGTTCTTCAAAGTTTAGTTTGCTGTCTAAAGTTATTCCAAGTAGTTTGGTTTTTTTCGTCTCTGGTTTGTTTAAGTTCTGGTTTGTTTATGTTCAAATATCATAAAGCTACATTTGTCTTCATTCAGTAACAATGAATTATCCTTAAACCATTTATTTAGAGTTGCTACTTCTGTTTCAAATTTATATATTATATCATCAACATTTTACCTACTGTCCATATTGAATTGTCATCGGCATAGTTACAAAGATTTTCTGTAGTCATGAAATAGAAAATATCTTTTAGAAAAATGTTAAATAATAGGGGGCCGAGAACCGATCCCTGTGGGACTCCTTGTGTAACATTTTTCCACGTGCTTGTTTGAGAATTAATTTTCACTTTTGTGCCGTTTCCTTTAGGTAATTTTGTAATAGCATCAGAGATTGCTTGCCGAACCCATACGCATGTATGTGGAAGGCAATCGCATGCTTTGGTTAAATTTATCATTATTATATCTGCTTTTTTCTTATCGTCTAGATAAATTTTTAAGTTTTCAACCCAGCGTATCAATGCATGTTGTGTACCATATTTTTCTCGGAATCCACATGAAAGATGGCATAATTTCATTTAATGAATGAGAATATCTGATTATACTTTATTCTTTCATATATCTTCGACAGTGAAGGAAGAGCACTTACTGGCCTGTAGTTCCTTTTATCATTTGGATTTTCTTTCTAAAATACTGGTGATACATCTGCTTGTTTCATTGCACTGGGAAATTTACTAGTTTTGACAGAGTGGTTAAAGAGAATTTGTAATGTTTCAGAAGTGTTTGTAATGTAATGTTCTTCTACTGATGCTTTGATGACTTTAGATGTTATACCATCAGGACTCGGCCTCCAGTTGCCTTCTTCGATTCTAAAGAGTTTATTTCTTGAACTATTGTTTGTATGGATACAGGCTCAAAGCTGAAGAGAGATTGGTGATTTATTTGCCCCTTAATAGCAATGATACTAGGGTGGTGTTTATATGCTTGTATAATTGTATCTAATGTAGAATGACAGCTTTCTGCCTGTGCGTTGCTATTATGAGGTGTGGAGGTCTTTTCTTGTGGCAGATATTTAGGAATATTTAATGACTGTATTATATTGATAGAGTAATCATTCAATAGTTCCGCAATTTGTTTGCTGTCTGATATAATTCTATCTTTTTCAATAAGAATTATTTTCTCGTGGGTTTTGCCTTTTTCTGTGAATGCTGTTTTAGTGATTTTCCAGAATTTCTGTGAATGCTTTTTATCAGTGACAAAATTCATCTCATGGCTGTTGAAATGATGATACTTTGCTCGTGCCCCCTGCTTTGTATACTGCCAGAAATGTTCAAATTTAGGTAACTATATTTGCAAAGCTGATGTAAATTGATCAAAATGTTATGTTGCTTGGTCAGGTTATGGTCCCTAGTAAATGTAAAATAAATTGATAAATTTTCTGCTTCTTGATCAGGTTATCAAAATAAGGACTGCTAGCGCTTTGCACTCTGGCATCTGTTGGTCAATATGATATTTAGCAAAGTCACATATTTCCTGTGAACTCTCTGTTTAAGACGTAATGTGTACGGTATCCGTGATATTTCACTCCATTTGTAAGAACATACCAATCATCTTATTTGATTCTTTCTCTAAATTCTAATAGATAAGTATAAACCCTTAGCATAAGTAGTCATCTCTAATTTTCGATATATATTTACTTTTTTGATCTAGAGAAACTGTTAGCATTCACTAAGTGACAGGTCTAGGGATGTTATAGGAGTTCCAGCACAACTGGTCTGAGCTTTAGTCTTTTGTTGAGTAACCAATTAGCGAAGGGTTTGGTCAGCAAGGTCTACCTGGGCTTTTCCAGCTCATGCGGCTCACGTGTGGTGTTCTGTTATCGACTCCTTTGGTAACTGCAAAGTGATCTCCTACACCTCTAAGGTTTTTTATTTTGTCTGGCAGGAAACTTCGTCATCCTGAAATCCATATGTTTGGTTTGCAACGCACTATTATTGGGAGGATTGGCAGCATTATCTCTGATAGGTTGGCACTTCTAAATCTTTTTATGCCTACTCTACAAATCCTTACAGTAAATACTATTCACCTCGTCAACAACCGCAACTTCACAAATCTCTGCAACTCCATTCTTCTCGGCGTTGTACTGCTAACCAATCCATTTTTAAAAGATATTTCCATACACATTGCTACCAGGAGATCTGATCTTTTATCCCTGATTCCCCAAGATATACTCTGAATCTTCATCGCCTTTCCTTTCTAGAGCTTGTAAACTTTGATCTTGAACCACAAATTCCTATAACCTATTTATTTTCAAAACCAAAATCAATAAACCTGAAAATATCACCTCCCTAAATTCTTAGCCTTGGGTCATTGGTAAAAGGAGGGGGCACCAAAATTGGTGAGTGCTTGGGGCACCAATGAACCTCGATCTGCTCCTGAATGCAAAGTCTTTGTCGACTAGCAATAATGAGTAATGACCTGCTTGACGGATTGGCTTCTACAAGGGAAAGACTTCCATGTCTGCCATGTAGTAGGCTCCCCTCGACCAGCAAACGATTTAACTGTATCAAAAACGAATGGTGCATACCGAAACATGGAATACAGTATCTCGCGATGCCTGAAAGAATATGTTGGATCGGTATCCCCTTTTGCTTTTTTTCCAGTAGCCAACTCTACCCAAAGCTTTTCGATATTCAAGCATGTAAATTTAGCAATTACGAAAATAACAAAATCTACCAAAAATTGGCTTGTATCTACCTCCTCGTGATTGCAAAGATTCGACTCATTATAAACTGAGTGGCCTTTTTGCAAGTGTTTCGCCCAACTGAGTACTGAAGACTATCTTTCCCAGCAATTTTTAGAGATCTTGGAAGTATTACACATTCTAAAAACAGCATTCGGGTAGCATTTTGAAGATGGAAGTCAATTTAAATCCTTTACTTAATCAAACCCAAATCATTCTAAATTTCTTGTTTGTTATGATTAGTATTCTTGCTAACTTTCATGTCACTGATTTCATTTTCAACAAAGTTATAGAGATAATCAATTCAAGAGTCTGGAAACAATTAAGCATTCTAAAAAATAGCATTTGGAGGCATTTTGAAAATGTGTGACGATCCAAATCCTTGTGCTATAATTAGTATCTAAAGCAAGTTGCTTGTTATTGATTTTATTTTTAGCGGAGTTGTAGAGATAAGCGTGTCAGAGGTCTGGGAATGAGTACATGGTCTATTATTTTGCCTTTCCTTTGGCTAGCCATATCTAAAATGAGGAAACCAAATGTCTCTCCCTGTAATCTTATCAGTACTGTAAGACTTTGCTTTAAATTTTATGCTGCCATTAATTGTAAACAATTTTTTTTAACTTTGTGCATGTGACTATGTCCCTTTTTACTAGCAACAAGTTTTTCACAAAGGCCTTCAGATCAAGGGATCAAATCAACAGTCCTTCTTGTAATGAAAAAATTGACCCAAAACCTTTTCAGCTACCTTTCCAATTAGCAATTGATTATGAAAGTACATTACTTTCATTGAACTGTAACTGTGTATGCATTCCTGACAGAAAAGAGAAAGAAAACAGGTACTATATAAAGGGCAGAAATCAAGAAGGGCAATCAGAAACAGGGGAGTGGGGGCTGTTGTTCCCCCGTGAAGATTCGTTGCCAGCGGTGCTGCCAAGGCTATCTATCTTCGATTTTATATGAAATGTGCCTTTGGGTTATTTCATGAACGAGAGTATCTGTAGTGAGTTGTTGCAAGCCGCAGGGTTTTTTCAAAACCTCCATTCTTATGGAAGTGTACAAGTTCCTCTGTTGAATTGGTCCGCTTATTTGGTTAAAAAGGAATGGACACAATAGTCTTCCGTTGTTATTCAACGGAAATGGCAATAGGCCGTGACAAGGCTGCGGCTCAAATTGTGAGAAGAAGTCCAGTGCTCAGAGAGGTAAAGACAATCTCTGACCAAAGATGAAACGTGCTACAGTGATTTTGTGCCTTCTGGTTGCTGCAACCAACGCTAGATCTGATGTGGTAAGATTTAAATTCCAATACACCTTTTTCAAGAGATTCCTCCAGTAGATGTATTGTTGCCCTCTCTATGATTTGTAGGCCAGTTTGTTGGTTTAACTTCGCCTAATCCTTTTAGCTGCCCATGGATATTTGCGCTCATAGTCTTGTTTCAAGGGAAGCACGACACAATTCACCCATGAAAATATTTTAAAGAATGACGTTTTTGGTGAAAAGTTGCATTGAAAACAAGCCTGTTGACTTTCCTCGAAAACTTTATTCAAGATTTTTTACTTTGTCATTCACACGTTTCCGTTTCTTTTTTATGATTTGTAAAACTGCCATTGTTCTGGTCTCCACCGTCAACCTCAAAATATTTCATGAGACTAAGGTACCTCTATCAAGAATATTGAATACTGGACGAGAAATATATTGCAATAAACAAAATTGTTTATTGCCGGCGAATTTGTTTTTGTCTTTAGTTTCCTTAGAAAGAAAATTTCATGTATCAAGTTTACGTAAAGTTTCAATAACTTTTGTAAACAGACTCGCATTTAGACCAAAATTATTTTTAAAGAAAAGTAGATTGCTGTGTTTAATTAGAATGTTACGCACACGCAAATTTAGTTTCCTGTATTTGAAAAGATACGTTGACAATTCATTTGCAATCATCTTGTCAGTTGACTGTCCATTTTTTCAATAATTTGTCAATCAATTATTAAAACATTTTTCTTTTTATAGGCAGAAACTGTACCACTTGATGGTTTGTATGCAACTTTATAACTTTGTAATATGAAATTTTGTAAAACAAATTTTGCCCATGACAATTGTTGAATTTTTTCTGCAATATTGTCAGATTTTGTATGGTTACACACATTTTTTATAAGAAACTTACTGAAAGAAACAAGTACTTGGCAATCAGAAAAAACTAAGAAACTTCTGTAGTCAAGGCAAAAAAGAAAAGAAACAAATGAAATTTCATTAAAATCTACCAATTTAATTGGCTGTTTTGCATAAAAGTTTAGACACATTGAATGAAAATGTACTTTTCCCATTTATATACAGTATTAGAACAGCATTAAAACAGAAGCAAATCTCTTGACAGAAATATCATGAGCATTTAAAAACATTAGAAACATCACCAATGTCTTTGTTTGTTTCTGCAAAACCATCCACAGCAAGTTTTTGTTGGGAATTTTCCTAGTATGAAAAATTAATTATAGGGCCTTAAATGTGAAATTTAGTGACATCATAGGGAATAAACTCTTAAGAAGGTATAAGTATTAAAATTTTTAAATCGCTTAAGGAATCTGGAGTACTCAACATTGACCTTTGTCTCTTTGAAAACTCAGAGTAATTATGTAAGTGTCAAAAGATATGTCCTTGTATCTTCAGTGTTGCCTTTTTTACTTTGAAACACCTCTGAAAATATAAAATACAAAATTTTTTACTTCTCAACACACCATCCCTCCTCACAGGCTTGAAAAGCCACTAGAGAATGTTTATTTACATTTGGACACCTCAGTTTCGATGCATTGACTTGAATACATTAAGGCAACCATTGTATGAGTGGGCAGAAAGCTGCCATATAAACAAACTTCACAACCAAGTGGTCCTCATAGTCTTATTTTGGCAAGTACATTGAGAAAAAATGTGACACAGAGGTTAAGTCGATTTAATGTCAATGTTTTTAAAATGGCTTTGAAAAAAGCAAATATTTAGTATGACTTGTGGCTTGAGAATGACTTTTTCAAATACTTTTTAGTATGACTTGAAAATGACTTTTTCAAAGCCATTTTCAAGCTTTGTACCACCAAAAGGTCAATGTTTTTGTCAATATGTTAATCACTAATAAAAAGTTTAGCCCAACTCAGTGACAGGAAAACAACCATTAAGTGGCCAAAAATATGACCAGCTGTTTACCAGCAGATTTCTGAGAGCAGGTTTATTTTCAATGTAAACAAACATCACAACTCAGCTACTGCAATAATTAATGCAGCTCAGCTACTGCAATAATTAATGCAGCTGTGTTTGGGAGTCTTAGGATAAAGATAAAATGATCAACTGAAGCAAAAAGGCTTTTCGAATAGAATCATTTGTTCCTTGTTCCTTTTTGCTTGCCTCTACACGCAAATTTAGTTTCCTGTATTTGAAAAGATACGTTGACAATTCATTTGCAATCATCTTGTCAGTTGCCTTATCCATATTGTCACACCTCAATTTTGAATTAGGACATTCAGGGGACAAATATGACTTTTATGCCCAATGTTTAAAAACATATGTACCAACATGACATAGTTTTCTGAGAATGGACCAATCCCGTTGTTACGTCACAGGTGTTACCACACACAATGCATTCTGGTAGTTGTAGTTAGATGTGCCGTTGCTATCCACCCTGTTCACTGTATTTTCCACTGCTTTGCCACATTATCAAAGTATTTATGTCTAAATCATGAACAGAAATATTGAAACTCACACAGATTTGATGGAAAAGGACATTCCTAGTTTTTTCAAATCTCTTGCACAGGGACTCGTCCTACTGTCTGTCCTTTTAATGGAGCAATAACTGAAGACATTTGAAGCATAGTTAGGCCTGTTGATACAGAGAGTGGGCCTGAAAAACGCAACCATGGCAAAGGAGGGTTTACATGTTGTGTGCCAGAATATTTACATTCAATTTACAACAACTAGCTTAAAAAGTTTACAGCTTTTTCTTAGATACATTAACTTGCTATCTTAAAGGCTGAGAGGTTTCCCTTTATTTATGTAGTAAGAATTGATTAGAAATGTCATTTGTTCTGGGAACTTGTAGCTCTCCAAATCTCTGTCTTTAGGAATATTGCTGTGCCAGTTTGTTGTTTGCAGTATAATTGGTACCTTAAAAATTAAAATAGTATTTTGACTTTGTTCTAATCTAAGGTTGCAAGAACTACCCATGCTCTGGAAAGTATGAAGAGTGTGATGTGATTGGCGGGACACCATTGTGTGTAAAAAGGTAATTTTAGTAATTCTTTCTTTTAAAGGTGCTTTCCCACATTACGGCATCAAGAGTGCCATGTCTTTGGGTGACAAAACCAGGCTTACCAATAGAATAACCAAAATGAAACAAATCAGTTGTCCTTGTTTATTGTTCAAAGCCCACTTTGTTAATTATAAAACTAAAATAATGAGCCCACCTTGTGAATCATATTTTCAATCATTGTGTTGCTTGTACATTGGTCTTTAAAGTTAATACCCAGGATACAAGAATGCTTTAAATATGTTCCTTCTGTTTCCTGCTTCTATTGTCTCCCGCATGCAGCTTACATTCATAAAGAGAACTGAAGCAAATTCAATCTTGAGATATGTATTTAAGAACGTTAAATGTGAAAACCTTTTGCAAACTGGAAGTAGATTTCCAGTTAGGTCCAATTTATGTTCAGGTTTTTTTGAGTGAATAAGAAATGACATTCTACTGTTCATCAAATGACATGACATGTAGCACTGCAGGCTATTTTTCACACTCTTTCTTTTGGCATTATTTTTATAATGGAATTTTGCCACATGACTTTTTCATTGATACCCAAAAGATGTCCAACATGCAAAGTAACTGGAAATGGGAGCCCAGTTTGTGGAACTGATGGAAAGACATATAATTCCCTTTGTCGACTGCAACAAGCTGAATGCATGGACAATTTTGTCATTGAGCCAATGTGCACAGGGAAGTGCCCATGTGGTAGGCTGTGTAGAAATTTCTTTTTCCTGTGAACTTTTTTTTCTGTTGCTGCGCTTTTATTTTAGCTACTGCCTCTTCATTTTTTATTCCCAATGGCGCATAATTAAATAGAAATTTAGGCTTCTGCCTTGTATTCTGCAGCAGATTATTTTTCAGGCAGTTGTGTAAAATACAGTAAACCAGTCCTAAATTCTGTGCATTTTCAGGGAAGGCCGTGTGCAGCAGTAAAATTTGCTTTCGTTAGAAATTTTATATTTGATTTATCCAAACTTGACTAATTGGCACTGTTTGCAAGCTTCAATGCTAACATGTAACCTATTTGTTATGACTTCATTCAAAACATAAACATTAATAGAAAAATCAAAATCCTTAAAATCCAATAGCGAAATATTTCAACTTGAATATTTATGAAGGTGACAGCAGTCTAAGACAGGTGAAGTCTTTGCAGCTTCAAGCAAGTTAATACGAGTTTTCACATGAACTAAATATTTGTATTTAAGATCCCAAAGATGTAGAGACAATGGACCCTTCCACTGTGCATAAATTACAAAAGCTGCGTTTGCAAGTCCGCCTTGATCGCAGATTTAAGGCAGAAATGGAAAAAGAAACAGAAATTGAAAAGGTATGATGTTCATTTCAGTTTTAAATTTCAAATTGTTTCAATCTACTATTATTCATTAGTATGAATTCCAATAAACCATGAATCCAATCAGCTTGGCCCAATTGCGTTAGGTTTCCACACTGTCAAACATATCAAGTTTAATTATTGGTTCCTACAAAGAGCTTTGGTTTCTCATTGAGACTGTGCAAAGTCTATCTTTCTTACCACAGTTGAAAAGACTTCTTTTAGCGGACTAGTGCTGTAAAATTAACAATGTAATTTTTTACGAGATTAAGGACTTTCCCTTTAAACAGCAGTTTTTATGAAATCACCGGTTATGCAGGTCTTCTTTAAAAGTTAATTAAAAGAGTTTCAAAGCGTCGCTGCTAAGACTATTATTGATATAGCTAATTGAATTTTGAGTTAAAAAACTGTAAAGCTTTAGATATTGGAAATAGCATCTAACTAGCTAGGTCGCTAAACTCTCCATAGAACCACAGAGAACCATGTTCATCCAATGCACCCAGCCAAGCTACTCTTGCAACATCTCATTCCTAGATATGAGGATGTCATCTTCATAATTTGCGTTTTATTCGAAATATTTACGCCTTTTTTTTTCTTGAATTTACAATCCTAGTGATAGCAATTTAATCAATCTGATGGATTATCTCGAAGATATAATTCTTAAACTGTTTGTCTCATTATTAAATTCATTATGATTACAGACTTTCCCCCATCAAATGTGCATTTGAGTACAGAGTCGATGATTATGCCCCCCCCCCCGTATGTGGTACCAAACATAATGCTAATTTCAATTTTTTAAGTTAAAGAAAAGCGAGAGGCTGTCATCGGAAGACGCCCTTGCCACAGCAGAAGGTATTGAGAAGGTTTATTCAGAGAAGATGAGAAAATGGATGAAGTTGAAGATGAAAAACAAAATGGAAATGTACAAACGCAAGACAGAGATTTCAGTCCAGGAAACTAAGAGGAGAGTTGGTCAGGGTATGAATTGTCTTGTTTAGCTTAATAGTTTATGCATGTATATTGAAACACCCCCTCCCCCTCCCCAACTCCAAAGTTGGGGGTATGAATTTTTACAATATCGAGGTATAAGTATTGAACTGGGTGGGGGTTCCGATTTCTGCTATGGTTGCTCCATTGATAGAGTTATCTACCACTAGTTTCACCCTTTAAACTGATGTTGCTTTTATTAGACCAATTTACCCTTTTTATACATCATTAACATTGATCATATTCTTTTAAAGTGAGCATCAGCTTTTCAAACCAAATTCTTAGATGATATCACCCTTTTGTCACAGGAAAGTTATTATGTTGCAGTAATTAAAATCCTTTGATTATATAAGAGACTGAAAGTGAACTATTCTTGTTTTGGTTTTTTTGAAGGTGTCTGTTTACAAAGTGACTTATCTGAGCTGCCTGGGAGACTTATTGATTGGTTTCACGTTTTGAAATCAAATGAACAGGGAGACAAAGGAAAAAGCTCAATAAAGGAGATGTCATTTCTCGATGCAAAGCTCAAGGCAATGTGTAAGTCAGGATTTTTCAGGTCAACAAAGTCGACGCCGCTTACAGTCACTCTGCTTAAAGTCACATTACTGGTTACAGTCAAGTAATATTTAGACCGAAATATACAAAACCATTAAATTTAGCTCCGCTTATAGTCACACTCAGTTTACAGTCACAAGTTTTCGAGCAATATTTGGTGTGACTTTAACCGGAGTCTCCTGTATTAGTTTTTGATGTCTATGAATATTTCTTATATATAACTGTAGACGCTTGGAGATTTGCTAGAAGCTGCTAACAATAGATTCAGCCTTTCATTTAGTTGAGCATATTATCCGCAAACCGTAGTTGACAGCAAGCATGCACAAATTTAAGCGTTGCAATCCATATCCCAGAACGTCGTTTACAGCGTCCATCCACATGCTGTGTTCAGTGGCGGACACTTGGGGGGGGCGAGGGGGGGCGACGGCCCCCCAGTACTTTAGAGGACAATGGTCTTTTGTTCGAAAACAATGGGAAATGTGACGTCATCTTATATAAACAATAGGCTTGCCCCCCCCCCGATATTTGACCAAGTGTCCGCCCCTGGCTGTGTTCATGATCCACTCTCCAGTCTTCATCCATTCAGACTAAATTATGATATTGTAGTAATGCTCTTTTGGTTATGTAACGCCAGTCTCAAATGCAATCTAGCTGCTACTTTTCGTCTGAATTTCCACTTGCTGCTTATTTCTGCTTTCTATAATTCTGCATTCTTCTGCAGTTTCCTGCCTGATAAATTGGCAGGCAACATTCACAAGAATGCAAAATTGACAAATTCGACGGCTTTTCACGAATCTTGTATGATTCTGAAACTACTGCTCGAATTTAACAGATTGTCAAAATCTGCTTTATTCTTATTTTCACCAATGATTATTGAACTCGATCAGTGTCTTAGTTGTGCAGGTTAGCCAGTTTTACAGATAATTTTTCTAACCTTTCCTTTCCATCTATTTGTTTAGACGTCACTCTTGCATGCAAGAAAGACCCAAACAGGCCCGACGCCGAAGTTTTCTGCTTGCAGCCCGTTCAGTGGATGTTTGATCACCTCGATGTTAACAAAAACGGCATTCTTGAAAGCACTGAGCTGTCTGACTTGGAAAGTGTAAACTCAGAACATTGCATGAAGAAATTTTTCCTCGGTTGTGACAGAAACCGCAATGGAACAGTGGAGAAGACAGAATTCTGCCGATGCCTTTGCGTGGGTAAGTCAATTCATTAGCTATTTATTTGCATACTTTTTTAATGAAAATTACTCTTTGCCGGCCTGTCATGCTCGATGACGTATAGACAGGGCAATACACGGTTTTGGTTTATAAAATATTTGGTTTATATAGCATTCATAAGATATTTCCTTGCTTTTGGGAAATTCTATTTATTATTTACCTGACCGTGTGCTGTAATGTAACGAAAGTGGTGATTTAGATTTTTCAAACCTTAGACGTTTCTCAAGACCAATCAAAATGGAATCATCAAAAAGGACGATTTATATATATGGAATATAGCAACATTCACCTAACTCCAACCCATTTTTAGATGTGTCGACTGACTCTTTCCGCATAGCTCTGACCTCTGCAATAGTGCCACCCACATCTGATCAATTAATTGCAGCAGTGTATATATTAATACTGAAAAATAATCTATCTTTACCACTAGTTTTTATATCTGTTTAAACCATTCCTTTATTGTCGAATGTAGCTGTACCTTTTATCCAAGATCGTAAATTTCTTAATGCATATTTTAAAACTTGTCAGCTAATTTAGTGGCCTCTTAGCCTAAATTCCTAAAAACCCTAAAATATCTCGCCATTTTTATCAAAAATCATAAAATATTCCTAAAATTTGACAAATAATTCCAAATTGCCTAAAATTTATAAGAAATTTAGCTAACTTTGTCATTTTTGTATGTTAGTACCAAGTATATGGGAAATAGACAAATTCCATTTGGAATCAACGATACAAAACCCTGTACAGTCTTCAATTTTAGTTCTTTTTTCTTCTAATTGTCCTATTTCTTTTCAAGGCTGCTCCTCATTTTCAATCCTATGTTGTGATTGCACCTTTTGTATGTCTTTTCTCTTTAAACTCTTCAGTGAAAGGTATTTTTTAAGCCACTTCTACCCTTCCTGTATTTTATTTCTCTGCTACGCAAATTCCAGAGCTCTTCAATTCTATTTTTCTTTTTATCTCTTCAAGTTTTTCTTTCCTTTCTTGCTGTTTCTTTGTGATGCCCCTAGACACAAAATAGCTGAAACAATGCATACTTGTATTCTTTTCGTCTAACACTCTTCAGAGATTCCGCTATGCATTTTTTCTGGCTATTTCGGGCTATCCTCAAACTTTGCTGTACAAAAAACTTATTTGGTTAAAAAGAAATCCTAAAAAGTCCTTAATAATTATTGTTGGGTCCTAGAAAATTCCTAAAATCTGGCTTTTAAAAATCCTCAATTCCTTATTGAATTTTGCAAACGGATGATGGGGGGCCTGTTAAGTACTGTAATTGATTAAGATTGCATTTTATTGATGATTCTTGCTTTGTTAATCAACTTGCCATTAAATTACAGAGCCTCCATGCACCAAGGCAATTGAAAACATCCCCACTCTGTTGATCGCTGGGGTGCCACGCCCTGTACCGGGTCTCTTTATTCCCAAATGCAATGAAGACGGATTCTACGTTTCAAAACAATGCACAGATAAAGAGTGCTTTTGTGTAGACAGGAATGGTCTGGAGGTCCATGGGACCAGAGTGGCAGGAAAGGAAATGGAATGTGGTATGTCTGACATTTGATATAAAGATCGAATTTGTAATGCTGTGTTTTTAATTTGCAAGCCACTGTATTCCCGTAAAAGGCTCATTTTGATCTCTCTAAAACCTGCAAAAGATGTAAAATAACTTTTAGAATCTAAATTCTTTGATCGAGTGCTTGCTTCTGTTTTTGTCTGAAGGCGTCTAGTTTTCTTGCGCCCGAATGGAAATACTCATAGTTGAGGCCAGATGATCCAGTCTTGACTTTGAATTGGTGCATTAAAATGATGTTCTTGTATTTTCCTCGTGCTTTTTGCTTCAGTTTAATATTGAAGATCCTCGCTAGGGTATGTCATTTTTTATGTTCGATATCCAATAAAGACATTCTTCTGATCCTTAACAGGTGACAATACCAAAAGAAAGACAGAGGAGTAAATGAAGGAGCAGTTTTGCAATGGAGGAAAGACTTTGTTTCTTGAACAGTGTTTACAGCTTTGATTAGCGTAGAGACTCATTTACTACCTTACATTTGTAAGCTATGAATCTTGTTACCTGTATTTTATTTATATTTAGTGTTTTTTCTAATTTGTGTATGTAGTTACGAAACCTGCTAAACCCTTTCGTTATATAAGAAGTTGGTAATTTTTGTCAGAAATAAGCGTCTAAGATTGCGTATCAAAATTTTTCACTTTCCAAATATCGCTAATGTATTCAAAAGCCTTTTAATCATCTCAAATAATCTTTAGGTATTTTACTAGAGTAGAAAGTCATGTTTCTCGACATGCTGATTTCCCTCAAAGTAGTCAGACAACCTGGGATTTGTTAGCAAGCCTATGAATAGTACTCACGTAAATATTACCCGGTGTGTAGTTTTTGTACTTAAGGGTTTTTTATCGTTTTAGAAAACACCTTCGTTTTTCTAAATTTTTCGATGGCAAATTAGATTTTGACGTTGATTATCTTGTTTTTTTTATTGATTCAAGTCTTAATGTTCTGCCTTCAAACTGATCCAAATGAAAAGTTCAAAACAGCATAACAGTTTCTTCATGTTTCGACTCACTCCATAGATTTATACTGTAGCCCAATGTTGCACAAAGAGGGGGTGTCTGAAGATATTTAAAGATCCGTAGCATGCCAAAATGTTGTTAAGTCTTTTAGATCAACGAAGTCCATGTTGACAAATTTTGCATAAATTGAATCTTTAATTTTTGAAGGGGTCAAGTATTACCGAATAGTCAATTTGAGTATCGTTAATGTCAAGAAGACCTGTTTAATATTCTTGTTACGGAAATGAACAAGGCAGTTTTGGGTGCCTGTTATATTATGGTGCTTTGAAAAAGATGTTCTGCTGACCAGTAATCGCTAAACTCCTACTTGTCCAATCAACAAGAAAATTTGTAGGGGCAAGGGTACTGACTACAAAAATGAAGGCATTTTGAGCTGATACGCCGTAAGGCTTGTGTCAGGTACCTATTTATTCCATCTGTATCTCTCAAAGTACATACGATTCAGAACGAGACGAGGGCGTAGAATTCTAACGTGGATAGGCTTTTACCACAGGTAGTGAATTCCACAATACTCTAATCACAGTGACCGAAGATGTGTTTGACCCGGATAATCCGCAGCACGTGGAACACGATGGTGGATAAAAGTGCGTGCTCTTGTTTCTGATTGGCGTAATTCGATCTACAATTTGGTCTGTTAAGATATGTTTCTTATCTCAATAATCTCGACTATTTTCCAATGTTTCAAACTGCAAGCATGCTGTCAGACGAATCATTGTGTGAAGTTGGTCTAGAATATTAGAAAAGGTTTTTTGTTTTGGGACAGATGAACCATTCTACCTTATTAATTCAGGGGCGTGGATAGAGAAGGGTCGCTTAGTGTGAATGAGCCCCAGACCTCATTAATCTGCGTGAGGCACAAATGTTCTTGCTCCGAATTTCTGCAGGCCCTTTTCTGCATCGATTTTTATTTACCTTATTCATTTTACAATCATACTTTGTCTTTATATTTTTCTTGGTATCAATTGAAAGGTCTAATATAATTTCAAGGGTTACAGCTGTTGGTTTTTTTTTTACCCAAAATCATTACTCTAATTTCGCGAGTTTGCATATCACATTGTCTATCAGTCTCTTTCTTTTCACTCCTCTTGCCAACAGAGATCACTCACAATATTTCGATCTGAGCAGAACCTATGCCTTCGAGGGGCATATGACTTCAAAAAAAACTCGCACATCTTTGACAAAAATCCTTTTTTTTCTAGAAAAACCTTTGAAAGATTCTGCAAAAATTTCTAGAAAACCTCTTGGAATAAATGACACACCCTTAGCGCTTCTTTAAGCTAAAGCTGCCGAGCATGGCATCTAACAGCTAACATGTTTGTAGAAGTGAGAAAAAGAATGTAAAACACAGAGTTTTCAAAGAATTCACCCTGAAAAAAAATTCGTACGGTTTGCATCAACACAAATTTTCAATGGAACTTAATTGAATATAATTTTTCACAGCAAGAATTTTTAACTTTGAAATGAGAAAAAGCCCGTGTAATGTCGAGACCTTACAACTTCTGTTAACGAATTGAAATAAATAACATAAATCAGCGATCCAAAAAAAAGATTTGTAAATAGAACCAACAATTTAAAGTGAAGTGTTCGAGATGTTAGACGCCTTCTACACGTAAGATGTCTTTACTTAATGGAATCAATAACACCAGGTTGAAGCCAATAAAATTGCTTGAGTAAGCCAAATCGCCCGTAGATAAAAACTGGATCATTTTATTCTCTTTCTTATGCAGTAATCATTTGATAAGTTATCATATATGATATGTGATTATGTATCGCTCTCAGCAATTATTTAGAAAGTGAGGTTTATCTGCTCAGTTTTACATGCAGTTAAAGGGGAAGCTTGCGGGAGCGTAGGAAGTGTGACACCCCAAATGCATCATGAGATGGTTATTGGTCAATTGGTCCATAAATCTTTAGTTCATTGGAAAAATTGCTTGTCCGTAGGTGAAATAGCACCTAAATTTTACTTTTGATGACAAGCTTAAAGTATCTTGTAACCAATCACAAAAGTTAAAAAATTGAGCAGTTTGATGTCGGCCCAATGAATGGAACTGAAGAGTAGGCAAGGATATCTTAAACTCTAATTTACAGGTCTTTTTTATCTCATTTTTATAAACCACGGATAAATATTGACTTAAAGCGTTTGCAGTTCGCAATATTTTTTATCGATAATCGCAACGAGAAAATTAGAAATTCTGATGGAGCGTGAGTTAAAAATTGAGGCGTCCAGATTGAAACAGCTGGAGCGTTTGAAAGAAATTATTGAGAGCAATTATGAAGAGTCTGTAGAAGCATCAGCTCACCCCATGGCCTCTAATTGCTTGGATGCAGCAGATAACGAAAGAAAATCATAAACTGGTAATTGATATTGTTGGATGTAAAGTAGCATTCAAATGATATCAATCTCACCAAAATTTTTGTTACTGAATGCATCAAATATTCGCATTTCATCAATATCTGACCACATGTTGCACCTTTTTTTATTGCAGGCACATCTTTTAATCGGCTTTTCGCTCGCAGGCACAAAATATTTTTATTTAGCCCTGATTCCAAAATTTAATCATCCTGATAGTTGTTAATAGTTTCAATTGACTGTTGTATGAATGCTTGCCATCTTTCTTTAAGACCCTAAAAAGCACGAGAAAAATTAGAGATGTAACTTTGGTTGCTGTTTACTTAAATATTCTAATTTTTTTGTATCGAGCCTAATACATTGGCATTATGCACAATTTGTTAGTAATTAGTTGCTAGTAGTTAGGACAATTTACTTTTCCATTTCCGAACGAAATTTGATTGGAAACCTTTTATTTGAAACCCCTACTGCTGAAAGATGCAACTTGCATGTCATCGCTAGAGGTTTGAATTTCCCGCAAATCAATATTTAACTCGTCCCCAGTCTTTTAGAAAAATATTGAAGAAGGGTTGCCAAAGCTGACCGCAGAATAGGAACAACTAATAGTAATTCTTATTCTGTGGCCAGACCTTGAAGAAAAGTAAAGTTCGCGGTATGTTTTTACATCTTTTGTTATGTGCGGGAACGGAACTTGTTGGTGCATATGTGTAATTTGTGTTTCATTAGCAGATCGGCTTCTGACAATGGGACCTGTAATTGTTCCTATAATCGTGGCCTAAAAGTACCTGAGGAACAGGCCTTAAACTGGTCAATTAAACTAAACATTGTTTGCACACCAAGAGCACAACTTCATCACGCAATAAGAATGCATGCCATAACTCAATTTTAATGTCTAACTGTGCATTTGATTTTTCAGCAACTATTTTAGATTGCATTCACACTGTATTTCTTCATGGCTCGTATAACTTGCATAACTTTATATATTCACACGGGCCCGCTTTGCAAACGTTTATTTTATCGGCCCTTGGCCGTGGCAAATTTTCGAACTTGTCATCAATCAAAGACAGTGCGAATTATTGCGCGAGCACACACTTTTTCTTTATCTTTTTTCCAAAAAGTCATTCAAGTAGCTATTTTTTTTAAAAAATTTGCCCCCTTTTTCAGAAAATAACCCTTTTACAGAATATAGGGGCCCTATCCTAACGGCTATGTACAAAGAAGATGTCTGGTACGTAATATGACCTCAGTAAAGAGCGGTAGCAAGAAGGATTAGGCCCTTCTATGAAGATGTTTATAAAGAAAAAATATCAGAATATCGCGTCTCGGCGAAAATTTACTCTCGTTGGCATTGTCATTGACGACGGAGTAGGATCTCTCGGGTTGATTCGTTTTAATTTACCGTAAAAGCTATTTATTTTTCTAGTCCTAGAGCGGGCTTATTTGAGAGGGGGGCGGGCTTGCATAACTATTCAAAATAAAACGTATCATAAAAATGCCACAATGCTCTTGGATTTTCAACGTCAGTATCCTCTTGACCGCACAAGGAAATCTTTACATGGGCCGTATTTAATGCACATCATCTTATCATCATAACACCCATCAAGAGAACCATGCAATGCGCAGCAGGCCTGTAGCCATGGGTGGTGGGTGGTGGTGTCACCAGCTCAAAAAAACTGGGGTGGACAAAAAAAATTTCTTGTCCACGCCCTTCAGACTCTTGGAAAATAATTTTTTTAGTATTTTTTATCGTTTTTGGATTTTTTGGACAAGCAACTTTCTCAAGCAGCATTTTTCTTTTATGCCAGTGCAAAAATCTAAATGAATCTGATCAGCCCAACTCCCCTCCCCACAGTAGGCATTTCTTCCATTGTACGGGGGCACAATTGCTGGATTGTGTGCTGCAGCTCCCTTTAAAACTGTGCCAACTTCTCTTTTGGCACGGCGAAAATAAAATTTGCAAAATTGACTTGCTGATGATGTTGAGTCAACATCATTTCATAGCCGCGAGCAATAGAAAGCGGGACACTAATTAGAGGGAAATGGGAATTTTTCCTGTAGCATTCTGTTACAGAAACCGTGTCACTTCGTTAGTTTCTTACAGGCTCCCCCACTCCTTTATGTACTCATTCTTCGTACATAAAAAGTGTCCCATGGAATGGCCTTTTCATAAAACTTGGAATATGGTAGGGGGCGATGTTTGAAATTTAGGGACATTGACAAGTTCCAGACTTATATACCAGACTGCAGAGTACAACTGTTTCCAACGACTGCAGGTGTGCAAGAGCATTATTTCAAGTGTGCAAGTATGCGCTTTGGTACAAGTGTGCACTTCCATCTTGCATATTAGTGCATACAGTTATGCTAGAGCCCAAGAAAGTATTAGAAAGTGAACTCATAGACTACCATAGAAAGCTCGGTTAATGGGTTTATATCCTTATTGAAAGGATTCTTGTTTTACCACTGTTGTCTTCAATCAAATCTGAATTTTCTCCTATTTATGAACATCCAATAAAAAAAACAAAGTATTACAAAGCTGTCTGCCTAACATTGAATTCTGGAATTGAATTTTAGAGCATCAGCAGGTAAATGTTGCTTTGCCTATCCTTATTCTTAGGTATCTACTAATACTATTGAGTTCTTCATTCTTTGGCCATCTTATATTTGGTTTTTAACAGATGACTTGATTAAAGGCACAGTTCCTGCCAAAAAGCAAGAAAGAGAGAACATAAACAAATTGTTTGAAATTGTTTTCTTTCTGGATATAACGGATGTAGTGTGGTTTATCTCTTGTATTTTGCAATTATTTGCAATAATTTTTTGAGAGCCACATGCAGGGTATTCTCTACTGGTGGTAATGAGAGTGTAACACCCCCTTGAGAAAAATGTTATTGTAAAAGTGAGGGTTGTGTGCCATCTGGATTGCTTCAGAAATGAAAAAGGCTGAGGATGAAGAAAGAACAATATTGTTTTTTGCTACCATGCCATTTTTAAAAATAAAATCACACATTTTAGTGTAAGGCAATGAAAGGGACCAACTCTGTCAACCCTGTTGCAGACAATGAAAGTCAACCCTGTTACAACAACCGTATATGAAACACCAACAACCAAATTAAACTGTTGTGCTTCTCAATTAGGAGCAATAAATGAAAAATCAATTTTTAACAGATGAACTGAACTGAACTGAACTGAAAAAAAGGAAAACCTCAGAAGATAATTATAATAGTTGGGGATCATTGAGGACACACCCTCCCCAGTCACCCAGTTGTGATGTCTACTGTGATGTAGGGTGCTTAATTAGCAATTGCTCCAACTTATTGACAAATAAAGATGGCTCATCCACATTAAAAATGGGTCCTGGACACCCCCCCCTGCTTGAGCACAATAGCTAGCAACCAGCCTGGCCAAATTATTGAGAGAATCTAGATCTATAATCTATTAATTAGTAGGTTTATGCATTGTTTTGAAAAGAGGTTATTTAGACTCATTAAAAAAATTAGGGTAACTCTCTGGAATTTTGTCATATTTTCAATATTGATTGTTTGTTTCTATGTGGTACACTAGAGCCTTGTGTGCTAAAGGCCAAAGCAAAATATAAAAGCAAAGATGTGTCCAATAAAGAAAAAATTTTTGGTTGATGGTGGCATTAACTCGATTGGTGAGAAAAAGGATGAGAACAGAAAAGCAAACATAAGAGTGATGTACTTAACAATGACAATGACCATGTTAGGTTAGATAAGTTTGTTTGGTGTTTTCACTTCTTTCATTGATTATTAAAGATTGACTATTAACGATTATCAACAAAAGTTAATGCTAATTGATTTGTTTTCCATAGTGTTAATAATTTGATATAAAATATACTAGATTGCGTGCGGTACAATATAATGCTAAAATAGCAATGAATGTAAGTAAATTGTACCAGGAAAATTTTTTTTTAAATAAATAACGACATTTCGAGCAATAAAAATGTTGGTATTCATTTTGTGTTTTTAACAGACCTGTCAAATTTATGCGAGTGAACGCTAAATGTCATAACCTATCTGGTGCTCATTAATTATTCACAAGTTTCAGCATTCACTTGGTTTTGATTGCTCAAATCACTTGTTATTGATTGCTCTAATTACTTTGGTGCAAAAATTAAATGATCAATGCAGGACAATGGAACAAGTAACCAATCAACATATTGTGTTTTCTAATTAAGAATTGTGCAATGCAGCCTGGTGTTTAATGCAAAACCATGCACATTGTAGCATTTATTTAAAATTATACCCCTATCTTTTGTATTTAATTGATTTTTCTGATATTTTTGTTTTAGGGATAGCAGTAGGTGTGTCGTCAACCTGGCCATATCTGCAAAAAGTGAGTGAATCACTGTAAACAGGTTTTTGGTCTGTTTATAATTCTCTTTCAAAGCCTTTGTTTTGGTATTAGCAAGCTAAAACTACAAATAACTAACCTTCTAAAAGTTAATATTCCCTGCAAGTCAAAAAACACCTGCTTTGTAATCCTTTCAAATCCCTCTAAACAATTGATCTTGAATTCTCAATAGTGTTTTTATTTATAGAAGCATTTTTTGTCATTGCTAAATAGTATATTTGTCAAAGGTTTTCCATGTTTTTCAGGCCTGGCCGTTTGTATTTTTATAGGTGAGCTGTGAATCGCTCCCCTCATTTGCTTAGGCGAGCTAAATCAGTAACACATAGAATTTACTTTAAAGACAATCGACAGATGAATTAAGCCCCTTTATTATCTGTCGGTTGCCTTTCACAGCCTCTGTCAGGAGTATGCTGTTTTACTCCTTTCAATTGGTTTTTGCTTCGACCGTGACTTAGACATCCCCTTTACTTGAAATATTTAAAGAACAGACTCTTTCAGTTTCATGTAAAGCTGGCACAACACAAAAACAACAATTCTCTTGCCAAACAATCTTTTTGTTGTACAGAATTTGAAAATGGCTTTGAAAAACAAATTTTGAAACAAACTTAAGTTATACGTCTAGCACTCTTCAGAGTATAAAATGTCAGAAGATAGATGGAAATCTCTTAGCTAAAATACCCAGTTTTGGATCGAAATAGGCCAATCAGAAAACGCGAGCACATGACTGTTGAGGTTGTCCAATCAGTGCCGCTTTCCTATTGAAAATGTTACCAACCGAGTCTTAAGGTGAAAACGAACTCCTTCTGTCTATACAAAAGCGGTCTGTCATGTTTATATAGTAGATAGATTCACAAACTGCTAGATGGAACGATGATTAGGCTTTGCCAATAATGAGAACTTATCGCCGTTATAGTTTTTCACCCAATCTGGGTTTTTCAGTTAATGCCTCTGGATAGTAGAATTCCATGTTTTGGTTGTCGTTTTTGATCTGCAAGATAAAGTACCCTGTTCTCTTGAGGGATAGTTTTGTTTCTATTGCTGGAAGGGACCTGCTGTCTTATTATATCCCCAATCTACATTTCCTACCAATTTCTTCGACTTTCCTTCCAAAAATATTCCTGTTTTCTTAACATAGAAAGGTTCTAATCGCTACAAACGTACCTTTCGCTTAACTATCCTTTTCCAAATAAATCGAAGTTCATGCCTATCATAACAAAAACCGCCCAACAAGCAAAAAGTTAATTGCAAAAAATACAATGACGGGAGAAATCGCTGTTACAAAAATAAACCAATTAACCCTTGTACGTTTTCAGGGTTCTCTGAATAGGAAAAGGGCAAATGAATGGAAATTTTAGGGGAGCGATTCTCCTTTCATGTTCTGTTTAGGAGAACATTTCATAGCTTGCCTCAGGTTGCGAGGGGAGCGTGGAGGCGAGCGCGAGCTATTGTTCGCCAGGCCTGGTTTTTTCTCAAAATTGTAATTTGCCTTGAAGTAAATTTCAGTTCTTATAATTATAAGCTTTTAATATCTCCTTCGCTTTATGTCCCCAGATTGACTCAGAGGTTAGCCCAGAGTTTTTAGGCTGGACAAATTTTGGATTTAATCTCGTGGCAATAGGCTCTGATGTGCTGCTTGGAAGATGGATGCATTTGAGGTCTTGCAGAGAACCACTTATAGGTTCCATTTTTGCTGGAATCCTGTCTGGGCTGTTATATGCAATTGCGCAGGGTGTTGGAGGGGATAATGGACTATGGATTGTCCTTGTTTCCAGATTATTCCTTGGCTTTACCAGAGGTTTGAAACGATAATTTATTTTGCCTATACCGATAGAAACCAGCATTTTCCTGTCATCCAATTATACAGTGCTTATCAACATCTTCACTTTCCTGGGTAAGGGTTTACTATAAGGAGGCATCATAACTTGTTGTGAGGTGCAGTGCTTAAATTCAAAAATTTAAATTTAAATTCTTTGATTTCTGATTATGAATGTTATTGAGCTGTAAGAAACATTGCATGTAAAACAATTTGAATTGTTACAATTAAATGGACCTCTGTGTCTTTTTCACTTTGTTGTATATTGTGTGTAATGATATTTTTTAAACGCAATTCAAAGGTAACCTGACAATAACAAGGGCAGTGGTATCAGAATCAACTACACCAGAGGAGAGGTCCCATGCCATGATCAATTTAGTCATTTCAATGACAGGTGGTTTCGCTTTGGGGTCAGGTATGTTCCCAATACCATAGAAATATCTTTGGTGGAAGGAAATCCTAGTGTTTTATTCTAAAAATATCTAGAAATCCTTTTGTTGGAAGTCGGTTTTATGCAAAGAGTGATTTGCCACTTGATTTTACCAGTTTTGTTCTTTCTTGTGGGATATTTTCTGTCGCTTGGTTATATTATGGTGGCATTGTTTTAAATGAATCTAAAGAAATAACATATCAGACTTTTATTTTGCTTTTTATAGGAATGTTTGTAATTTTACGTAACGAGGTATAGTATTTTCGACCTGTTTCAAAATCAGTGGCCCCTAAGGTCCTTTTTTCGAAAAAATCGAGACCCGTCCACACGGTAATGGAAATTTTTAACAAGATAATTTTCATCGATTTTCACCTTCTGTCTACTAAAAACGCAACTTTTGTAAACGCTGTCAAGAGTGGAATTTTTTAAAACACCGTTTTCTTGTTCATGTGTAGACGGCGATCACTCTATAATTTTTTCGAACAACATTTTAAGTCTTTTTTAAGGTTTCTGTCAATCTCGTAATCTCACATCTATGAATTTTTTTTCTTGTTTGTGATGACTTGGTGTTCCCTGAGGCTTTGGCGTGCATTAAAAAATTTTTTATTGACATATTCTACTTCAATTTTAAAGCGCGTTGCTAAACCACAATAACCTTGCTTTGAAAAATGGGTAATGGAAAAGGCTTAGGCATGAAAATGGCTTCTTTGATATAGCACACTGTGTAACTAATGTATAATTCTAATGCTACGTTTCGTGAAATATCACAAAAACTTGTCCCCGTGAATAGACTTAAACTGTGATGAGAGTTTCAGACCCTTTTCACACTGTGCCGGATGAATTTATCAGCATAATCTTTTGTTCGGATTGATTTACACTGTCAGATTATGTAGATTGTCAAATTTTTGGTGAATGCTTGCGCTTAAGTCCACTCTGGATTGCTCTGGATTGTAAAGTCTGACTAAATTGGCAGGCGTTGTGTTCTGCTTGTCGAAAACACTTCTTATAACTTTCTTCACTTTTCTGTTCTTACAGGTAGAAAAAGCAAAAAGTTAATATTCAGCAAAGCTCAATTTCTTCTAGATAAGGATTTGTGATATCCCAGGAATAATTTTTCAGAGAATTTTACAAGTTACTTCTGCTTGTAGATGCTACTGTAAAAAGTTTGGCTCTACTCTTTCCTAATTTGCTCCGGGTCGAATTTTAAATTCATTTTCCTGCTTTTGCCTCAAAATGCCGTTTTTAGGAAATGGGCAATAAATTCCATGCCCTTTTTCTTTGTAACTTTGCCAAATTTCAAATTTTCAGAACTTTGCCACAACAATTTACAACATTGTGAAAGTTGAATATGAATTTCTACCTTTGCAGGTATTCAAGCACTGATCTCACTACTTGGTGAAAGAGAATTATATATTAGTGCCCTAAGACTACATTTCAACTTGTATACAATTCCTGCATACCTCCTTGTATGTCTTGGCATCATCAATGGATTACTTATTTTCCATTTCGTCAGTAAGTACTGCTTGCTAAAGCATATCCTACATTTCCAAAGTTGCTTTTTTGCAGATAACAAAACACCGTGTAAACTGCCGCTTTTATTTTGAATAGTTTTTGCTTATATTTTCTAAGAGACTTCAGAGGACCAAAAGATAAGAAACCATAGATCACCCTAAACTTTTAAAAGCTGCTCAAAAATCCTTTCCTAAAAGTAAGGTGGAATTGATTCTTTTCGACGATCAAGCACCTTTTCTCTGTTAATAGACATAGATAAATAGAAAGAAGAGCTTCTTTTGACTTAACAGGTATTCTGTTTCATGTTATTTTGTGTCACGTTTTGTGTTTCTGAAGAGTAGCTCTCTAGCATACTGTGTTTTAGAAACCTTCAAGAAATTGTTAACACTGAAATCAGCAAAAATATTGAGAAACTGATTTCTAATCCTCAGCTTAGTGTGTCTAGACATACAGCTGACAAAGACTAATGTAAATTTATTGAAACGTGTAGATTTTCTCAAGAAAATGCACGTGTTCACGTTGAACCTCAGTAAATGGATCAAAATCCACTCAGCAATTGCTCGACGGTTACTTTGGGGAGGTGGCCAAAGGATCCAATAGTTTTAGATGTAATTTGTTATTGCAATTGCTGTCTCACTATTTGATGATGTTTCATCCTTTATTTCTAGGCACTAGAAATCTTCTTAAAGTATATATTGTTTCTTGTAGGATAACAATTTCTGTAAATTGTGTTGCCTGCTAAATAGTTTTGAAAGAGAATACCATAGACTAGTTGTGGCAGTCTTTTCATCACAAATGATCTAAAAATGATCATTTCATCTCAGATGATAGATTGAAAGTTATTTGAATATCTCAACAATTTGTCTTCAGATTGATTTTACAATTAAATATATTTATTTTACACATTTTCACGTACAGGACTATTATTTATAAACTCCCATGCATTTTTATGAAACGTCCCTTTCCTCAGAAAATTTTTTCCATCTTGTTGAGCTTATCAATAAAAATGTTTCCCAGTTAATTTTTTCTAACCTTCTTCTTTCAGAAACGGCTCCTAAAAAAGAAGAGTCGAGGCGCCAGACCGATAAAGAAGAAAAGCCTTTTAAAGGAAAACTGCTCACTTGTTTAACGTTAATCGGGATGTTTGCAATTACCAATTTCTGCTTATCACTCATGGAGACGTGAGTTAGATATAAATCATTTCAGAAAAGCTTTTTTATATATTATGTGCTTCATCAAGAATTTCAAGAAGTGGAGGCAGTGTATTTCTTGCGACGGTAGTAGGAGAGACCAAGAACTACACTTTCGCTTGGCACTAAGTTTCGCTCGTGTTGTATTGAATTTTGTGCCTGTAAATAAAAGATGCTTATTTGTGTACAAACTACTACCACCTAATAAATTACTAAACTTTGATTTTTTTTAGTTTAACAACCCCATTTGTGCAACACCAGTTTTCACTGACAAGAGCCAAAGCTGTCTGGTACGGTGGAATAGTCTTCACATGTCAAGGTCTTATCGGAATTTGTCAGCAAGGAGTTCTTAGATTTCTTGTTTTGAGGTAAGCACTTTAATGTAGAGGCGTGGGTGAATGGAGCTGTAGCTTAAGACAATAACGTTCAGAAAATGTTCAGAAAATGTTCAGAAAACTTCTCAACGTTTCTCTAGACGAAAGTTTGCCCTCGTTGCCTGTCTCAATTTTTTTGTATCATTCGATTGAAAGCTTCTTAGAATTCGAATATGGCTGAAACCATAGGGTTTGGTCTTTACATTTTGATAGAAAAAAAGAAAATGTCAATAGTGAATTCCTCTCGCCCTATATACTCTTTTCAAATTATGCAGTGGCCTTCCTCAAAACTACTGTATGGTTGGGTAACCGTTCTCTGGCTTACAACCATGGAACCGTAATGTTTTGCGGACTCTGCACGAGTAATGTGTGGATTTTCACGCGTTAATGAAATTTCCATTCAATTTCAAACATGGACATGAATTTAGCTATGTTTTCTCAATATGACTGTCCAGCATGCAATTTTCGTTGTGATTCACAACGATATCATCCAAGCTGGAATTGATTGCATCCTTTCTTTTGCAGATTTTCTGACCGTCTTGTTGTAGCAGTTGTTTATGGCTGTCTGATGCTATCCTTTCTACTTTATATACCACTTGGAAACACACCACTGATGGTTGCAGGTATGTCCGTCTGTTAATACCTTTGCACTTCTCTTTGGGGTTACCGTATCCTTTGATGTTAAAAAGTTTATGTTTTCTTATATTAATCTTAATGTCTATTTTGTCTAGGGAAGTTGAACCTTTAACGTTAGCTAGTTTTCAAGTTGGTCCTCCGAGAAGAATAATTTCATGCTATAAATGTAAATTAAAAAGCTATTAATAAACTCCGAAAATGCAACTTCAGAAGCAAAATATTCCAACCTTAAATAGTTTTGTGTACAATAAAGCTAAACATAGAAGTTTGCTGCTTTGACCAGACTTTGAGGTAATTGAGCAGATTTGCACCTTAATAAGACAACGATTTCTGGCCAGCGAATAAGACAAGCTGTAGCTGAAGGGCTATTAGGATATATAAGGGATAAGCACTGCGAATTTCGGAAGAAGAGTGTATCCTCTTGAAGAATAAATTGAAATCAACTTATTATCATCAAGGCTGTCGGAAACTCTGATGGTCTGTTCTTTAGATTTCTAAGAGCAATTTGGTATTTTCTGGTCTGGTCATTGATATAGACAAGTAAATTAACTATATACAAACAATATTTAACACAGGAAGCAACTTCAAAGAACTAGATTTGCTGAATACGAATGATTAAAACTTCATTTTTAAATGGAATCAAAGAATTGTAAATTTTTTATGTAAGAACCACTCTGCGTTCATTTTAGATTTGTCTTGATAATAGTTTTTTTTCTTGTAAATGTGTTTAACTTCTTAGAATGTGAACTCAGATTTAGTTTGACTCAGATTATCTTACATTTTCTATTTCAATCTTTCGCTGGATTTCGTTAATTTAGTTTGTATATTCCTTGCAATATTTACCTCCGCAAGGAATTATGTAAATCATAACAATGAAATTGTTACTTTTGGTGCAAATGTGACATTAAATGTCAGGTTGGTAGCAGCAAATTGCAAAACTCACGTAGCATTAATGAACTTATTGTTGCGAACATTATTGTAGGCTATAACATCTTTGGCTTTTCAATTGGCAAGTATTAAACATTGTTTCATTTTATCCTAGAGGAATTCGCTGGCAACATCACTCGGAATGGCACTTCGGGACAGCAGCAGTTTGTGGGCTGCCCAGCAAGTTTTGATTGGTGTAGAGACACTCCCCAGATTTGGATGCCACAGTATGTGTTTGGAGCCGTTTTTTTTGCCATTGGCTACTCTTCTTGTCTAGGTCTTTTGGTATCAATTTACACAAAAATTGTTGCTGCAAAAAGACAGGTAAGTGCTCTTGATTGGCCTACTGCTTTCAGAGAGTAGCAAGTATTGTTTTTAATGTAGTAAGTACTGAGGTTTATATAAGAAGCAGTGGATTTCCTAACAAATGAGCCATTTTCAAGCTTCCGGTTACCAAAATTCGAGATCGTTCAACGTCCGGTTGCTGTGCTTATTCTCAATTCATTTAGAGCCCATATTTGCCGTTCTTTTACATAAGGGCACTTTGCTCAGTACCTTGGCTTTGTAGATTTCACTTCGATATAACCGTTATTAGGGATAAAACCTTGAAGTTCAAAAGCTAAACTCCGCTACGCAAACTTTTAGGTCCTTCTGTTAAGAAAGGCACGACCTTTTCTTTGCTTAATCATAGGTATGTTTCGCATTAAAATTGCGTTGATAAGTTAATGTCTTATATGTATTTTTCGAATGGTATATAATTTATGTTCCTTTCCTTGTCATTAATTTCCTATGAGGTATCCAATGTCATTAATCCCTTGTGAGGTAGGTTGTGTGGTCATATATTCGAAACGGTTTCGAATGTGCATTTCGCATGCCTGATCGTTGCATCAAAGGCTTTTCATTATGGCAATTTATTTTAACAGATCATCCCTGCTTTCTGATTTGCAATATATTCGCCTTTTTTCAAGGGAAAAGTTGTCAGCTTGATATCATCATCTGGTAATTTGGGACGTCTAACGGCACCCATCCTAGGATCAACTTCTTACGTAACCATTGGACCAGGCTACACGTATACGTGGGTATTCTGTGCATTGCTAGCCTTCTTTTTAGCATATTTAATTCAGTTCAAGAAAATGATTCCGAGTCCCGTGAAACTGGACCAAGACGAGTTTTCCATCAACGAGAGTGAATCGGCAGATGATCTTGTACTTTTTGTTACCCCAGTCTAGCCCTTTTTTAATTACAATCCGTTCTCAACCTTGAAGAAACTTGAGAAGGTGCAATAATAGAGAAGATACCGTATTTAAGACCCCATCCACCGCTGTAACATCTTATATTGGTTTCGATATTGCACCTTCGTTTAGTTAACTTATAATAGCGACTACCGCTTGATAGGCCCTCCCTCTAATAAGCGTCGTTTCATTTACAAATAGTTTCTCAAGGACCACCGTTAATTAGGATTTCGCGACAACAACCCCCCCCCCCCCGAACCCCTTTTATCAGCGAGGCACTTCCCAACTTAAAACTTCAATCGTTTTCTTTTAAAGAATGCCTTGCTTCAAGTAGAAAGGATTTTTCTTTTGCTCACTTTTCAAATAACATCGTCATTAATTTTTCGCCTCACCTTCGCACGCAAATTTCTTATTAGCGCAGCAAAGCCAATTAAAAGTTATACGGTATATTTTATAAATTGTTTGGGAATAATTCTTCTTGAAATTTTGACTAGATTTTGTAACTTTTTTTAAAAAAGATGTTGAATGTTTTTCAGTTAGCGATCTTTTATACAAGTTGCAACTGGCTTGACAAAGGTTAAAAACCTTGGAAAATTTTTTTGTTTCGTGATATATGCATTGCTACAATCCTGGCCAAAAGTTATTGGACTGGCTGGCAAATTGTAGTATTGTAGTAATTGTAGTAATATTTTTGCGGAAAAGTTGCATTTTTAATGGTTTTTTCCTCCAGTCCACTAACACTAACCTTTTGGCCAGGATTGTAGATATTTATTTATCGCCTTGAATTAAACCCCTAGGAATACATCCTTGTATGTAATTTCGCAAATTTTTTGCAGATAGAGTATCAGATTTTCATCTCTTTCAAATTTCAATGCCATGAAATGAAAAACGAATTTTTTTTCAAACGAAAGAAGAAAGGAGTGGTCTTCAAAAACTTGATTGATGATTTTGTCCCTCAAATCTGTCAGTCAACCATTGGCCAATCAATAACCGTGTAAGCTGTATCGCACTTACTGGCAGGCCAATTTTTGATTGATAATGGCTTAAGCCACTTAAGTACCTGTCGATTGCCTTTAGGGTTTGGGCCCAAATGGAATTTGAGATCCAAAAACTAAAAGTCTTTGTGAATGATGGATTTATCATGGCTTAAAGTGATTAAGACGCCGTGGTTGACAATGGTTACATTGCAAGAAATCGCATCAATCAAATTGTGTATAATTTTGTAACTTCATCAACAAGGTTTATAAGGGTGTTTTTAACAATACTGTACCATTATATTGGTTTATTGAGCTCTTGTAGGCTGCTTTCAACTTGAATACATTCAAACTAAAAAGGTACTTCTGATGGGAGAGATAAATCTACTGTTGTTTATCAAAGTCTAGTAGGAGAAAACTAGGCCAACACGGCTGCATTTAAGCATAAGTTTTTCAATCAAAAACTTCAGTATATACCTAGATTATTATAGTTTATACTCAATCCACCAGTTGTTATTGTCCTTGCATACCTAGTTTTGAGTGGTATTTTTGCAGGAGACATTGCCACACCCTTTACCGTTTCTAACAGGACTATTAACTCCAGTAAGTGCCAAATTGCTGCCAACCTCAAGGTTTATCGCAACAGGGACGGCGCCAGATGGCTTCAGCAATCCCACACACCCACAACCCCAATACTTACTTAATAGATCTGAAACATATTGTCATCGTTGTTAAGCGTACAACAAATTTTGTAGCCAACCCAAGCTAAACAACCCCTCTCCCCTATAATATGCTTCAACTGAGCGCTCCCTTCATTTTTTGTATTTTAAGATGTTTTCCGAGTTGTCTCATTTAATTACTGGAACGTTATGCTCCTTCGTATTTGTATCCACGATATTTTTTCTATGTTAGGCCTTCTATAGCTAGAAATAGATATGATATTTTATCAGAGCAGAAATTTATTAAAAAAATTTAGAAATTTTATCACGACAGACAGTTATTTTTTGTATTGTGAGCAGTTTTCTCTCACTGCAACTATTTTTCAGCTGCAAGCAAAATTTAAATGGATTGCAAGTGGCATGTCGACACGTAGGGCCTTCATACCCCTATCTCGGCGAATTTCCTCAAAAGCGAACCCATCTTTGGACAATGAGGACGTAATATAGATTTGTTTATTGACATCCAGACTGCATTCTATGTTCTGTTTTCCATTTCTCCAAGCTTCTCCTATTTAGTTTGTTGTAAAGTTAATTTGAGGATATAAAGGAGAAGCGAGTTTGTTTTTTTGCTTTTTTTATTAAGTTTGACTTAAGTTTTACGTTTAACGTGTGACATTTCTAGCAACTCGACTTGAACCTTCTATTTTCGTCAAACGCGTACCTAACGCAAACGAGTAAGACGTGCAAGATGTTTTCCTCGCAAGCATTAGAACTACAGTCTGGTGGTAGTAGATTGGTTTAAAGTTTACTGGTTAGCCCAGTTAAGCGCCTAGAAAAATTCTGCTATTACGCCATGAAATGAAACTCATCTTGGTAGCTGCAAAAGGTAAGACGTCTTTCGGATCGGACTCTTTGTTTCTTTGTTTTTAAGGACGAACTGCAATCGTGACAATACTACTGGCGCCCGACTCACTGCTTGATATTCTAATAACCTAGCAATGCAGTGGCTTTGCTGTTTCAGTCGTTCGGCTTTCTTGACAGGGTTTCTCGCTTTCTTGCGCATTCGTTCACAACCGTACGTTTGATGGACTTGAATCGATTTTTCATGGAGAAGATAAGAGGTGCTGTGGTTGTTACGCGTCTGTTTCTGCTGTTCAGTAGGATGTCTCTCAAATCCTGAAACAAAGATTTAAGAATCAGAATGTCGTAAACTCACGTATAATTTTATGCAAGTTATTTCTTTGCTCTAAACAATTGCATCGATTTGTAACTTTGAAAAAAAGCACTTTCCAAGAAAATGTACTCTTGGCAAGAAAATTTAAATTTGTTTGCTTAAGATGGTTGTGAGTTTTTCATCTTACAAGTGAAAATGCTTGCTGGTCAATGTCGGTAGCAGGTCTGCATGAGTTGCAAACCACTTTGTCCGGACCTTTCAAGACGTTCTGTATAAAGGATGGTATTCAGTGAATGATTGGATTTGTATCCATTATAAATTTTGGTCAGTCACCAGCTTGTTTGAAGCTGGACAAACAACATCCAACTTCTAAGCTCATCTGACACATGCTCAATATGCGAGAGGTAGAAAGACAAGCTTTTTTATCTTAAATGAAATAACCATAATTATTATCTGCTTCTTCAGTAAAATTAAAAGAATGTGATTGAATTTGCTACCTGATGTCTGTATGAATTGTTGGATGCATCGGAAATAAAAAAGGTCAGAGATTGAAAAATAAACGAAAATATTTACTCACAAGGTCCAATTGATCTAGCTGCGATAACCCACGTTGATGCTCCCCTAATGTTCGTTTGTATGACTTGGTAAAGGTGTTTGATATAGATCTGATAAACTCTTTCATAGTCATTCCTTTATCTTTTTCTATAACTGTTTGAATGTCTTTTGAGGCAACCTGAAGGGCGAAACGGTCGTGTTTCTTCAGCTGCTGTTTTACCGAGTCCATCCATTGTATGAACCCTACAGTATGGGCAAAAGTTTTTACAACACGCCATCAAAGCAAGATTTTCGGGATTTGTTACAATAAAAGAAATACAAAATCTTTGAAATTTATTTTTGTAAACTTCTTATCTGCTATGAAGCTTGGTTCCCATTAGGCGACTAAGTGTGTTGAAGATTGGTTGCAGTCCTATAAAGACATTTCAATGGCAACGGATTTTAGTACATTTTCATAATTTGTATACACTCGTTCAACTAACCTACAAATAGGAGAAATACGTGTCTTTACAAATAGAAGAATATTCCTCCGCCTGTAAGGTCTGCTGTATATTACAGGCTGTATATCAGGACTCAAGCAATCTGCCAATTATATTACCACTAATATTATCAATCAATTGCCGTGTGAATGGTATCGCGCTCACTGATTGGCCAACTGTTGTTTGACAGTTTGACATTTGCCGATTGCCTTTAAACTGCTTACTGAGATTTACTTAATCATCCTTACATAATGTAGAAGGGTATCATCTATTCATCTGTTATTCAACCTGCTTATTTCCTGGAAGTAAAAGGTTGTAATGCTTTTGCAAGATTGTCTTCATCTTAAAATCGTACCATTTTTTGCCTTTATCGCATATCTCAGTGCATCGTTCATCTCTCCAACGGTGCAGTTCTCAAGATAGCCTGCAAAGCACATTTAGATATATTTTGTTAAGTTTCTTATATAACATTGTTTACATCAGAACACATGATGAAGATAAAATTCAAAACTCTTCACTCCAAATGATACATTTTCCTTTTTATCCAATGGGCTTCAGGACATTTGCTGTCGTGTTTTCAAATAAGACTTTAAGAAGTAGAATTTTAAATTTTCTTTTATCGAAAGTTATATTCGTTAATTTCTCTGTTTGGCTCAGGCATTGGTTTTGGTAGTGTTATCCTTGTATTTCTATTAGCTTTTCATACTTTTCTTTGACGTAGTTTCACTAACAATTCAAATTATTATCAATTGCTTGAAAATGTAAACAAGCATATTGTACATCTTCACATTGGATATAAACAAATAGAATGTTAAAAACAAAACTTCGTGCATCCTACTTGTCCAAATAATGATGCATGCTTTGTTTATGAAAATTGCTTACGATTCACTTTGTCAAGCAAAGATCAACTCACAATCAGATTTTATTTGATCCTCGATATCTCTTAAAGTGGCCAGGTGCTTGTTTTTGCTTTTCAAGTAGGCTATCTTTTCTTCAAAGAAGTTCTCTGCTATGCCAGAAGCAACTCGAAGAATATCTGCATAATCTTGCATCGCATCATGAACGGACGCACAAACAGACTTCTTGGTACCTTTCTCTAAAATTATGATGTTACCATCCGTTAAGAATGTCAAAAAAGTACGTTCCTTCTAAATCTGAAAACCTGGAGTTTCTTTGATGTTGAGAATATTGATGCAAAATAGGGCATAATCTGGCAAATCGCTTTAAATTTTATGGTTAAATTTGAAATGGGACATACGTAATTAGTGCCAGCAATGCCTATTTTGTTGCAATGTCAAATCAAATAAACGTGCAAAACATTCTGGAGGCATACCTGTATCGTAGCGCGCTTTCCCATTACCAAGCTTTGATATTCTTGTCTTATTCCTAAAACTGAAAGCAGCCTCCAAAGGATCGTTACTCTGCATCAATGCCCATGGTGAACTTCTACTGAACAGCCGTACGACTCTGTCATTGCCAAGCGTATATCGTGGCAGCTCTTTGTAAGCGAGCGTTCTCAATTTATCCTCTTCTTCAGTTACAACATTTTTTCTACTGACTGTTTCCATGTCACTTTTGCGAATGCTGTATTCCAGTTCATTTAAAACATTTTCTTTTTCAATATCAATGTCCTTCAGCATTTTCTTCAATTTCATTTTTTCATCTTTGAATGAGGTCGCATTTGGGAACATTTTTTCTACCATTGCAACAGCCAACTTTTTCCATAGACTTGCATCTATGCTTGCGGTTACGTCTACTGCTACAGCTTTCCCGATTAATTTTCCTTTGATGAAGAACCTCACTTGAGACTCAACTGCGTCTCTCAGCAACCCTTTGATGCAAACCTTATCTACACTAACCAACTCAACAAACTTGTTTCCGATCATTGATTTTACAACACTCATTCCAACACTTAGCTTGTCATCGACCTTTTCAAGTTTTGTAACCATCCCGCCAACAACATAAATTGCTTTCTGTAGGAATCCCCGTGAAAGTTTCTTTTGCTCTGTCGATCTTTCATAAACGTTCAACAGTTCCTTTGAATAGAATCAAGTAAAAAGATCAAACATTCAAACTGGAAAGAAACTCCCTTGATATGTGACAAATTCAACCTTGATCAAGAAATAAATTAAAGATCTCACTGATTGATCGGTTTAAGACATCACTGAGCCAACCTAGGGAAGCTAACGAGTCGTGGACACAGGAAAAACTAGAGAAAACTCTTTCTATTAAGTTTTTGTTGTCGCGCTCATAACTCTTTCTTCTGGTTTTTGCAGATAAGTGTTTGACCGCTGCAATTTGATTGATCAATCTATACAACAAATTCCATATTTTTAACTGGTAGTTTTAACCTTCTGCAGTTTGCTTCTTCTTGTAGCCCTCAGGTATTCTAGTCACCAGCAAGCTTGCTTTCACGTTTATTTCTTCTAGATCACATGCCAGCAATTTTTACCAAAATTGATCTTGAAAATGAATTTTTCCTAAACTATTCTAGTGTATTTCCATGTATCTATACTTATATAATGCCCATTATCAACTGGTCTTGTTCTTTGTACATTCTCTTGTTCAAATCCGCACATAGAAATTTTGTTGTGGTAGTCTACCAATGACATATATTTTAATGAACAATTGAAGAAAACATTTTCAAAAAGAAAATATTCGATAAGAATTGCTGATATATATAATACCTGTAGCTTCTTCTGATCATTAAATGCCTTGACATTCTTAATAACTTTGCGTCCGAGGCATCGAACCACACAGACAATATCTGAAACTTCATGAGCACAATGCTTCCACTTTGGCGACCCAATTGCGTAGCCATCAAAGGTTAATGCGTCGTCCGACCAGCCAGGGACTCCCATGCACACTACAGGGAGATACAGGGAGAATTTGGGGAGGGAGAAACAAAATATTTAAACAATTTGGGATTGCAAAATGCGTTAATACAGTTTATACGAACATGTCTTTAATCTTAGACAACTTTCCATTAACACTTCTCTTGTAAAAGCCAGTTGATCTCTTTTATTCAATGCAACTTTTTCTCAATAAAAGAATGAGACAGGTAACCAAAAATAAATCTTGTATTTTGCTAATTTCACAGATGTTCTGTGAGATGCAGACTTTCCACAACTTCGCAAGAGTTTTGACATCTTTAAGCTTTTTGGCAAGAAATCCAAAACGCAATGCTTATTCGCTGTTTCTTTGTTTATTCATGTTGAATGTTTAGCTAGACCATCAGGACTACAACAATGCTTTTTCATAATGCTCTTTCCTATGTTCAAAACTGCATTAGAAAACAACTTTAATGTGGTCCTCATACCTTTTTTGCATTCATTTAAGCATGGCTGAGCTTTTCCCTGCAGCTGAATCAACGATGAGACCTCTTTTTCTATTTTCGACTTGTAAGACGAAGCTTGTTCGTTATGGATGTCCATTCTTTTGTGGCTTTGCTCCAAAATCACCCCCAGTTCATTTATTCTACTTCTTGTTGAATGTAGGAATTCTCTTGTATCATCTCGAATGTCTTTTAATAGTGTCATAACTTCATAGGTAACATTTGGTATTGCCTTTGGTATACAGCCTGTAACCTAAAAAATCAAATTCAATATCTTGAGCTGATATTATCTTCAGCGTTTATTTACTATCTTAAGCTTAATTAAGCGTGAGAAATTAGTTAGTTCAAAAGCTGTATTACGTGAAATTTATAAATTCAACAAAGGACGTTAACCAGACGAATTGTGTCAAGTCTAGTTAAAATCAATTTAGTGGCTCCCCCAGTAGTTCGCTTTATCAGATATCATGTTCTCATGAATACAAAGCGATGATATAAAGTATTTGGCCTATTTGAAGCAAAAATTGGGACAGAAGTGGTTAGTAAAATTTATCAAACTTGGTCATTGCAACGATTCAATTATAATCACATGCTTGAGAGATGCTTTACTTTCATGAAATTTGAAAACATAACCATTTTATCAATTTTAGGCGTAATCAATGTAAGAACAATTGCAATTTTAAATTAAAATTTGCATGTAGCCAAAGTTAAAGATTGAAACCAAAATATGCAGCCATATTCAATCAAAAGCAAGAAAACCAAATAAAACCAATAAATCTATAATAGCTCACAGACCCTTCTGAATATCGAATAAATAACAAAATCAAATTCTATTGCAAGCATCTGAAGGTAAAAGAAGTTAAGTTATGTTCTCCACTTCCATCAAGTACAGTTTAGCTGTACTACTGTGTACCATTGACTGAATCTAACGTACAAAAGAATATTCATTGATTCTTTCACAGTGTAAGTATTCAAGCTTTTAACCCTTTCATTTTCAAATGTGACAAGCTTTTTAAGTAAGCTAGACTTTCTAATAATCTAAAATGAAAGTACTGCATTGCATTCTGAAACAATAGTCATTTACAGCAAATCAGCAGATTCTGCAACGTCCTCACCGTTAAGTTCGCCTGAGATGGATTTCCATATCCGGCAGTTAACATCAGGTCGCTTTCAAAAACTCCGTACACTGCTCCGGATAACTCAAACGAGAACCCACCGTCATCAATTGAGACATTGATTGCTTTCGATAGGCCAAGGCAAGTAAGTTTCCCAAACAACCTGACATCAACGCTCGATTCATGAAATTCTGCGATTAACGAGGGACCATCAAACTTCTTAAGGTCTGGGCAATCACAAATAGAGGTCATTTTAACAAAACCATTGTCCAAGGAAAGGTATGGCATTGATGCTTCGAGTCGTAGCATCCCCTCTGAAATTGTAATGAGAAACTGCCCAAGGTGTCCCCATATTGACAGCATTCCTTTTATGGTAAGTTTGTTCTCCAATTTTAGGTTTAGATCTTCTATTCTGATGGCTAATGGAAAAATCAAAATAATTTTTCATTTGTTACTTCTTTAGATTCTTCTAAGAAGAATGAGTTACAAAAAAGTTAAACCAAAACATCTGTAGCTTTCTTGATATCAATTCAAACTTGTGAATCGTAATATAGGTAAGTTTATTTGTGTAGATTAAGAAGTGAGTGAATAATCAAGCGTTTTTACAACAACAAAGTTTCAAAATGGCACCACAAGCGAAAACATTACGCATGACTTAAAGGTATAATTCGTCAAACCTTCTTGGCAGAATAACATGTTACGTGATGTCCAAAAGGTGAGCGGAAATTTATGTTTAAGAGCAGATCGCTAAAGTTTCATCATATTTTAACTGTCCCTTTTTTGTATTTAGAGAATACTTTTCGTGGCTTCATAGGTTTTCCAATTATGTGTTCTGAACTGAACTGACTACAGTAAAAATGTCCTTTACATATTGAAAATTTTCGGCTAGGTTCTAGAAAGGCAGTGTTTCAAGTACATGTGTTCTGTATCGCAAATTTTATATTCCTTTGAACTTTGAACTAATCAAACATATTGTATTCCTACCAATCAAAAACGTATAATTTGATTGCGTCATACGTCCCCTCGCGCCTTTTGCGTGCATGGATAAGTTGCCATTCACCCTTTTAATATTATTCGATGTTTAACACTCTGAGGAGAATGAGACGTAAAATATACTTTTGTATGATTCTGATCTCAAAATGTATTGATTCTACCTAAGAAACAAAATCAGACGCGTCCCTAAAGAGCCATTCTGCCTTTGTTGGTTTTATGGCAAGCGAGTATCTCTCATTATGTGATCTTCTTAACTGATTTCTGCCCACGAAAGTCTTCATTACTGTAACTTTCAAAACTACGGGACTTTCAAAATTATCAAAGCCTGCCAGACGCTTTCTAGTTGCACACAAACCATGCTTGAGTCCTATCTAATTCAATCCACAATGAATTGTTCCTTTGAAATACTGAAAGATTTATAAGTATCCCACTGCTGCGCCTGCCTATATCATATCAGATACACCTGCTCAAGGCCAAAAAGGCTCGGATTAAGATCATTGACAAACGCAGTAAGCCATAAAAGCAGAGAAAAGGAGGTACGTACAAAGAGGATTATGAGAGTAGCCCACGATAACAGGGCCAATAAACTTTGCGTATTGCATAACCATGGGAAGTTGATACTGGATTTCGAAAGCATCCAGAAGGCCAGATAATTCCAAGGACTGCACTTTGGAATAGAAGTAGCTTTGCTGGGCATTTGCTGTATTTATCGTGACGATCGCGTTGCCTGTGATTCTCCTCTGAAGGTGAACAGTGCCTATGTAAACTTGCCCTTCCATATCTAAAATGATTTGGAATTAAGTAAATACATATCAGATACATTGAAGAATTTTGATAAAAAGTCTTGCCCAAAATGTCGAATTGAAAAATTAATAGTCATCATAAAAAAGTGTTAGAAAGTAAAAGTAAAAAGAACTCAAAAAATATCTACAGGCTGCAACATTTACTTCTTCCATCGTGAAATAAAAACGGTTTTAATATAACTAATAGGTTTTGACGATTCATAAGCTTCATTTAATTAGACTCCGGAAGAAGTTAACTGACAACAGAAATGATGTAGTTGAGAGCCTGGGAACAAATGTTTTCATGTAGAAGAGACTCTCAAAAGATGTTTAGTACTAATGCTACCAAAATAGAAAACATACCATTTAGAAGTTACATAGAATTAGAAGTTACAAGAATATCATCTGGGAAATTAAAAATTAAGTTTCTTTACCAACCAAAATATTCGAGGTTCTTGAATGATGACAGCGATGATTTGTACGACATATCGGCAAAGAGACATCCCTTTATGGCAAAGGGATGCTTCCAAGCAGTGCCAAGCTGCATGTCGATTGACAAGCCACCAGAGACATCAGATGAAATTATGCCTGGAAAGCGATTTCATCAGTAAAATAATCACAGTAAAAACCTGCGTATAAGAAACATGTTTTTTTATAAGACTGTACAGGTTCTGCTAGAAGTGATAATTTAAGACATTATTATAATAAGTTTTCCTATTGCATAAAGAAAAGAGCAGGACAAAAATGCAATTTTCAAAACAGTTTTTTGAATCTGACAAGTTAAAAGATTGTTTGTTTCTGGATAACTGATTCTCAAATCAATTTTATTCCATATGCCCTTATTCTTAATAAGTACTTTTAAAAAAATTCAGGCTCAATAATTTCTTATATTTCAGCACAAAACTTTGAAAAATCTACCTGCAGTTTTTAGGATTTTTGTACGTGGTCTTATTATGTATTCAAATTTTTTTTTTATATTTCTAGAATTATGCTCAGTGCTGATCCAATGAATTATTAAGGGTATCCATTATATTTTCCGGGGAAGCGGGAAGCGTCATTTTTTTGCAGTCGGGAATCGGGACTTGCAATTTTTTGTGGGCAGGATTCGTTAGGAATCGGGAATGGGGTCGAAAACGTAGCGGGAATTAGAAAATTAGGGTGCCTATTGGGTACCCTCATTATTGATTCAATATAACCCACCTTTAAATGACAGCCCATAAACCGCTAGCTTCATAGTTGCTTCCAATAAATAACTCATCTTCTGGCCACCGAATATTCTGAAGCTAACGTCAATTAACTCAATGTGAGTTGACAGTTGCATTGAAACTGTTCTCCATTCCACCTCAAGTTCAGTTTGAGCAAGTCTTCCATATAAAAAGATCTCCGAAGAAGAAGCAGAGGTTTGTGATTTTAGAAGTTCGCAGAGCCCATCCCCTTTGCAATCGCCTGTCAAGTATATCGTCAGGCCAATTGAGACACCTTGGAGAAATATGAATATAATGGCCTGATGACGGTATTTCAATGAACGTCTTTTAGGAGTGCGATTCTTCAAGATGTATTTTTAATCTTGTCTTTAAAATGTGCAATCATTTTCAAGTAAGGTACATATTAACCTTACAGTATAGCCACACAAAGAAAAAAGGCATATGCTAACTTTGTCTAATGACAAAAGATAAAAGCCTTGATAGAAGTAAAACATTTTATTCTTAATAGGTAATTCAACTTTCACAAAAGTAACATCCAAATTAGGATAATAAATACTGTCATGTTGATTCTCTAAAGGTTCAAGCAAAAGCTTTATCGCTGGAAATTATTGGCGTTTCTTAGAACGAGTGATCAATGGCTAGCCTTTAAAACTTTCTCTCGAATTTTGATTGATGAAATTCTGAACAAACCTCTCTTCAAAATAAATTTGTTAAATTCAGAAATTTTAAATGTCAATTGTTTGCTTGCAGCATTCTGATTCTCGTTGCTGATCATTATCGCTGCAAAAGAAAGTCAAGAGTTACCCAGGTTGCCAACGTTTTTCTTAGCCATGAAACAACAATTTGCTAGATTTGAGCGAAGTTACAAATGGCTAGTGTTTCAGAAAACATTTTGCCAATTATTAAGAACCAACTGCAGAGATGCCAGAAGAGACGCCAAGAAAAAAGGCAAAACCAATAGCAAAATAGAGAAAATAACTTAAATTTGCGAGGGAAGCCACCCCCTTGTTCCTGCTTCACTGACTAACTAATTGATATTTTCTACGCTCCTCCAGTTGCATCTTTAAAGTTTCTTTCTAAAAAGCATTTTAATTTTAGAATTAATTTCTTGCAGTTTGTGTGTGATTATCCCTTGAAGTTTTTCCAAATCTCTTTTCATAGGTAATAAGATATGTCACCCTACCACAGTCAACTTTTTGCACCCATGCAGGCCTCTGCTGTCGCTCACCAAACATCTTAGCCAACAGAGCCTCAAAACCAGCACCTTTAAGAAGTATTCCAAACGCCAATCCTGGGGACGTTTTTGTGCTGTTGTATAATATCAACTCACTGTACTGTGCTTCTGCAGAATCCAGAATCTCTGGTTTTCCAGTTAGCCTATTCGAAAAGCAAGTTCACAAAAGGTGATTAAAAAAATCACAGACATGTCTTTTTTTCATTGTAAAGCGTGCAAAAAAAGTTTGGCTTAAAAAAGAGAATTTAGAAACATTTTATATCTTTGAAATGAAATATTTTGCATGCAGTATATTATAAAGATGAGCAAGCTCGAAACAACGGCTTGAAATTTTCAGGCTGTTACAAAAATTAATTTATTTCGGCAAAAAATGCCATGCAGGATTACCTTAAGGATACTAAATTCGAAACAAATCATAATTTACTTCGTCTAGTGAAATTCGAGAATTTCATTGTTAGAACGTTTTTACTTTAAACTTAATCGATGGCTGGGGAAACCAATGCACAATTTTCTTATTTCGGTACTGGCAACCTTCTAATGATTAATGCACTTTGCCATTCCTACACGAGCCAAAAAATTGGAAAAAACTATTAGTTAAATATTGTACTGTAATTTAAATTGGTCAATTAATTACCATTAAGTTAAAGTTTTATAGCTCCCTCTTTAAGTTCATCTTTTATTTTCAAATAGGCATAAGCAGTTATATATGAAGAGAGAATATGTCTCGAAATACCTGAAATTTAAATGACTTTCAACTTTTGATGAAATAAATACATTGGTTATCTTGAAATTTAGGAATTGAAACTGGCTGACGATTTCCAAAAGGCCAGAATACTCTGCAAATGTTTGAAAGAGAGACTGCGAAGACACCATGTTTGTTTTTCCTGCAAGTGAAAACTTTCCATTCGAAAGCTCTTTAAATTCTGTTTGAAATTCAGTGCTTGAAATTTTTCCCTTTCCTTTTCCACTCAGTTTCCAGCTTGTGTGCAAATGCTTTTGCAAAATGATTTCAAAATGGTAGATTTGTGGAAATCCTTTTACAACACTGACTGAGTTCGTTAAGGATATCGAAATCTGTATCTCATACTGTCGCAGTAACAAATCCATCCACTTGATTTCTGCCATTGAATCCTTCTCAAAGAGCTCTGTTAACTGCGCATAAAAGTTTGTCTCTGAAGTGAGAATAAGCAAGGCACTACTCAGACTGAGGTTGATATCTGTTGCAAACGAAATCCTTATCCTATTTTTCTTTACATCAGCAATAAAGAGAAATGTTAGCGGAAGGTATGTTCCTTTCAGTGAAGGATAATTTTGGCTAACAAATTTCTGGAAAGGAAATGCGGCACACAAAGATACTCCTTTTATAACAGCTGCTCTCCCAGCTATGAAAAACCGAAAGATTCGATTGAAATCAGCATTCTTAACTTTCTGGATTCCCCTGCTAGACACATGTAGGGCAATATCACTTTTCTCTTGCCATATAATTGGTATTTCGTAAGGTAAGTCTTCACCGATAACCCCAGAAAGGATGTCTCTGAACGAGGCAGCTGCAAAATGGGCGATAACTCCAACGGTGATTTCATCATTAACTTGCTTTTGAATGATCAAATACAACATGCTTGATGAAAATACTGTAGATGTTTCCACTTTTCCTTTCATTATGAATTCAAAATATCCATCTGAGTAATAATACCCTTTTATTTCTGCTGAAGACAAAGAGAGGGTCTTTAATTCTTCCACTGATGCAGGCATTTCTTGTGACTTGAAAGCAGAAACTGAGAAAAGTCGCTCAAGTTCTTGTATGGTAAATTGTCTAGCCTCCATACTCATTGTAATAGGCGAATTGTCGAAATCTTTTGAACATGAAATTTGTAATTTTCGACTGTCTGAATACACATTTCCGTTAATCTCAAAATAAACAGCAGCATAATATAAGGTAAGTGGTTTGTATAACACCCTGAGAATCAGCGTTGCATCTCCTATTCGCAATCGATTTGGAACCAAGTCAATGTCTTCTCTTGATTGCCCCTGAAATTCAACGTAATCTTTGCAGGTATTTATATAGAACTTTGTGCAGTCAAATTTTTCGGGTTGAACAATATTGTTTATCAAGCTTTGAATATCAACGTTTGGAAAGAAGTGTTGCAAAAGCTGATTCAGTGACAACTTCGATTGGCACTTTTTGGCTGATGCAGTGTAGGCTGTATCGCAAGCGGTTGTCGCATTGTCAAGGGGACAGTCTTCAAACTCCAGTAGATTATCTTGTGTTATTCTCGTAGATGGAATTTCAGTCGGCGATGAGCCAGAACCTAATTGTAAAGCATAAAAATAATTTTCAATCTACTGAAAATACGTCATCTAAGCAAATATATAGAGTTTGTTGCACCAAGGTGTGCCAGGCTTCACTTTTGTTATAACATATTGATGGTACAACTACAAAATGTGGCTATTTGAGTCTCAAAAGCCTCTTTTCCCAAGATATCATTAAGCAAAGCTTTTAATAAAAGATTGAAAAGAAGTCATAGTGATATAACATCTAAAACTAAATGTAAGTTTAGAGCAAATTTAAAATTAAAACTTATTTAGGGTAATCTGCTTCCCTTTTGTTTCAAAGAAAGCTCACTTTTTATGTGCACACTAGATCTGTTGGCCAATTGATTTATGTTCTAAGTGGGTTAGCTCTCGTTCTTATTTGTGACTAATCTCGAAAAGATCCAATCACAGATTTCTGGTACTTTATTTTGGCTTATTCAGCCTTTTTAGTTGGAATTTTTTGGTGTTCAAGTCTACTGCAATGAAAAAAAAGAATCGGAGATATAAGCTTTTGATTTAAAGACTGCTGCGATGCTCCTGCGACAGACCATTTGCCATGCCACTTCGCTGAATTATCTATCATGCATTTGAAATTTATTTCCTGACTAACAAAAGTGTGGAAGCATTCTTCTTGTCAGCAAATTTGCAATTACCCGATTTCCTAAATTACTCTACCCTATAGATTTCATCAATGCCTTAGATTTAAGCTCTCAATTATTCTCAAGCTCAAAAGATTTCATACAATTCCTGCCAAAAATACTTAGGAATTTCAGCAATTTCCATTTTATTTGATATCGTTCATTTCTTTTTTGAAAAAATCACTATTTCCAGCCCCCTTCCCCCTAGAACAATGCTCATAGCATAAACAAATATCATACGAGTACACAAAAGCAGATACTTCGAATCTCCTACGCTGTTCTATAGTAAACCAACACTGTTCCCTGGGAGAAAGGAGAATGACTGACTTTGGCATTGAGAGCTGACATCAGCGTTCCAAGACTTTTGGCAGGCATTGTAGCCTGTGCTCGAAGGCCATATTCCTAACTAACATAGAAATCAATGACATGAGCAAAAAATATTATAATTACCTGGCGGCACTGAATTTTCGGTGTTTCCAAGTGCTTGCAAAGTTATTGTGAAAATCATAATCATGATATACATTTTCCTCGTCACAGTCATCGCCTCGGTGTTGTTTGACAGACTTCATACAGTCACGTAGCTGCTTGATCTGCCAGTTAATGGAGGTTTTGAACGCACTGTTAACACAAATCCAGGTTAGAATACTCTCTTTTTAGACATCGCTGGCTTTCAAAAGGATCAAGTCCATTAAATTTACATACAAATGTTGCAGGAACTCAAAAGTCTTGAAACTGAATTAATGCCTACTTTTTATCAAGCTAAAATGTCTGATTTCAAACGAAACTTTAGTTAAAAAGTGAAATAAGCATAGTTTACTTGCGTTTTTCTATCAACTTAACTGAATACGACAACTTTTTTAATAAAAGCATGAGGCAATCAATCACTCTATTTTAACTAGATTTATTCTGTTTAGGTCAACATTTTGATGTCAAATGTGAAACTTTAACTTGAGTAATATTATTTATCTACATAGTTATGATAATGCAGTCTGAAATCAATATGTTGCTGAAACTAGGAGCTTTTAAATGAATATTTAACATTGTGTTTTGACAAGACTCAATTCTTTAAAGAACATTAAGCTTGAAATCTTCAGAATGTCAAAGGCGATTAAAGTAGTACTTAAAGGATATGATTTTTGGCGTACAAACAGATTATGAAATCAACTCACAGCTATATAAGTTCTCTTGTTCCAATTTGTAGGATTAAGCACATCTGTGTCTTTTCAGATCTGACAATACTACATCTGATGCACAATACTTACGCCATATTATTACGAAGGACAGGCTGTATTTTTTCCTTCGGATCAAAAGAGCGGTTGATGATTGATGTGTTGTCAGCTCTATAGCTCTTCAGTAAACCTGCTTGTTTACTGTATGTGAAGTGAACAACTCGTAAAGCTTGCTTGTATCGTTTTGTTAGTTCCATGGTTGTTTGGTTACTTCAGCCTTTTATATTGCAAAGCGTGTTTGTATATTATCGTATACTGACGCTTATGATTCGCTTGTTTATCATTCACCTTATTCTTGATGTAATGAAGTTTACAAAATTAGAGAGCTTATTGTAACCTTACATCTCTGACATCGCAAATAGTTCTACTTTATCTTTGCATGTGTAATTTGTTGAAGGGAACAATGTACTTTACCGTTAAAATAATGCATTCAATTTCCTAAAATCCTTTTATCTTTTATTATTGAGTCAGTGAATATTTAGTCAATAAAAATTGTATCAAACTTAAAAGTAGATTTGAAAGTACAGCAACCGAGTTGCCCTGATATTTTAACTTTGTTCAGTTTTGGCATACCCTTCAGGGACCAACAACATGTATTGCATAACTGAATATGACAACTTTATGAACATTTTATAGTTTCGTAGAATCATACCATCAAAAAAGATAATTTTCAACGTTGAGGCATAAACGTTGAGACAATTTTTCAAAATCATGTTGCTTTAGAATACTTGCTCCTGTTATTCCACGTGACAGAATTTTGCTTCAAGCATGTGTCCACTTGATCAAGTGCCTATGGATTTGAGATCTGTAGTAAAACAAAGAATGTTTATATGTAAAAAGTACAGAACGATCGTGGCAGAAAATTTGAAAATTAACAAGAGAGAGGAGCGATCTCAGCATGCGCGTGAGAATAACAATTTTCTATTTTGCGCTTCGCCTGAAAGTGTATATATTTAATATAGCCATTTGTTTGTACACTTTCATGCAAATTGTTGAATGCCATTTTATACAAGCTTGAAGCCGAGCCACTGGCAACTGAATCTTTAAGCGGAGATAAGAGTATTGCAATTAGCTTTCGCTCATTCATGATCTGAAGGCTTTCACCGGCTGTATTTGGCTCAACATCAAAGAGAATCAAAGGTACGTTGTGGTTAATCGAATGCATTGTAGAGCAGTCTTTTGGGTCGTTCCTTGCATATCAAGCTTACTCTATTAAAATCATCGCACGGAAAGCTCATGTTTTTAATTGTATTTGTACAATAAGCGCTTTAGATGCATTTTGAAGTAAAAGGATTTAAGAAGAGTGTTTATTGAAAGTTCAGAAATACTTAGTCAAAAATATTTCTCGATGTTTGTATAAGTAATGCTCGTGTGCTTATTTCTTGGAACTTCTAGTAGAAGACTATAGCAATTTCACCCCCTGGAAAATTTGTGTCTTCAAATCCCGTCTACTGTTGCAATGAATATTACTGCCTTAATTTTTCCAAGAAATGCATTAATAAACAAGTAAGCAAGATAATACAAGCAAATACCCATGCGAGCAAAGTTCACACTATCCTATTCCCTCGTTTTCATCAATCAAGACAGAAGCTACTATTGCTCTATCGGGGGCTCTTCTGAAATTTATGAAAAACTCTTTGTTTCAGAAAGTAAATCTCCCTTTGGACCTAATGTTCTTGGTGCCCCCCCCCCCAAAGCATTTCTATTCTTCTTACGGTACTGGCGAAAAAATGAAGCGAATTGTAACTAAATTTGAAAGTGTTAGCTAGGTTTAAGATTGCAAACTTCCACGATGCCATTAGCATATCAAAGAAAAAAATGGTTTTCTTTTGGCATGGAAAACTGTGCCGGATAAAATTTATCCGCATAAAAGTTGTTCGGATTGATTTGCGTTTACACTGTGACGCACAAATTTTGTCCACTTTGCCCTCCCATTTACACTGTGCCGGATAACTGTGGTCACATGACCTAAATCATGCACAGAACGCCCAAAATGAAGTCTTCTCTGGGCAACAAAGTAATAACAAAATCCCTGCCAACGTAAAAAAGATTTCATTCTCTCTTCAGAATCATCTGCTTCTCTTTTAGACCAAATCCAAAAATATTGTCAATAAAAGTTAGGCCTAGTTTGTTTCAATAGTTTGTTCTTGAAACAAAATGACACTGAACTAGCAACGAAAGTAGGGAAAGCTGACAAGGATGTCAATTTTACGTGGACTGGCAAGATACTGCACTTTTAACACGAGTATTTATCGACAACAAGGCAGCCAAGATGGCGAGAACGGTCTTGATTGGGAGACAGTGAAAACTGAATTGAATTAAATAGCCAATAGCTTTCGAGCAAGATACGATGTGGATAAAATTTATCCGGATTAAAACGTTTACACTGTACCACATAGCTATCCGAACTAATTTAATCCACTTTCCTAGGTGAACTAACTTTGTTCGGATAGCCGCTCTCAAGTTCGTGCGGATAGCGTGGGTGTAGTGTAAACGGGACGCCTATCTGAACTAATTTTGATGCGAATAAAATTTATCGGGCACAGTGTAAACGGGGTCTAAGAAAACACCTCTATAGGATTAATTAGGGGTGGCACATTCAAATGAAATTGCAAAGACTGTACCAACATTTTGACTTTATCTTTTGAACGCAACTATAGTCTTCTGTGGAGTCTGGGCCGACTTCATAAGTTATAGAGTTTATCTGTTCCGTGGAACTGAACATTAAAAAAGATTTAAATTGGCAGGAATGAGCAGTTTTGGAAAGGTATGATGATTTAAGTGAGAAAGTCAAATGTCTACAGGTAGGTTTTCATTACGATCAAGGCAGCCACTGTCTCTCTACGATCTAAAATAGCGATCGTTAAAACCAAAAAATTGTAAGTAAAATGAAATAAAAAACCATATCTTTAATGTGCAGTGATTTTAACATTCGAAAATTAGCTTTATAAAGACTTTGCTAAGAACATAGACTAATCTCTGACCATTTCTAAATCAAAATGCAGTCTTTGTTGTTTACGGGATTTCTTTGCCATTAATAGCTAGATTCTTAACACATTCATGTTTTTGTCATGTTAATCTTGTACGGTAGCATTATGTGTTGGCAATATATCATTCTTTCTTCACCTTACTAATATAGTCTACTTAGCTATACATAATGCGTGACAAAGAGATGTCTACAAAAAGATATCAATTTTGCAAAAAAATACATTGACAATGAGAAGAGACATTACGTCATAAAGTTCGCGCTATGACCGTCATTTGAAAGCATACTTGGTACCAAATAAGAAGCACCCAAATTTAATCAAAATACCCATCCAAATACCCGAATCGATCCGGTCTCGGGCATTTTCTTGCAAAATCAAGTTTAAGACTGCTTTCAGTATTTTTCCTTGACATATTATGGCCTCGGGATATCTACAGTTTTTGCTGTAATATATATAAAAATGTTTATACACGTATTTTAAAAGAATGTGGAATAAGAAGCACATCACTAAACAGATGCAAAACTAAGAACTGCCATGCACTCTAGAAAACCATGCATTTTGATTTTACATTTTAATATTTTAGCACATGACTTTTTTGATTGAAAATCATTTCGGAGCTTATAAATACAGAAACCATTTGCATTTACAACAGATCTAACTCAAGAATGCTCAAGGAGATGAAACGAATTGCTCTTTGCGAGCTTGTAATTGAAATAGCTTTTGTCCAATAAAGTAGGAAACTTGTTTTGCATAAATGCTTCATATTTTTATCTAGTAAATAGGACTGGCTTTAGATTGACGGAATTTGGGTTTGAATTTCATTCAAACTTATTGGAAATGAAATTTAAATAATGATAAAATACAAGCGTTTATTAAAAAGAAACGTCGCAAAAGGTAGCTATTGCATCTGCTGATTGAAATTTCTTCAATCGAAATCTGTGATTACTTGACAGTTCACAGCCTTTCATTAACTGCGACATAACTTCAGTTTTTACAGCAAACAGCGCCTGACATTGAGGAATTCTTGCTAAATGTGTCTCGAAACCGAGATCGCTAAAGCTGATTTTTGCTTTTGGAAAATTATCGCTGCGTCTTTTGCCATTCTCAAGTTCTAAATCTGAAGAAAAGTGCTGAAATCTCCAAGTGATAATGATCGCATCAATAAATCATGATGAAATAGCTTTTAAGAATGGTTTGTATCAGACAAGTTCTACAGCAAAATTGTGCTTTTCGTTACAAATATCCTGTGTCAACATTGCATTGGATAAAGGCCTTTTAATTGAAAATCGGTTTTGAATTTAGCCTGAGTAAAGAAATCTGTTTCTTCTTTGTCTTCGCTAAATTAATCACTTCACAATATGCTTTTGCGTAGTGCCTGCAAAGCTGGGCCAATTTCTTTGACTTGAAGTAAAATGTGCGTTTCAAAGACAGTTGTATTCTCCCACGGGCTAGAAACGCCCTCTTGCATCACAAAAACCTGATCGGAAACAGTAAAAGAATTCTGCTTTTATTAGAAGCAGGAGAAAAATCTTGCCTTACAAGGAAAAAACTTCACTTTGTTTGAAAAGGCAATGAGCACTTGAAAAACATTTGAGAGGAATTCAAATTTACCAAATCCCTCTAATTTTTGAAACTTGTTATCAACAACGATATGTAGAAAGAAGCCTACACCTATAAAACTGTTTCAGAGAACAATTTTTCAAAAAGAAATCTTACATGCATATTAACACGTTCATCAAACCATTGATAAATTGCTTGTGATTTTGTTATGTTTTCCTAAAAACGTGGCCTAGCTAAATGAGACATGAAAAAAAAATCGCGTTTGCTTTTTGAAACACTCATCTTAGAAGCACTGAAAAACTTTCATATACAACATTACAACGCACAAGCTAAAAGTCCCCATAGGCTAGCACATTAACATCTTAGTGTTCAAATATCTCCCAGGTATTTTACTTTGGTAGAATGGCACTTTAGGAAAACTGTGTTTTTCAAATCGCTTTTTAAAGATGACGAAGATCAAAAAAGAAAATAAAACTGAATCTTTTTTTGAAGAAAAGCACACTAAACTTTCGAATATCCATATATTGAACTTACTCTCTAAGTGAAAAAATCTTCTAAAACCATTGGTAGTGTCTCCACGAACTGATGAACTAATAACGCATAATGCAAACTATGTACTTGTACAGCTATATTCTAAAGCGGTTTGAAACTGTAGTGACTCTACTCAGGCCTGTTCTTCTAAATTTTCTTTCTCATTCGTTCCATCACTTTCTCACATCGCAGCGCAGCCATCTTCTACATCATTCTCATATCACGCATTCACTATTCAGTCTACTCATCACCCTTACTCGCCCTTTCGCCCATCTATTTTTCTCTTA